CTGCTGCTGCTGTTCCAAGTGGCGACGTTTGATGGTGTGCGGTGCATGCAGATTTTCCACTTCAGTCGAGGACGACGAGCCCTCCGAGGAGTCAGCCCCAGCTCCCGAACCTGACCCTGTCCCCGGCACAGCGTTCAGCTTGGGGTTGATAATTCCTATTGCGATTGTTGTTGTTGTTGTTGTGGTTGTGCCTTTGACTGCGCGCATTTCCAGCTCATTGCTTGACTTAATGCCCGAGCTTGTGGTGGAGGTGGTGCTGGTGGCATCCGCGTCCAGGCGACTGCACGACATCAGCTGCATATGCTCCGCCGTATTATACCAGGGATTGGTACGTATGCGCGACCGCTGCCTGGGCGAAGGAGCTGTCGGCGGTTGGGTTAGATGGATTACAGGGTTGGGTTGGGTTGGGTTAAGTTGGCTTAAGTGCTTGTAATTGCTCACTTAACGGTCTACTCACATTCAAAGAGTTTGCTGGCGCCCTGGCAATTGCGACTGGGCTGAGGCGTGTCCAGCGTGTTGCCAAAGCTGCTTTTGGGCAGCGGATCCATGGGCGACATCTCCTCAATGCGGTTCAAGCCAAACTTGTAGCGCTGCGCCTCAATGGCCAACGAGTTAACGGATCGACTGGGAAAGTAATGCGTGCCGCTGCGCATGTTGATGTAGTACTCCGGCGCCGGCGGATTGGCGCTGCTGGCGGCGCACGGAGAATTGCCGTCGGTGGAGTAGCCCGTCGAATAGGCGCTCTCCGGCGAGGACAGGCTGTGCGGTCGGGGACCAGGCAGAAAATTGCCACGCGGCAGACCACGTGGTGCACGCATGCGGCTGGCCAAGCCCAGCTGATTGGTCACCGCCGGCGGCGCTGGGGTCAAGGACTCAACCAGCTTGGAAGGCAGCAGACGGCCATAGTGCACATGATTCGCATTCTGTTTGGGCTGCTGCTGCTGCTGCTGCTGCTCCTCGTCGTAGACCAGCTGCAAGCTGACCAGATTCTCGGAGTGTGGACGCTGATAGTCCAGCAGCGGCGGCTGTGGACGCAGCAGCAGTGCGCCCACCTCCTCGTAATCCACCTCATCTTCGACGGGCGGCAGACACTCGCTGCTGGTCTCAATGTGCTCCAATTTGTAGCTGACCTGCTTGGGCTGGCCGGAGTGCATGGAGGGCTCCTTGGAGCCAGTCGACCAGGACAGCGATGAAATGGACGAGGATGAGCAATTCACGCGCATCGGCGACTTGTCCGCACTGGAGCTGCAGCTATCCTTGCCGGGCACGCTCAGCTGCTGCTGCTGGAGCGGCGGCAGCGTCTGGTGGCATTGATAGCGATGCGGCGCGTACAACAGATTATCCGACTTGGGCGACGTGATGGAGTTGTGCGTATCCTGATCCGGCGATTGCCAGCCATAGCGACTGGGCGTCTGCAAGCATGGGTTTGGTTATAATAAATCAGAGCACGGAATGCCGCCGGCTACTCACATGACATTGGATGGGCGACACCTCACGGCGACGCACCGGACTGGCGATGCTGTGGCTGCCGCTGCTGGTCAGCACGGGACTCGTCGTGGACTTGAGATTGCTGTTCGCTGGCAAAGTGCCTGCCTTCTTGGCATGGCTGCTGCTGCCAACGTTGCCGCTGCCCTCCGCCTGCTTGTTCTTATTGTTTTTCTTGCGGGGACGCACGATGTGCGTTTCCATCCAGGAGCGCAGCTTGGAGCCGAACATTGTCTCTCTATCTCTCTCTCTCTCTCTCTCTCTATCTTTCAAAGGAAATGTGAAACGTAGTCTAAATGGACGGATTGTTGTTGCTGCTGTTTGGGTTATACGAAAGGGATGTCATTAAAGTATTTGCTCAGCTCCAAAATGCAATCCCATAATATCTGGGACAATGGATGGCAGTTTGCATTGGGCTCGTGGGCCGACATCCAAACTGACTCCTGGGGCCACTTTGCGTTGATAAGAAAATCCATTTATGACAGCACAAAAGCCGCCGACGCACAGTGGAGCGAACATATGTAAAACTATTGAAATTTCTGCACCATGCAACATTTTGAGACCAAATCTGATAATTATCTAAATTGCATATTGAAAAAAAAAATATTTGTAGTATTATTAAGCTTTTGTACAACACCTCCTAATGTCCAATTTTGTACCGTTTTCTATTTATTATTTTTGCTAATTATTTTTAATATCTTTACTTTTTTTATTGTACTTTCCGAACTTTTAATTATTTCCTTTTATGCTCTCTATTCATATATTTTTGTTTTAAATTTCCAAAAAATATAAAGTTGCAACTATTATTTTTAAAATTTTCCATTATTCGTACCACTGTGCGCTGCGGCATCAACGAGCTACCATATTTTCTATAGTTTGCAACTGTAACTGTGCGTGTGTGTGTGTGTGTGCTGGTATTTTATGCGAAATTACCTTATTCGCAAATGTCTGTTGCCTCATAATATCCTTTACGCCTGTTTTTATTGTGCGGCACACGAGATGAAAGGGCAGCTACATATACATAACGTATACATAACTGTTTAAGCACATGTGTGTGTGTGTGTGTGTGTGTGTGTCACTGTGTGTGCTTGTGTGGGTGCTTACGTTTTGCAGACAGCGCGACGTCTGGCAACTCTAGCTGTGTGCGTGTGTTTGTTTATTTTTTGTTGACGTTTTTTAGGCGCACACAAACAGCCTCGTGTGTGTGTGTGTGTGTGTGTGTGTGTGCGTGTTTTTGCTTGGGGGTTGTTTGTAAGCTGAGATGCCGCTTCAAGGACTCATCGGACTCATGCTGTGCGCTGAAGTTACTCAACCTCGTGCGTGGGTGTGTGTGCGTGTGCGTTAGTGTGGGTTGTCTGTGCTTTTATCAGCCTCCCCTTTTGCGGAAACGAACGTAGTTGGGTTGTAAATCCAAACGTAACTGTAAATTTTTATGTCAAGCTATTTTCAATTGTTGTTTCGTTAAACTGCAGCGTGAATATTTGATTTGATTTGATTTCTTTATAGCTTCGCTCTTACGATTTCCATGCGTGTGTATGTATGCATATATATATTTTATTGTTACTCATTGTATTTAGTTTAAGTTGAAAGTCATAGTTTCTTTTTAGTTATTATTTTATATGCAAATTAATTGGAATTATGCCCGGCAACGTATAATTTAAAAAGCGAAAAAGTTTGCCCACTTTTAGGCTGCAAGAGATGAAGGGATTTTCTTTTTTCACATTTTACACTGTCTATATAAGTGATGTATTGGTATGTGCATGTGTCGGCCTAAGATTTATTTTATTTTTTGGTGGTAGCAATAATGCGTGCGGCTAAAATGGCGTTCGCTGCGCGGCGAGAGGAAACGACTGCCGCCGCCGAAGTGAAAAAAGCAACTAACGGAATGCGCAGCCACCAAATCGCAACTGTGCTTACTGTTTGCCAATTACATATTGCGCGTATGAAGAATATATGGATTTGTTTTGATTTGATTTATTTTTAATATACCACTAATATACAAAGCTATAACAATTAATAATGGCTTTATTTAAATGAAGCAGCAAAACTGTGTGCTACATAATTTTAAAATGCTAACGTGTTAATGTTAACGCAATGTTAAAATTATCGTTGCACCGCCACAAGTGTTCAACCTGTTAGTGTGTGTTATCGATAATCTTAAGTTCCATCTCTACGCCATGCATTATTGTGAAACATAGGCAAATTTTTTGCGCAAATTTCGTTTGTAAACTCAATTCAATGTGATTGGTTTGTTATTGCTAAACTTTTAACATGCGCTGCTACTACGAGGAGCTGGGCGTGGCCCGTGACTCCAATGAGGCTGACATTAAGACCGCCTACCGAAAACTGGCATTGCGCTGGCATCCAGACAAAAATCCAGACAGCCTCGCGGAAGCGAAGGAACGCTTTCAGCTAATCCAACAGGCCTACGAGGTGCTATCCGATGGCCAGGAACGTGCCTGGTACGATAACCATCGCGAGCAAATTCTTCGCGGCAAGAACTCCGAATACTCGGAGAACTGCCTGGATGTCTTTCAGTTCTTCACCGGCTCCTGCTACAAGGGCTATGGCAATGATGCGAAGGGCTTTTATAGCGTATACCGCGATGTTTTCAACAAAATTGCCGCCGAAGATATGGAGTTTATGGACAGCGATGATGAACTGAGCGCACCCCAGTTCGGCAATGCGGACAGCAGCTACGAGGAGGTGGTGGGTCCCTTCTACGCATACTGGCTGTCGTATAGTACAAAGAAGACCTACGAATGGCTCTGCCCGTACGATGTACGGGAGATAAAGGAGCGTTTCATACTGCGCAAGGTGGATAAGGAAATGAAGAAGATTGTGCAGAATGCGCGCAGAGAGCGCAACGAAGAGGTAAGCGGAGAGTGCATCTAGCAAATGGAGCTGATCCAATTGATGCCCATTTCTTGCAGGTGCGCAACTTGGTGTCGTTCGTGCGTAAGCGAGATCGCCGTGTGCAGGCCTACAGACGAGTGCTGGAGGAGCGCGCCGAGGCCAATCGCTTGAAGCAGGAGGAGAAGCGCAAGGAGCAGCTGCGCCAGCGACAAGAACAGCTGGCCGCAGTGCGTGCCAACAAGGTGGACAATGATGGGTACGAGGAGCAGCTCAGGCAGCTGGAGCAACAATATGGCAGCGAATCGGATGAGTACACGGATGACGAAGAGGACGAGGATGATGAAGATGAGGATGAGGAAACGGACGCTGAAGCGGCAGCAGCAGACAGCGAAAACAATTTGAGTGAACAGGAGGAAGTGGAGTATGTGGACGATCTATATTGCGTGGCATGCAACAAGTCCTTTAAAAATGCCAAAGCGCGCGCCAATCACGAGGAGAGTAAAAAGCATCGCGACAACGTGGAACGTTTGTGTCAGCAAATGAAGGCGGAGGAGCACGAATTTAACGATCTCAGCGAAGAGCTCAATGCGATAGAGGAAAGCGTTCACGACTTGCAACTCAATGGCAGCCACAGTGACACCGCGGAGCTGGCGAGCGACGGGGCTGTCGAGCTGCAAACGAGCAGCAAGCGCAACAAGAAAAACAAAAAATCAAAAAAAGCCGCAAACAAGGCGTGCGTAGCAAGCGGGCATGACGACGACGACGAGGAGGAGGAGGTTGTGCCACCTGTAGATTTCACTGCGGCGCCGAGCAACAGCGATGACGACGACGACGACGATTGGAGTCGCAGCAAAAAGTCAGCCAAAAAGACTAAGAGCAAAAAGTCAACAACAAGCAACAGCAAGCAAAAAACCGAAGCGCCAGCTGAAACAAAGCCGACGTCCAAGTCGGCGCTCCCCAGAGGCGACATGGACACGGATACGCCAGCCGTCGTTCAGCACACGTGCGTCACGTGCAAGCTGGTGTTTGACTCCAAGAACAAACTGTTTGCGCATCTGAAGAAGACCAATCACGGCGTGTACATACCCAAGGCCAAGCCGGAAGTGGAGGGTAAACCGCCAGGCAAAGGCAAGGGCAGGCGCAAGTGAGCGCTAGTTAAAGTCTGGCTGTTCCAGCTGCAGATGGAGTTGGCAGCTGTTTGTAGAAATTTTAGTTGTTTATTTATGCTAATGTTAACAAATTAAATTCGAAATTAAATTAAGTTGAAAACGCCCAATTTTGTTAGCTATAGAGATTCCTATGGAATGCAGACGAGCTTGCTGCCGGACTCGACGCGCCGGCGCACACGGGTGCGCATATTGGAGGACTCTGCCTTGAGACTGATGCCGGCGGCAGCGAACGTCAGGAGTATGCCCACCAGGCCGCAGTAAAACGAGATGCCTGCAAAGAGAGTGTGCTGTTAGCCAGGCCTAAATTGATCCGAACTTAACTCTTACCTATGCTGCAGTCGGCCGGATAAAAGGGTTCCGCCTCCGGGCCACACAAACGTTGAACGCGCGGCGCACGCCAGCCCAGCGGATGCAGAAACAAGGCCAGCATAACGGCAATGCCTGGTTGGGATTGGCAAAGGTTTAGTCTCTTAGAGATTAGGAGCCGGTGGCAACTTACCTGCCAGCACCTGAGCACAGGCGGTCATATTGTGTATGCTCTTGCCGCAGGCCGACTGGCGGCAACAGGTGAGCAGCGTGGCAACCACCGTCAGCGAGAGCAGCACCAGGCCCAGCGACATAAAGAACATGGCCGCCTTCCATTCCAACGGATAGACGCTGCCATCGGTGGCAAAGCCATCCAGATCGAAGCGTCCACAATGATAGCCCAGCTGCTGCATTTGCTTGCAGCGCGTATAGATGCCCACGGAGGCGAGACGCTGGCCAGCAGCAGCAGCACCAGCAGCAATGGGCGTGGCCTGGCTCCAATTGCCAAGCTGGCCAGGTCCAATTAGCCATTTGGGCGTGACCAGAGCGACAGCGACCAGCATGTCGGCGACCAGGGTGCACAGAAACCAGACTAGACTCACACTTGTGATAATTACGTAGCACATGATGCGTATTTGATGAGAAGTTCTCTTCTTCTTCTTCTTCTTCTTGTGTGGCAGTTAGGAAAATGTATTCGGAAAAAACCGTTGTCAGAACGCGTCCGCACTGGCCGCACACATAATTGTCTCTGTGGGTGTGCGCCTATCGAGCACTTGGCTGTGCGTACACACCCAACCCCAACACCCACCCCCGCCACCAACTGGGCGACTTCCTTTCAGCTGACCAGCCCGAAATGGTATTGTTTATTTTATATGCTTTCTTGCCGTTCTCTGCTTTATGTTATTCATTCACCCCACCACACACTCACACATACACACACTCACACATACACACACTCACACATACACTCACGCACACACTCACACGCACTTAAGCCCAAAAGCGTACGTATGAAAATAGTCAAAACTTTTTGTTGTTGTTGCTGTTGTAATTGAAGCTTGAACTGCAGCTGTTGGCGTTTTTTTTTTTTTCTTCTTTGTACTCTTTTTTTAATTTTGCAACATTTTTTTTTTTGTTAGCGGCGACTCCCTTTTGCGCAGGCGTTATGCACGCGTTCAACGGAGACCGAGGAAAAACTGAATGAATGGCGCGCATTGAAAGCAGCCAAACGTCTGTCGAAGCGCATGCCCAGGCCAGATGTGTGCGCTGTCTGCGCAAGGGGGTGTGGGGAAGATGGGTGGGGGGCGCAACAGCAGCAGAAATCCAGACATTCCAGACAAGCGCGCAGCACAATGTTCTCTAAAGCATACAGTGACTCACAAATGTATTGGTACGCGTTGAATGTTTGACCGTAGAAGTGCATATTTCGGCATATTCATAATGTGTTAATTAAGTTTATCAAATAATATGGAGGCTTAAATTGCCGACATCTTGTATATACGTTTAATACATGTAATTATTTTTCTCAATACGAAAAGAGGTCGTTTTGCAATTAAAGCTTATAGTAATTAGAATTTGCAAGTTCTATAACAGAATTGTTTTACCTAAAAAAATGAAACAGTTTAAAAGTTTAAATGTTTACAAATTATGAACGCACTGCGAAACTTATTGTTGTTAATTGGATTTTTTTATTTAAATGCAAAAATCAACCATACTTTTTTGACAGACTGCATTCTCTGCTCTCTCTCTCTCTCTTGTTCTGACGCTCTCTCGCAAATGCTTGCTCTCTGCAGCTGTGCTCTCTTTGTGTTTGGAATGCACACACATGTTGGAGTTGGATCTGTTTGACCCCAGCCGCCCACCCTCCCCCCCCCTCTCCATCATCAACTTCTTCCGCACTAAACAGTTATGCTGATGCCGGCAATGAGTAATAGGCGGCGTCTATTCGTATTGTTTGTAGGCAAATGAGATTTTGTAACTCGAGCAATCGGCGATCTGTCTGGCCCGGCTTATCAGTTAGCACCCCCAAAGTGATTTCCATTGGGCGGCCGCATTGCATCATCTGCCATGTGTACTGAGGGCAATTGTAGCGCCGATCGTGACCGGGCAAAATGAATTGTGCACACACTTTCACTCTCACTTGGAGGAATACTTGGGCCAGCCGGCTGCGCCATTCAATCGCAATTCAGCCAAAGATGTTGTCACCGCTGCTGCTGCTCCAGCTGCTGCTGCTGCTGATCCCTGTCCACGGCTATTATCATGAGTACCTTTACTGGGAGCTGAACGAACCGCCGCCCATCTGCTCCGAGTACGAGATGCTGATTGTGAATACGCGCCAATGTGTGCGTCGCTGCAATATTGTCTGCCAGCGTGGTGTTTGCTTTGAGGATGGGCCATGTCCTTGCGCCGACCAGTACCAGAGCGCCTACAAGGATGGTGTGGCCTGTGCCGCCAAGTGCCTGCCCGGCTGCCAGGAGGCCGGTGGTCACTGTGCCGGCCCAGAGCTGTGCATTTGCCGCAAAAGCAAACACTACTACTACGATCCGGTGGCGCGACGCTGTCGCCGACGCTTACCCCGACTGCTGGAGCTGTGCGGCAGGTAAGTTATTATTGCTGTAATGAGTATACCTTAGCTTTTATCTCCATTCTTTTGCAGGCGCTGCATCCATGGCCGCTGCTCGTACGATGGCCGCTGCATCTGTGCGCAGGGTTACGAAATGCGCAGCACGCTGCTGCATGGCGCCCAGTGCATGCCCATCTGTGATCAGTAAGTGTTGGAGAACATCACAAAATGTACATTTACTAATCTTAAGCACCCTACAGCGATTGCGGTCCTAGAGCTTATTGCTATGCGCCCAACATGTGCGCCTGTCGGCACAAGCACTATCACTACGCCTTCAACGGGATATGCATCAAGGATTACTGAACTAGGTTTTAGCGAATATACTAGGGCAGTTCTAGGCTCTTCTTAGCACGAATTTGAATTAAGTTGATGTAGTTAAGCAGTTTCTCAAATGTAAAGTATCTCTTATTCGTTTTATGCGCATATCAGTTAAAGCTCTGTTAAAACGCAAATGCCACACATTTACTCTACAGCGCAATAACAGACAGAGAGTGGGTAATTGAGAGAGAGAGAGAGAGAGAGAGAGAATGAGAGCAAGCACGCTTTTCCGTTTTGGCGGCTGTGTAATAAAATATTTAAAGGCGAATTCGTTATTGTTTATAAATGTTGTTGTTTATAAATGTTGTTTACAGTTGCCAAAGTTTGTTGCCTTATTTTTGGCAATTGAATAAGTTTTTTAATCAGTTGGCCATTTAATGCGCTGCCTTTAAAAAACTCCGCAGCTCTGCAAAACCCAAGTGCGTACGTGCGGTCCAGTGGCGGCGCTATAAAATATACGACGTTCAATTTTAAAAGGGATTAGACCGAACCCCCCACGCCATGGCCATGTCATTGTCCAAGCAACCAGTTTAAGGCGGCCGAAAACACCCCTTTTACTCAAAAGAAAAAACGCTTGATAAGCTCTTGTTTAACATACATACATATACACACGCACACACACACACACGCATATAAACATATCGTGTATATAAATGTGCGCTAATTTGTGTCTTACTGTAGCGTAGGGTATTCGAATTTTAATAATGTGTCTTGCTAGATAAAGAAAGAGCGATCAGCATGTTGACGGCGAGGGCAGCAGTAATGACAAGCGCGTGTGGCGTGTTTTTATTTATTCTTGTTGGGGCAGGGGCTTGCTCAGTTCTGCCGCTGTAGACGTCACCGACAGCAGCAGCGCAGAGGCAGCGACAGAGGCAGCAACTTTCGTTCTCCAATGGTTGGGCCTCTGTCGCTCGCAGCAGTGTCGGCCGCATTCAGTTGGAGTTGAGCCTTCAGCTGGTGCAGTTCGGTTTCCTTCTCTCTCTCTACGCTCGTATTGTTTTTTGCAACTCTTGCTCAATTTTTAAAGTAATTTGCAATTTTAAACAAGCTTAAGTAAATCAAGTGCATTTATAAGGAATAATGGGTCAAATCAAGGTAAATACCAAACACAATCATACGTACATACAAATCTAGCTATGCACATATAATGTAACATTTTTAATGTTAATTTATCGAAACAGCATACTCATAACATATTACCATGTGAGTGTGTATGTGTGTGTATATATATGCATATATGTATGTATATGTAAGCTACCTGTTATCCTTTGACAAGTTGGCAACTCTGCTATAAGTTAAGCGTGGGAAAATTTATAACATCATATTTTGAATGATTAGAAACTTCTGTCTTTGTGTGGCTGCTTGTGTGTGTGTGTGTGTGTGCTGGCGTGCTGATGTCTGTACTTAATGTTATGTAAGAATAGAGAAACAGTAAAATTGCCATTAAAATGCATTATTAACAATGACATTGAGACTGGAGGCAGATTCGGTTTTAGCGTCTGTGGCGTGTCAATCTCTATTTGTCTCATTGATTAGCGCTATTAAAGTGATTATTAACAAAACGTTTATACACACATACACACATGTTTTTATCGAATATGTATTAAAACTTGAAGTAGGCGTAGCTGCTGCGCAGTTTGCACGGCACGCACGTCAGCCGAAAAACTTGAACAATAAGAACCGTAAATAAGATGTGTGTGTGTGTGTGTGTGCGTGTGTTAGTATGTGTGTTAACAAAAACAATTAAACAAGCAATTGTGTGAATGCAGTAAACCGGTTAATTCATTAACCGTTGTCCAATAACAAGCATGAGCACTTTTCATCTAGTTTAAACAACAAAAAAAAGTTAAAAATAAATTTACGTTGAATGAGCATCAATACGCGCGGGCGGCGCGTGTGGTGGGTATTCAGCTGTCAGGGATGGGCGTGTGTCACGACACAAACACGAAGTATAATTGGAAAGCGTGTTGAATACAAATTAAAACAGGTGCAACAACAAAACTAATTAGCGTCTGTGTGTGACATTCGGCTTAAAGTAAAAATAAATTAAATTTTTTTTCTAATTGTTTTATTTTAATATTTTGACATGCTTTCTATTTTTAAATTTCTTGATGAACGTTTGAAGCGTGCTATTTTCGCATATTCTGGAATATATCGTGTATTTTCAAACTCGTGTCGTGTTGTATCGTGGCACGCGCCCATCTCTAATGGGCATAACATAGCTTATGCGCTGATATTGCCGTCGTCGCAGACGTTATCAAACGCCTTCACGGCGTGGGGGCTGCCCGTGTGCGTGTATGGAAAAATTCTTCAAACTTTTTATAATTTTGATAAGCTTTAGGTATTAATTATAGATTTTTGCACTTAACTACTGGCTCAAATGCAAAAACGCATTGATCATTATTTATTTTCGTTTTAAATGTGTTTTTTTTTTTTAACAGAAAGCTTCATCGGCATTGAGCAAATTGTTTGTCTATGGCGCCTTAAAGTACGGACAGCCCAGCAATTCGATCTTGGCCAATACGGGCAACGGTTATGCCAATTTCTGGTGCCGTGCGACAACGACACAGAAGCTGCCGCTGGTGATTGCCACGCGATACAACATTCCGTTCTTGCTCAACAAGCCCGGCGTTGGATATTATGTAACCGGCGAGATCTACGAGGTATGTGGACATAAATACATATACACGCACATTAATCAGTTAACAAATCATCGCAACAGGTGGATGATCGCATGCTCAACTCGCTGGACAATCTGGAGGACTGTCAGGACATTTATACGCGCGAGATGCAGGACATGAACATTGGCGTGGGCGAGGGGTAAGTCGTCATTTGTGCAGTTGATTTTATTTATAAACTTTTGCGCTTGCAGCACCGTTCCCTGTTGGGTCTATCTGCTGCAGAAATATCCGGAGAAGCTGCTGTCGCTGCCATATTTGTCCGGCTATGAGAATAGCTCGACACATCCCTATATAATGCGCCATCGTCGCACACACAAGCATCCGGCACAGGATGATCTCAGCTACGAAACAGCTCAAAACTAAATTGTGTTCGAAAAGGCGTGGCCAATTATTACTATACATATATATATATATATATATATGTGTGTATAACTACCGGTAGTTGCATTTGTAGCACGTATACAGACTTAATAACCATATATATGTACACGCATCCAGACGCAGGTGTACATAATATTAACTGATATATACGCATATTATATGCGTATTCTAGTTTATAGCGAACGTAGTTTGTAATTTTATAAGTTTCGAGTGAAAATAAAAGAAATTCGAGTCAACTATTTATATAAAACGTAACTCACAACGTAAACGCATGTAAAGTAAACTTACCATATTTGCCCAGTGTCAACAGGTGTTGCCTTAATTATATAAATATTTATTTTTGTTTCTGTGAGATCTTTTTTTTTTAATTTTGCAGCTGTGCTGTTAAGTGTGGAGCAGCACTGTTAACTTAACAGATGAGCTTATCTAGTCGGTTGTGTTGCCGTTTCAAGCGAATGGCAATTTGATAAGCCGAATTGAAGCAAAAAACTATTTCAATGGCAATTTTTTATATATTTAAATGCTGAAAATGTCGCAAGCGCTCAAAAGGGTCTTCGTGTATGGCACATTGAAGAGCGGCGAACCGAACCATCATTGGTTGACTACCAAAACAAATGGCCACGCCCGCTTCCTGGCCAAGGGCACGACGATGATCAGGTTTCCACTTGTGATCGGCACACGGTACAACATTCCATTTTTGCTGGACAAGCAGGGTGTGGGCCACAATGTCCAGGGCGAGATCTACGAAGTGGACGACACAATGCTCTCAAATCTGGACGTGCTGGAGGATTACCCCAGATACTATGATCGCGAGCCGCAAACCATTTTGACGGATCAAAACGAGTGAGTTGTAGGAGGCGAAGCAGCAGTTGTGGGCATATAATGGTAGAATCTTTGTTCACAACAGGAAATTGGAGTGCTGGTTATATCTGATACGCAACTATCCGGATGCGTTGCTGTCGAAGCCGTTGCTCAGCTCCTACCACAACACGCCGCAGGCGTTGTACAGTGAGAAGTCAGTGCGAGATCCAAAAATTGCGGCCAAAGATGATTTGTCCTATTGAACTTTGCATAAATCTTTGCAGCTACGCGGATAGCACAGCACAAGATCTCTTTACGGACGAGCTGAACTGACCTCGGGATTGGCTTATACAAAGAAATTATACAATTTACTAGAAAGGATTTCAACGCATGGCTATTATTCATACTTTCTCTCTCTCTCTCTATTACATTGATTCCATAATTCAAAAATGCAAACGAAATGAACAATATTTGTTTCCGGGGTAGTATGGGTAAAAATCGAAAAGCCTAGAAAAGTGTTTACAATAATTATGTATATATGCATACAGAGAAAAGAACTCGTTATAAATTGGTATAGCTGAATCTCACATCCAGGTCCCGCACGCGCATTTTAGCTGGCGACCCGAACTGGCGCCTTGCTGCAGTGTGTGGCAACTGTATAGTGTAGCACATAAGATGAATACGGTAAATTGTTCTTTTGTTTGTTTGTGGCGTCGGCATCGGCATCGGTGGCGGCAACAACAATGGGCGTGGCCTAGCTGTCGGCCTCATCGTCGAGCGACTGGAATCGATTGGTGGCCGCAACGGGCGCAGCGGCTGCCTCCTGCACTCGCTGATAGCGACCACCGTGACGGACTTCTTCGAAGGCGGGTTCATTTTTCTTTTTGCGCTGTTCCTCCGGCCGGGCTGCATTGAGCGTTGGAAAGAACTCGGTATTGGTGATATCTGGCGCCGTGCGACGCGCACGCATGCCGCTGCCACCGCCGCCGCTGCCCATCCCGCTGCCGGCTAGCTGCAATTCAATACAAACGAAACGGTTGGAATGGGCATCGAGCACAAAGTCCAAAATAATATAAATATCAGACGATCGTCAATGAATTGCAATACGATATAATACTCACGCCAGCACGTAACGCGGGTGAAATATACATTTTCGACGCTGACTTGTTGTCCGTCTCCACCGGCACCGGTATTTGGGTTACCTCCTCGGCAGGTATTAGCTTTTTCCATGGACCATAGCCGCTACGCTTGCTGTTGGGATCCGTATTGGCATAGCCGTCGCTGTCCTCGTCATCCTCGTCATAGACATCATCGGACTGATGATGATGTTGTTGTTGATGCTGTTGCTGCTGCTGCTGCTGGTGTTGCCTATCGGTGATGGTCAGCTGGCCAATTTTGAGGCCGCTGTAATCCTTGCGCTGCTCCTGCTCGAACTCTTTCCACTCCTCCTCGACGACCTTCTTGGAAAAAAAGCAGAAAGCAACAAAGAAAACGTTAAAAATGCACGTTGCAAAACTGGCTGCTAACTCTCACCTCGACCACGGGCTCCGGCGCTTTGATATTGGTCTCGTTTTCGCCGCCTTCTGCCACGCCGCCAGCCGCTGCTGTCGCGACATCAGGTTTTTTGGGTTTGACAGCATTGGCCGCCACCTCACGCTTCGTGCACTCCTCTAGGTTCTTCACTAGCTCATCGGCTGTCACAAATTTGCTCTTGGTCTTGGACTTCTTCTTGTCCTTTTTCGCAAAAAAATCGTCTAATTCGGCCATGCTTGCAATAATTTTCGCAATTCCCTGTTCCAAATTATAATGAAATCCAATCGCACTCGCGTGAGGTGGTATGTAAAAATAAATCGCTATCGATAGTTTCTATCGATGATTGAGCCACACGTGGTCAAAGTTTGCTGGACCAACGTTTTTCCTTCTTGTTCATATAAACAATGCATTAACTTGTCTATTTTTATTATTATGCTTATTATATGCAGCTTATTAATTTATTGTGTTCAGCATTGCCGTGCCTTTGTATGCAAACGCTGAGTGAAACGATAATTTTCGATAGTCCAAAGTTACTGGTTCTATGTGTGCATTTTAACGCTGAAAAGTGATTTATTTTAAAGTATTAAGCTATTTTTTTTTGAAAAATTTCAATAATTTCTACAGGTAAATAATATTTTTAGATCAAATTGACATATCGATACGAAAAATGCTCAAAACTGAAAGTTGTTGAAATATGCACGAGGTGGCAACACTGGCTAATTGAATATGCGTTGCGGTTATCGACGGCGCGACCATTTGGCGGTTTAATTAAAACAGTATCATTTGTTAATTTTGCGACTTTTACGTTATTTGCATATATTTTGCATAATTTAAGCTTGTGTGGGGGATTTTTGGTATCTATTGATGTGCCTGGCATAATTCGCAATATTTGGCAACAAAACTCCATAATATTCATGAGATATTCATAGTTGCCTAACGAAACTAAAAAATAAATGAATAGAAAAACAAAAATCGCGAATCGCTAATATTGTGCAACAAGCAAATGTATTGGATTTGCAAAATATTAATTAGCCCAGCAAACGTCACAAAAATGCCATGATTAATTGATACACAAATAACTACTATGACAATGCATTAACTAACGCTTGAAAAAAAAAAACAAATGTTTGCTGCTGTTGGGAGTAAAGCATTTGTATGTGGCCAAAACCAATAAAACTTCCTTTCTGGACGCAACCAAATTGGTCAAAGTTCCGCCGAATTTGCTAAGCAAATGAGCGCGAGTCTATTTAGATACATATTTATTGCTGCAGCTGCAGTCTGCATTTGCCGCCAAACAAAGCTTGCCACATCCCGGCCGAATAATGACCAACCAGTTAATAAATATCTAGACTTCAGTTGCGTACCCAAAAGCCGTTTCATTCATATTGACAAGCGACCGGCCAGACGTTGCTCAGTCTTCACTTGAACGCCGGACAGCGCACAACGTGCTCCAAGCTGCAAGCTTCCAGCTATTTATTTGGCTACTCCAAGCTCAGATCGTGTGCTCGTGGCATAATTTTGATAGTGTGTTTTGCTCATATAACAAATTTGCATTGATCTTGTGCATATAACGTGTTTTCGGAACAGTTCGCATTTTACTAAACGCACTGCAAAAGGTAATTAAAAAAAAAAAAAAAAAAAAATTGCGTCTAACACCTTGTGTTTATAACTAAATGCAAAACACTTTTTAAGTCGTCTCCATTTAGCTTTTTTTTTATGAGTACAATTGCTTTGCGACCTTTAGCCAAAATATTATATTTGCTTTTATAATTGTCTTGCATTCGCATAATTAGCTTTAAAACAAAATGAAACAAGGCAAAAAAAAACACAATGCTTTAAACAATTTGAAACATTTTGGTATTAAACTATTTGCTGGCCAGCGGAGCGTTTAATTGGAAAAAAAAAAATGTCTATTATTAATTATTGCGCTAAGCGTTTAACTTAGCCACATCGAAGCGCTGCCTCGCCTTGGGTCACGGGTCGTGTCAGGGCCGGGGTCAGCTCCCAGCTGATGCTACCGTTTTCAAGCATTTCCATCTGGTTTTCTAGTTGCCTTGAATTAATTAACCGTGAATTGGATTTCTTCTTCTTTTGTTTGGCGTCTTTAATCGAACTAGCGTCAGTTTTATGTCAGAGTTCAATCGGTTTCTAAACTAACATGTTATTTAAAAAAAAAAGAAGAAAATTGTTTTCAATTATTCTTTAATTGTACGACTTTTCAGAGCGCAGCTTTTGAGTGCGAAGTGCTCAATTAATATGCCAGCGATTTATTGGACAATTATATAATGATATAAACCTTATATATATATATATATCATACCACATTGATGCATATATTAACAATTAATTATTGCATATTTTACTATGAAATGACAGGGTATCTCTCTCAATACTATAAGCTCTTTATTGCTTTAGTTACCCTTCTCGGATCGTATCTCTAGATGTTATAGGCAAGATTAGCTGTATATTAAGCAAGCATCCATTTTTCTATATATCTTGTACTAACTTGTCATTTAAGAGCTGCACCAAGCTTCATACAAAATCTTCTAGTGTATCCAGGATCTACAATGGGCAGAAAGTGCTTTGTTTTTCCAGATATCTTCAGCGAAAGCTTCCTTTACCAGGGTAAGGGTATTTAAAATGCGGCGCGCCAAGGCATATCCGTTTTCTGTACATTTTGATCTATTTCGTTCAACTCGGCGTATCTCACAAATTAATTATATTCGTTTCTCTTTCGCTTGTGTGTCAATGGCAAACGCTACAAACCCATTTACATATTGGAGGCTATTGGTTATTATTTATTAATTTATTTTCTTTTCCTATTAACTTCGTGGCATGAGGAGATCCCCTAAAGGGATTTCAGTCAAGTGGCGCGGCTTAAGTTTAAAGTTACGTTCGATTTCATGGCTTAAAAGTAAATGGAGTTGGTTTTGTTTCGTTTTGTTATGCCAAGATGTTGCCATAACTGGTATACCCTGTAAGTGGGGCAGCGCTGCTTTTTTTTTTTTGCTTCTTCTCCCATTCCAATACCAATCGTACATTGATCATTGTTCTAAGCGTAATTACATTAACTAGCATATCATCAATGCAAAATGTAAACAACGCCTTTTTCTCAGATTGTTTGTATGCGCCTTTGAGATGCTTAAGTAATATTATAAGTAACTAATCAAACCGGTTTATTAAAGCCGTGTCATTTATTTAAATAAAGCCAGTTGTGCTGTCCATAGTTACCATGCCGAACTGTGTCATCCGTGTGGTGAACTCGGTTTTGGCCAACAGCTCATAAATGTTTGACTCTGCATATTTGATTAGAAGAAACGGCAACTGAGCTGGACAACATTTTTTTTTGGAAATACCCTAGAAATTGATAATCGGGCAGCTAACATATCTATATACCATTTAGTTTATTTCTGACTATAATTTAGTTTAGCTTAACTACCAAAAATATTACAATTTCCCTTTAATTTTTTATCTATAGATTTCTCAACGAATTTGTGTCAAGAACAAGTTGAATTTGTTTTTTGTTGTTGTTGTTGTTTTATTTTTTTTGCGTTTGCGAAATATATAGATTTTATGAAGACCTCGCCAGAAACTGGCTCTTGCAAATTATGGCCTAAACGATGCTAATAATGTATGTACATATGTGCACGTTGCATGTTATGGTTGTCATATTTGAAGCTCTTCAAAATATTATATTGCATGCCACAGTGCTCAAGTTCGTTGCCTAAGTCATCCGTTTGCCCTCTACAGTTGAAAATGTTCAGTTTCAGTTTCTGTTTTTGGTTTCAATTTCAGTTTCGCCTCGCCTCGACTTCTTTGGCATTTTCCATGCACAAGTGTGCGTGTGTGTGTGTGTGTGTGTGTTATGCTTATGATTTTTGTTTTCCGCTTTGCGTAGACTTCGCAGATTTGATGCCGTCTCGTTGAATTGGAGCTGTCTTTGGGCTTGCATAAGCTGCACGCGAGTTGTTTCTTATTTATTTCTGAATGCTGTTGTTTTGTTTTTGTGTGTTTGTGCATAGACAAAGTGACGTATTCAGCAGAAGCGTTTTAATTGCCAATAAATATGGAAATGAAGCAATTGCCTCAAATGTTAAACAAAAATTAAGAGACAGGCGTGAAGTGTGCATATTCATTGGCAGACAAACTGCAGTTGCAGTTAGCCAAGTTTACCAGCTGCCAACAGTAGTTGTAGTACGAGTATTGGCACGATTTCTAGTTCAAGGTACACACTCTATAAATACATACATGTACATATAATACAGTTTGTTGTATTGCCTTGTCATGCTGTGTGCTTTCTCAGACTGTGCAGCCAGGCTTTCCTTAAACGCTCAACGCTTTTTTGCTTAGACAATTGCTAGGTACACATATTTGTGTCTCATTTATGTTAAATAGGCCGGGTGACAAAACCCGAGATGCCAAAAAACTCGTTCAGTGTTGCATGAAATGCGCGATTTAGCCAAAAGAGGGCAGCACGACCAGCCGCTGCCCTGTATATGCGCATATTTGCGTCTCAGTCGATAAAGGAAGCTGGCAGAGAGAGAGACGCTATAAAAGTACTGTATGCATATACTGTGCGGGTGCAGCAGACTAAGCTCTGTTCTAAACGCAATCTGGCAACGCGTGCTTAACAGTGTGTGCCAAATGTGAATCAAAGTGCATTTTTCAAATCTGGCAGCGCCGTTCGAAAAATGTAATTAAATCATATTAAAAATTTGCTAGTGTACAACAAAATTGATTAGTTTGACGCGCTGCAAGCTTTACTGCATTTGCAAAATAAATAAACATAAATTAATGAATGTAGCTCAAGCTGCTATAATGTTGATTTCTAAAACTTTCCATGTACATTAACACTTTAAAGCAAAATGTTGCGCTTGTTTATGCGTTCAGTTCAAATTTATACAGAATCCGTTCCGTTCGCTCCGTAGAGTCAGGCATACCCGTTCGGTTTCAGTTTTAGCTGGGTAGCTTTTCAAATTGAGGCCGTTTAGAAATGTCACGCTGCCGCTGCGGCCAAAGAGCAAGGCACTTTTACTAAAACACAAAAGTGGCACGATTTTTGGCTTGGCTATGCCACACAATGTGCACATGATTTGGCCAAGTGTAACGTGGACTGCAATGCAAACCCAAACCCAAGCCCAAACCCAAACTCATATTCAACAGCCAGCGCCAGCGCCAATCTCTGATTTTGCAATTTGCAGGCGATTGCAGACGGCTATCAAAAGTTGCTTGTGGCACGCTGCATGCTGCGTGTGCTGCTGCTGCTGCTTCGTCGGAGTTGTTGTTGGAGTCGGAGTTGGAGCTTGCAACACTGTTTCATAAAAACAAACAGCAGACACGTTAGACGAGCTGGTGGTCTGGTCTCCTGGCGCGCTCGTATTATTGCAACGGCTTCTGCCAAATGGTCGCCGGAGCTGCTGCTCCATGTTGTTGTGGAGATTGTTGCTACCATTGTTGCTACTGCTTATTAAACCAATCAGCGAGCCGTTCCCCCTTTTGGCCGCATTGCGTAATCGACAGCCGACTGAAATGCAAAGAAATGCGAAATCAACGCCGCGCTCCAAGTCCAGCAAATTGAATCCATTTAGAAAGAAACCCGTTTCCAGCGTTTTCAGAATTAGCCCAGTTTATGCTTGCGACACTTGCGGTTGCCGTTGCCGTTGCCGTTTTTCTTGGCTGCTTGCCCGGAATGTGGTCTGTGTTATGTGCCCGGCTAATGCTTTCGATTTCCATTGGCGCCTTTTTCAGCACCCAAGATGGCTGATCTATCGCCCGTGCAGGAATATTATAAGGACAAGACCGTGTTCATAACTGGTGCATCCGGTTTCATGGGCAAGGTGCTGCTGGAGAAGCTGCTCTATTCATGCCACTCGCTCAAGGAGGTGATCATCATTTGCCGTCCCAAGCGCGGCAAGACGCCTGAGGCGCGACTCGAGGATATGTTCAAGCTGCCCATATTCCAACGCATCAAGGACGAACGGCCGCACATGCTAAAGAAGGTGACCATCTACCAGGGCGATGTGACCTACGATTGTAAGTTGCTCCACTGAAAACAGTTCTACCGCAAGCCTCTAACTCTCTTTCTCTCTCTTCCGGTTTGCAGTGCTGGGCTTGAGCGGCGACAGTCTGAAGCATGTGGTGGAGAACACGAACATAGTGTTCCACATGGCCGCCACTCTGAAGCTGGAGGGTAATCTGCGGGACGCCATTGACATGAACCTGTTGGGCACAAAGCGTGCTCTGAACGTGGCCAAGGATATGAAACAATTGGAGGCTTTCGTTCATCTGTCGACGGCATTTTGCAATTGTGATCAGGAGGTCATGTATGAGAAGGTCTATGAATTTCCGCACAAGCCCGAGGATCTGATGCGTCTGGCCGAATGGATGGATGTGAAAACATTGGATGCCATTACGCCCGATCTATTGAAGCCCCATCCCAATACCTATACCTATTCGAAGCGTCTCGCCGAGCTGCTGGTGCGCGACCATTACGAAACGATGCCGGTCATCATAGCCCGTCCCAGCATCGGTAAGCCATCTCCATGTCTATCTCTATCTCTCTCTCTATATATATATAAATATTCGTGTGCCTAATAACTGTGGGGCTTTCAGCTGGTGAGGCACGTCGCCTTAAGCTTGGTTGCTTGCTTCCTTAATCATTTCTTTAAGTTTAATCATATTTTACGTATATTTTTTAATATTATTTTCTGCCGGCCATAAATGTCTCGCTTGGCAAAGAGAAAAACATGCAATTAATTTGTCTTAGCTTTTCCTTGCAACCAGCTGCAGCAATCCGTTTTCTGGTCCCGCTCCGGGCTAGCTCTTAACTCATTCTACAGACTTTACGACTCTGGGCAAATGGCAATTGAAATTAAAGTGGAGATGTGGGGGTAAAAACCTGATCCTACGGCTGCAATGCGCAATTTTGTTTTTTTTTTCAATTAAATGGAACGGCAAAAGTGTGTTTGTAATTGAGCAAACGGTTAACTTCTGATAATTGACCTTTTTGTTGACCCCACTGAATTTACCTAACGGCAGTTAGTTGGGAAAAAAATACTCAAAATGATTTAAAAAATATATTTCTGCGAACGATTAACTGTAATTATATTATACTGCCATTTTAGCCCATATAATTTAAAATTACCTAAACGATGGGCATAAAAAGGAATAGGTCGTTAAAACAGTTAATTTCTTAATAATTTTAATATTTACAAAAGCTACTTTTGATCAGACATTATAGTTATTTAAAGAGAAGAAATTGGATGGTTTTCTTGAAGTTATAGATCTGTATTTTAATGCCACATTCAGTGTGTACATACTTTACGCGACGATTAAAACATGGCCGGTTGTTTTGGAGGCCAGTGTTAGCTGGGTTAAGACAAATTACTTAAAACAGTATTAGCAGTCTTATTGTATTATAATATTTAGCATACTCTCAGTTAAACGCAGTCTGAGCTCAAATACGCAATTTGTGGGCATACAAAATGTGCGAAATGTGTGTTGCACAGTGTATTTGAGTAAAGCGCGACCCGCTTTCAATGGCAATCAAACTGTTTAAATATTGATAAATTGATGACTTTGTCAGCATAAAGTTCGCAAAGTTCAAATCTGTTAGCGCGGCTCTTTAAAATGGGATTGGCAACTGGTCGCGTGAAGTTGCCTAATTGACAGCCGCACTTTTCGACTGCGCGGTGGGTGTGGCACAAGTTTTGGTTAGGTTAAAAGCGCCTTGTTATTTTTGCCGACTGCTAATTGATAGTTTTGGATGCTTTACCGTACCTCTTGTGTGTTTGTCTTTAAACTGTGCATCCGTGGCACGTTTGTATATTTTGTGTTTGTATGTCAGAGCCATAATTGACACCGCCTGCTAAGCACATGAATTAGACCAAATACAACAACACTGAAAAAAAAACAACAACAACAAGAAAACGCTTGAAAAGAGTGTGCAAAAGTGTGTTAAGTACTGGACAGACGGGGTTTTTGTACACACTGGCAGCACACACAGCAAGATGGGAGGGGAGGCTGGCTCAGCGGACAGCTTAATAGTCTGGCAAGGCTTTCGATACAATGTATAATCAATCGATAGTCAACAAATTAACTGTAAGCAGCTGGCAAAGGGCTTGCCAAACGGTATGTGTCCCGTTGTAATGTAAACAGCATTTTGTAAAAATATTTTTTTTTAATGTGCTGTCAATGTGTACAAGCCCGCCCAGGAAAACAACAACAAACAATGGTAACTGGCAATAATCATAAACATCAGCGCTTTAGCCAAAGATCTCTGTCTACATCTTTCAAAACTGCTTGTAATCCAAACACATAATACACACATGCACACAAACTGTAAGAAATCGTCGTCGTCGTTGTCGTTGTCGTTGTCGTTGTCGTCGTCATTGACCAACAAGTTCAATGAGCATGAAATTAAAGACGGCATGGCAATTGAAACTGAAGCTTATAAATAATGCTAAACAATAGACACGCCCCCAACAGCTATCCCGCATATTGCCGCTAGATCCAAGCTAAGCACCTGCAATTAAACGAGTTGCAAAGCTCAACCGCCAAATATCCTCTGCCTTTTCGCCCAGCGGAAACTCACACACGCTCAAAAATCCTACGCCCATGCCCACGCCTACGGCTTCGCATTATTTCCCTTGTTGCTGCTGCTGCTGCTGCTCTTAGAGATCTGGAACTGCTCTAAAAGATCTGGAACTGGGTACTGAACGACTCTCCTGCAGTTTCACCGTCGGCCTATGAGCCCGTGCCCGGCTGGGTGGATAATCTTAATGGACCCACCGGCCTGATGGTGGGCGCTGGCAAGGGCGTCATTAGATCTATGCTCATCGATACGCGCCACAAATCCGAGGTTATACCGGTGGATTATGCTATCAATGGCCTCTGCGTCATACCATATCAGTTTGCAATGGAGCAGCGACCGGTGGATGTGCCCGTTTATAATATCACGTGCGCCGATCATCGCAAGATGCAATGGGGCGAGGTGATTGAGATGAGCAAAAAGATTGGCTATCAGTATCCAATGGAGGCGGGTCTCTGGTATCCGGATGGCTGCATAACCACCAATAGATTCCATCACAATATCAATGTGCTGCTCTTCCATTGGCTGCCCGCCTATGTCATCGATTTTATGCTCTTCATTTTGGGCCAGAAGCGTTTGTAAGTTTCGGATTCGGGCAATGACCCTGTGCCTACACTACAGTTCCTTCTTCAATCCCACATCCCCGCACCCTTAAAACCGCTTAGTATGATACGTGTACAGAATCGCATCTCTGTCGGCTTGGAGGTGCTGCAGTTCTTCACCATGCGCGCCTGGTACTTCAAATCGGATGCCTACGCCTCGCTCTGGACCATGCTGACAGAAGCGGACAGAAAGAAGTAAGGACACACTGTTCCATTTTTAATTAAGAGTTCAACTGACTCTGTCACACACACATCAAACAGCTTTAACATGGACATGGATCCCGTCGAGACCATACCCATGTACATTGAGTCCTGCGTGCAGGGCGGTCGTCAGTATCTCATGAAGGAGTCGCCCGATTCGCTGCCCCGTGCGCGACGCCAGCTCATGCTGTAATGCCAAAAACAAAAAATAACCCTTCATTTATTTATTTACCAAACACTTTCCACCCCAACCCTATATTATAGGATGTATCTGTTGGATCGTGCGTGCAAGACGATTATCGTTGGTTTCCTGGGTTACTGGATGTTCGGCTTGGTCTCACGCCTTGTGGGCGTTTAAAGGGATACACAGATAAAGAGAGTGGGAGAGAGAATTGGGGAGCATATAGCCAAAACATTTGCGCGCTTTATCAATTTTGCTTAGGTTCGCTTTTTTATGGGGTACAAAACGTTTTTTTCGCATATTTGCTTTTTAGCCTTAAGTCAAGTGATTCGATGAAATGCAATAAAACGGTTCGCTAACTCAAAATGTGTACGTGTTCGAGTGTTGAGTATTATTGCACAAGTGCTCAAAGAAATATGCCAAAAGCCAAAAAAAATAAAAAATAAAATAAAACAATGCACTCACAATAAACACACACAATACAATACACAGCAAGACAATATCAAAATCAAGGTTTCAACCGGATTTCAATAAGGGTTGAAACTGAAAGTTTTACCTATTCGTTAATTACAATGAATACATTTAAGACACTCACAACATTCACAGCAATTCACTACTCACACACACATACACATAAACAAACACACACACACACACACACACATGCACACTTAATTGGCTTTCGGTTATCATCCAGCTACAACAGTCAGCAACTCATCCTGGGCCACTTGGTATGTAGAGTCTCCCAGTTAAGCCAAAAGTCTAATACTCTTTCGTATCCGAACAGTATCGCCGGCTGCTTATGAACCGCTGCCTGGCTGGGTGGACAATCTGAATGGACCCACTGGCCTGATGATTGGCTGCGGTAAGGGTGTCATACGCTCGGTGCTGGTGAATCAGGAGAACAAGGCTGAAGTCATACCCGTGGACTATGCAATCAATGGTCTCATTGTCATACCCTACGAATTTAATAAGCAAGCCAAGCGACCTGCCGAAGTGCCCGTCTACAATATCACAAATGCCGAGCACAGAAAGATGCCCATGGGCACTGTTGTGGAGTTGAGCAAGCGCATCAATAAGCAGGTGCCGTTCAATGCGGGTCTCTGGTATCCGGATCCCTGTGTCACAACCAATGAGCTCTATCATAAGTTCAATGTGGCCATGTTCCACTGGCTGCCTGCGTATCTATTGGACTTTCTAATGCTCATCCTGGGACAGAAGCGTTTGTATGTGCCCATAGAGAAATAATTGATGTACATAAATCTAATCAATTACTTTCGTATGAGCAGCATGCTGCGCGTGCAGGAGAAGATCTCAACTGGTCTGGGTGTACTACAGTTCTTTACGCTGAACGCTTGGAGCTTTACGTCGGAGAATTACGCCTCCCTTTGGAATAACCTGGGCGAGCAGGACAAGAGCATGTGAGTAACCATATATATAAGATGTATTCCCTGAATACAACTAAACCGAATTTTCTCTTTGGTAGCTTCAATATGAACATGAATGTCAAGGAAACTGAGGAGGAGTATTTGATAGTGTGCGCGCGTGGTGCACGCAAGTTTATACTCAAGGAAAAGGATGAGGATATACCCAAGGCGCAGCTGCACATGCGCATGTAAGCTTTGGCAATTTTGCTTGGTAGAACTGTCTTATTGTAAATTTCCTGTTTTCCAGTCAATGGGTTGTCGACATCGTTTGCAAGACCCTCATCGTTGGCTTCTTTGCCTATTATATGCTGAAATTGACGGGCGTGCTGGCATTGTTTTGAATCTCCGGGATTCTTTAACTTTTGTGGTCACTGGAATTTATATAGTCAATAGCATTTAGTTGTAGTGCAATTTAGTTTAAGGGTTTTCCAAATAAATATACGCATTTAGGTTTTTGTACTCATCTCCAACTAGTTGTTTACCCTTAATCTCTGGATAACATATATATTATAATTTTATTTGTTTATTTGAATTTGAATTACATTTATTCCGCCTGTGCAGTTACGCCCGCTGCCGCGGAGCCGCTGCCTGGTTGGGTGGACAATATGAATGGACCGACAGGTGTACTGATTGGCGCCGGCAAAGGTGTCATCCGTTCCATGATCTGCAACGGTGAGCTCAGGTCAGAGGTTATACCAGTGGACATAGCTATCAATGGCCTGATTTTGTTGCCGTATCACAACAGTCGGCTTAAGCAGAAGTAAGTTCTTCAAATATCTTTCCCAGCTTTAGTCTAAACGTAATCGTTTACAGGCCCCAGCAGATACCCGTCTATAATCTAACAGTCGATGATGCCAAGAAGCGCAGCTGGAAGTGGATCATGGATGTGGGCCGCGATCTGGGCCTGAAATATCCTTTCGACGTGGGCCTCTGGTATCCGGATGGCAATATGACAACCAGCAAATTCTATCATACCATCTGTACCATTCTGTTTATGTGGCTGCCCGCCTATGTCATTGATTTCCTTCTGGCCATCTTTGGACAACGTCGCTTGTGAGTTGACATTCGGCATACCCTATAAAGTTGTTTATTAAGCCTGCATTCGATTTGGTTTCAGCATGGTGCGCGTGCAAACGAAAATATCGGTGGGCCTGGAGGTGCTACAATTCTTCACAACACGCAACTGGGACTTTAAGTCAACGCATTTTGAGCAAATCTATAAAGAAATATCTGAGGAAGATCGCAAAATGTACGCCAACTGCTGATACCAGCTATATGTATTTAATATACTACACGGATATGCCAGAGGTTTCGAATTGGGAATTTCAAATATTAACTCAGCTCATTAGCCTGCACAAACAGATTTCATTAATATACACCAAATACTTCCTGATCGTTAATCAATGTTCACTTAATCTTTTTAATGCCCTTTTTGTAGTTTCAAAATCAATACAAACGATGTGGACGATTATGAATACATGAAGATTAGCATTCTGGGTGGACGTCAATATGTTATGAAGGAGCCGTTGACCTCCTTGCCCAAGGCGCGCATACAGCTGCGATTGTAGGCGAACAACAGGATGCACCAATTGAATGTGATTTATAATATTATTTTTATGCTTACAGCATGTATGTGTTGGATCGCATCAGCAAGGGGCTGATACTGGGAGGCTTCATCTATTGGGCCTCCATGAGACTGGGTCTGATCGATCTCGTGCGACACGGCATTGAGGCAGTCAAGCATTGAACAACGTGGATGAAAACGGAATGGGAACCATCATATATGGGTTGCGCTGGTTCATATACTTGTGCATGTTTTTCCCCATATTTTTCACATTATCTTGTCAAAGTAGTGGCAGGGCTTAAGATTGAAATATTCAGGGTTTTTTGTATATTAATTAACATTAAAGTTGCACATACAATTATAAGAATATATTATTGTTTAATTCGTTGTGTTTTTATTTTATGGCAGCGCACTAACAAAGGTTTTACTTTTGATTTAAAGACTTGCAGGTTCGATTTCTGGTATAAGTCGAGTCTATTTGGTTCGAAGCTGGTTTTTAGCATCCTTGGACTCTTGGTTTTGGTTCACAACTTCGCTTTTTATATATATAATCAATTATTTTGTGCGAATGCATTTAAGTATTATATATATGTGTGTGCGTCTGTATATATGCATGTATGTGTGTGTGTGTGTGTGTGGGCGTGTGTGTGTAAGTGTCTGCATGCATGTATGTATGCATCTATGTATGTATATATGTATGCAGGCATGTTTGTTATTTCTCGCTGTGCTGCAAATTTAAATATAACGAACTTTTACCAAGTGCTGTCCTCCTCGATTCTCAAAAATTCATGTAGGCCCTGCTGAATTTCTACAAGGCAGCAGACGTTGGCACCAACGGCCGGTGGAGGAGCAGCTGGAGGCGGTGCAGCAGACGGAGGCGGACCGGGTAAGTAGATATGTATTTAGATGTATGTATGTAGATGTATGTATGTAGATGTAGATATGTATGTAGATGTAGATATGTATGTAGATGTATGTATGTATGTATGTATGTATGTATGTATGTATGTATGTATGTATGTATGTATGTATGTATGTATGTATGTATGTATGTATGTATGTATGTATGTATGTATGTATGTATGTATGTATGTATGTATGTATGTATGTATGTATGTATGTATGTATGTATGTATGTATGTATGTATGTATGTATGTATGTATGTATGTATGCATGCATGCATGTATGCATGTGTGTATGTATGTATGTATGCATGTATGCACGTATGCATGCATGCACGCATGCACGCATGCATACATTTATGCATGTACGCACTAATGCATGTATGCATGCCGCGTACACGTACCTCTTATGCATATTTGCATATGTATGCAGTCGGGGAGGTCCGTAGAATCCGCCAAGATCGACGGCGAAGTTATGTCGCTTCAAAACGACATAACTACCCCGAAAACTTTAAATGGCTATATCTCGGCCAAATAAAGCCCGATAGGGGCCAAAAAGGGAGGGGCTACTCGGGGAGGTCCGTAGAATCCGCCAAGATCGACGGCGAAGTTATGTCGCTTTGAAACGTCATATCTCCATGATTTTTTTAGATCGGCGGAGTTATGTCGCTTCAAAACGACATAACTACCCCGAAAACTTTAAATGGCTATATCTCGGCCAAATAAAGCCCGAAAGGGGCCAAAAAGGGAGGGGCTAGTCGGGGAGGTGCGTAGAATCCGCCAAGATCGACGGCGAAGTTATGTGCATACAAAAATGCATATATGCACACAAACATATATACATCTATGCATGCATATATTTAAATATGCAAAAATGCAAACATACATGCATGTATATATGTGTAGGTATTCGGACCTGTATTTATACGTGTACGCATGGATGCATGACCTATGTCTGTCTATATAGGATATTTGAGGGCACCATTTACACATGAATTTTGACCAAGAATAGGATACTCAGATTTAGATGCCACATTGATCTAGGGGTCAAACCATTAACTAAAAGTCAAACCTTATGAGAATCAGATGAGTTTTGACCGAGTTATGCGGTTGGGAAATTTCGACCTTTGTCTATAAAGGATAATAGCGGGTATACTCCGGCTTTGCCCGTGACACGTTTAATATATACGTGATATATGCTTAAGAAGCTTTTTTTTTAATTTTTATATATCATTGCCCGTTGCACTGAAAATATTGTAATTCGTAGATATTTTCATATGCGAAACTCGGGCTAAATCTTGCAATAAAAAAAGTTCGGAAAGATATATACCATATTGTTACTGTAAAACGAATTGAAAGAAAGGATTTTCCCTTTTTTGGACTCGTAATATTAAGCTAAATAGTTATGTGGTTCGGGAAACGATTCTTGAGCTTGTTTTTGACTTGCTCTTATTTTGAAATACTTTACTATATCAATGTCCGCCGCAAAATACCCTACATATTCCGAATGCAGCTGTCAGCCTAAAAGTATTCAATGCTCGGCTCATAAATGCCCAATTTGAATGTTCAAATAAACACGATTTATTGTGTCAACATATTGAAATTTCACGGAAATGTTGATGATAATATTTGTTAGCTTCTTCCCGAATATTGTTGTTCATTATGCAGTCAACTTTTAACTAAGTTCTATGCATTAACATTGTCAATTAAATTTATGCAATTAGCTAGTTATTTGAGGAGGTCGGAACCGGGCGGGTGAAAAAAAGGGGCATTAGGGCATTGCTCGGGGCCCGAGTGGAGACTGGATTGCACTTTAAATCAATAAATAAATAAATAAAAAATACCGATAGTAGCATGCTTTAAGCACTTCAAGTAACTGGAGCAACGTTTTGAGCCCAGTTGAAGAGCTTGGTCGAGAGCCTGGCAACAGATTATCAGACTAAATGATGTGCCTAAAATTCAGGCCTACAAATAATATATGCCTGAGCATATTTCACTTTGGGTCTACTCCTAGTTCTGGTTACTTAGCACTTCATTTAGCTCTCACATATATATATAGTATATAGTATATATGCTTGTTGTCGCCCATAATTCGACTTGAGTAGCTGCTGGAACTGGCCTGGCTTTTTCTTCATCTCCGAAGGCAACGTCTCACGTAGCGATTTTCGTTTCATTTATTTAGTTTTGTTTTGTTTTGTTTTTTTTTTTTTTTATCGTCGAACATTTTGCTTATAAATAGACGTTGCCCGGCCCGAAATCCACCATTTGAAACTCAACTGTCGGCGTGCGTGAATTGAACAAGAGAAAAAACCTGTTGTCGATTTTAAGGACAATTCCGTAAGGTTCTATCAAAAATATTTTATTTATATATATATACACATATGTATATTCGATAAACTGTGAGAAATTGGTGAGAATTTCAAGAGCATAAATTGAGTTTTAAAAGACAAACATAGCCGAGGAATATGCTTGTGGAAAAAGTGGTGAGTAAAAGTGAAAAATCCAAAAGGATTCAATTTGTGAGAAATCGAAATGGAACCCGAAGTTAAAGAGATCGAAAGTGGGATAGTGCATGAAAGTACTTTATCTATATAAAATAAATGAATATAATAAAATATAATAAAATAAAATATATAAAATATAATAAAATAATTTGAAAATTATAAGGTATATAGAAAATTATTTAAATATTTAAATATTTAATTAAAGCGAAAAATTCGCCCAGCCTTAAGAAATCAGAAGGAAAACATTAGCAAGAAATTTGGACTTTAATGGATATTTTATTATACGATTTTGGGAAAACAAATGAAATTTGAGAATTGAAATAGTCAAATATGAGATATTTCTGGAAAAATTCTATAATCTTTGAAGAAATAAGAGCCTAGATTCTAAGTAGGGTAAGAAAGGCAGAGAAAGAGAGACAGAATGTCTGAGAGAGCGAGGCTTAATAGGTTTTTGGGTAACGTAAGAAAGAGATAGAGAGAGAGAGAGAGTGTGTGAGGTTAAATAGAATCGGAAACATGTGCGATTTGTATATATATTGAAAAACCCACAAAATTTGAAGACTTCCATTTAATATTATGCAATGCGTCTTTATGCAGTTGACACAAAACCTGAATTTATTTGTGGTTACTTCAAATACGGAGAGTGTGATATTTCCGCGATATCAAACTTAACAGATATCTCATTATTGTTATAAACCTCTTCTTTTTTTTCTATTGGTTGGCCTGGCTTCAAGAAACTGTGGAGGGTCGGGGCTCCGTTTTTTTTTTTTGGGCGTGTGAGCAGCAAAAGACGCTGACGATGATAATTTATAGAATTAGTGGGAAATAATCATGTACATTTATTAGTGAGCAGGTGTGAAGTTTTGTGTAAATACGCCAGTTAGCCACGAATTCGCCTGACTTATGATATATGATTAACGTTCGATAGATGGGATATAGTTGGGCAGAGCGGAAGCCGCGCTTCAGCGGCGTCTGTGGCCACGTTGTTGGATCAGGTGGAGTGTTTCCCTTGAAAGTTCCTAATTGCCTGAGGCTGTGTGGGTGGGTCATTTGATAGATACCCAGCCCTGTCGAACAAAAATTCAAAAATCAATCGAGTTGTTTTATGAATTTCCTTCTCTGTAGCTTAGACATTTTTTAATATCAATCCCAGCTGGCAAACACATTTCGAGCTGGGCAACAAATATATCTATATATCTATATATATATAATTAAGTTTTACACGTTAGGTTACTATAAAAAAATATATTTCAATTTATTATTTTCACTTAACGGCTACTTTTGTTGAGTACATTCAGATTTGCTTCCCGAATATGAACTGATTTATCTAACTGTTGCGGTCGCTTAGCAAACTTCGCTTTGAGAGAGTTTGAGTCAAAATTGAGTGAAGTTTGAGCTGCGTCAGCAATTATGCGTGGGATAGTACTCTGATGGGAACATTGACAGTGGCGTGATATTTAGGGTGAATTGTTTATGTCTACCAAAGGGGGACAGTTTGATCTTGACCAATGTCGATGTTATCACCAGGCTCTTTGTTTACAATATTAGAAATGTTTATAATTGTGCTTATGCTTATGTGCTAAGTTATGTTAAAGGGTGGGTGCGACTATGGATATGTCACTCCCCCAACCATTAGAAAAGTGCCTGTCCTCAGGTGTTTAAGTTTGGATATAGTGTAACATTTTCTTCTTTTAGAATTGGTATATCTCCTATTATTGTAGGTGTTTCTTCTACTTTGGGTTTTTTATATTTTATAATTAATTTCTTAGGTATGCTTTTGAACTTATATGTCAAATACAGTGTTAAACTTATTAATATGATTACAAATATGGTTATTGTAATTATCTGGAATACATTGTTAAATTTTGTATGTGCATTTATAATTTGTTTCGTTTGTACAAACGAAAGTGGTTCTAATTTTATAACATCATTGCTTACGTAAATGCTTTGAGTATAATCTAACATATTGTTTGAAATTGAAATTTCATTAATTTGCAATGAACAATTAAAGATTTTTATTATATTGTCTCCTTCTATTGTTATTTCGTTATTTATACAATTATGGTTTAATATAGTTTTTGGTAAATTCCAAGTTAAAATTATATTTGGTTCTATGTAGTTGATTTGAAAATTTTGCAAAATTTTAGTATAACTACATTCTGATGTTATTTGGTTTAAAATTCCTGTTAAACATTCATTATTAATTAATTTTTTTGTTTCTCTGCTATAAACTTTTTTATCTTGGGTAAAATATTTTTCATGAGCTATTTCTGTCAAAATATTATTATTTTCATCCGGGTATGGAATTATTTCGAATACCGGGCTTTTTATTATTTCTCGAGGAATATGGGATATTATAAGTATTTCGTTTGTATCTGATTTAAACCAAGTGGAAGTTTTTGTATTCAACAATTTCTCAGAATTAACATGCAACAAATAGTCATGTTTTAGTAATTTTGGGTTAAAAATTCCTAATCTTGTGAGCTGCATTCCCATCTCAATGTCTTCTATATATTCTGTAAAGTGTTGTAAGTTAAATATAAGGATATCTAATTTCTTTCCTTTTTGTTTCTCTTGATCTAGTTCGTTCATGATTTCTATTCCTTTGTTTATAGCTTCTATTATGTAATTTAATTCGTTAACCTGGACGCTGTTTTCTGCTAAGTTGCTTATTTTTTGTTCAATTTCTGCTTTGTCTTCTTGATCTAATGTTCCAAATAAGTATTTATATGCTGTTCCTACTATGTTAACTAAACCTCTTTTGCTGCGTTTGGCTATTTTTAAGCCGTTTATTTCTCTGTTTAATTTTTCTACTAGGTATTCGATTTGTATAAGGTTATTGAATTCTTTACTTTGTTCAATTAAATTGTTAAAAGTTTCTTCGGTTTTTGTTATATTAACCGTTAAACAGTGGAATTCGTAATCTGTCGGAATGTCTATGGTTCCTGTTTTAAATATGAGATATCCGTTATGGGCTTTGATAGGATTAATTTCAATACTCTGTGCATTTATATGGTTTACAGTTATTGATAGTAATATTATAATAATTAATTTAAGCTGGTGCTTGTATGTTTTGATCGCTGTCTGTTGTTGACCTGTAATTGTTATATTTGCTTTGATTAGTCTTCTTTTTCTTTTTAAATTTGGTTTTGTAATGTGTTATTTTCCTGCCTCTGTTAGTTTCCTCAAAATGTTTGTCGTCGATTTGTCTTAGTTCTCCTGTTTTCTTGAACGGGGTTGTCGTCTTTGATTTAACTAACGGTGAGTGTTTGTATCTAGTGTCAATTTCATAATTTGTTCGTTTTTTGTTGAGGTTATTTATTAGTTTTTCTTTATTAGCTTGAGTGTCATACTCTGGTGTACCTGCATATATGAATATGTCCGCTGGTGTTCTGTTAGTCGTTTTGTGCTTTGTTTTATGATTGTACGTGTAGAGTATAGTTTCAAATTTTGTAAGTTTATTTTCGACGTCTGAGTCGCTGTTAATGATTCTTAGTTTTTCGTTAACTGTCTTATGAAATCGTTCTACGTCGGATATACCGTTTTTACTAGTGGTTATATTAATATTTACTGCTTCTGATTTTAACCATAATTGTAAAGCTGTGCACATAAAAGCTGAGTCTTTGTCTGCCTTTATTTCGATGGGTTTACCCATTTGGTTGAACACTTGTAATATAGCTCGTTTGGTTTCTAGCCAGTCTCTACTTTTTATTTCTATTAATGATGCAAATTTTGAATAGATATCAATGCAAGATAAAAATTGTTTATCTCCTACTATGTAAAAATCCATTACATATTTTTCTCGGATATTAGCGATTTCCGGAGTTATTTCGAAAGTTAATTTTGTATCTCTGTGTTCTGTTTTTGCGATGTTGCAAATCTCACATTCATTTATTAGATTTTGAATTAAATTTTGATAATCTGGGAAATAGTGGGTTTCTTTGAACCAATTGATAGTTTTTTCAATTCCTGGATGTAATAATTCTTTGTGCTTTTTTAATATTAATTCTTTGAATTCTGCGTATGTTTGAAGGTCTATTAATTTTGTACTAGTTTTCATTGCCTTTGTTGAATTATTCGGACTTATTATTTCTAAGTAGGCTTCTTGAAAAATTGGAAAATCTGCTTCGTTGTGGAAGTATAGCACACTTTTCTTTGTGCATAAGTATTCTTTTATTAATTCTTTGGCATGCGTATTAGTCATGTCTTTGTACGTAATTTTTATGTTGGTTTTGTGAAAGTAATTCGTAACTTTTGTTTCGTTCTCGGTTCCTTTTTCAAATTCTATTTGTCGATTGTAATAATTAAGTGGTCTTTCTGTGATTTGTAAATGGTTACTGTTGTCTTCTTGAGCACTATGTATTGTTGCTCTTGTGCTAATTGTATCTTCGCCTAAGAAGTTTTCGTTTAATTGAATTCTGGACAGAGCATCTGCCACATAATTTTCTTTTCCTGGGACGTATTTAATTTGGAAATCAAACTCATTTAGCTTGATCTTCCACCTTTGTAATTTCATGTTAGGTTCTTTCATATTATTTAACCAGACGAGTGGTCTGTGATCACTAAGGATTTGAAATTGTCGACCAAAAAGATAGGACCTAAAGTATTTAGTGGCCCAAACGATTGCTAATAATTCTTTTTCAATCGTTGAATAATTTAACTCATGCTCGTTGAGAGTTCTACTTGCATAGCATATAGGCTTATGCTCTTGCGAAAGGACGGCCCCTATTGCCATATTACTTGCGTCTGTAGTTAATGAAAATGGTTTTTCGAAGTTAGGGTATATTAAAATTGGGTCGGATGTTATGAGTACTTTTAGCTTTTCAAACGCTAGTTCGTAGTCTCTGTCTTTTATATTGATTTTTGCTCCTTTTTTTAATTTAAGTGTTAATGGTTTTACTATATTAGCGAAATTTGGTATAAATTTCCTATAGAAACCACATAATCCTAGAAATGATTTAATTTCTTTTGGGGTTTTTGGAATTGGGAATTTGACAATTGCTTGTATCTTGTTGGGATTTGGTTTTATACCCTCAGTTGTGATGATGTGACCGAGAAATTCAGTTTCTTTTCTCATAAACTCGCATTTATCCAACTGTAGTTTTAAGTTAGCTTCTCTAAGCTTCTTAAATACCTTTTGTAGCGACAAAATGTGTTCCTCCAATGAAGTGGAAAAAATAATAATGTCGTCTAAGTAGACCAGACAATCCTTAAAAATTAAATCTTCTAAGAGATTGTTCATACAACGTTGGAACGTTGCAGGTGCATTCTTAAGACCAAATGGCATGCGAGTGTACTCGTAATGGCCATGTTTAGTCGAAAATGCGGTCTTGGGTATTGAACCAGGATCCATTTGGATTTGGTGGAAGCCTTTGGCTAGATCAATGGTTGTGAAATATTGACATTTTCCAAGTTTGTCTAATATTTCATCCATGATCGGGATAGGGTATTTATCATTAATAGTTAGTTCATTGAGATTGCGGTAATCTATGACTAACCGGAACTTTTGCTTTCCAGATGCATCGTTTTTCTTTGGAACGATTATTACTGGTGAGCAGTAAGGGGATTTGGATTTACGTATGATATTTTGTTTTATCATATCGCTTATTTGTTTATTTACTTCCTCATCGTATATTTGAGGATATTTGTATGGACGCTTGTAAATTGGGTCCTCATGTTTTGTTAGAATTTTGTGTTTAATTGTACTAGTGAAAGTCAAATTGTCACCTTCATGGTACTGGATATCACGAAATTCATGTAAAACTTTTTTTATTTTTTCTTTTTCTTCTGAGTTTAGGTGCTCTAGCCTAAACTCATTGTTTTCTATTAATTCATTATTAATAGCGAAGTTAAATGGTCTGTCCTCTGTTGAGGGTGGATCAAGGCACTCTTGTGCGGTCATGTCCTCTTCGACCTCTTCGTCGTTATATCTAAAACAAAAGTTAAATTCTCCTAAGGTTACGGATCCTTGTGCATAGTCTATTTTTGCTTGACATGCCTCAAGGTATTCTCTCCCAATCAGAACATCATAATGCTCTGAGAAGTCGTGAATATAGAATTTTTGTTTGCTCGGACAAATTTTGCTTGCTCCTAATCGTATACTTTGTTTTAATTCAATAACACCATTTATGGTGTGAACCTTTAATGTTTCGTTGTAAACTGGAAAATTTAAGCGGTTTGTTTTCATTAGATTTATGGTTGAACCTGTGTCGATGACACATTTTAGAACTTCGTCATTCATAATCAATTTTATGAATGGATTTCTTCTGTTTGTTCCGAGGCTTGCTGATGAAAATTTTCGGATGTATCCATTTTCATCTGCCCACTGTTACTATCTCTTTGACGTTTAGTCGGAGGGTTTGGTGCATTCAAGCGTGAATGGGACTGATTTTGGTAGTTTAAGGGATTTTGGTATCTACCTTGACTTAATTTCTGTTGGAACTCGTGGTGAGCTTTCTGATTGTCTTCGGACTTATTGTGCTGTTTATTTTGTGCGTGATAACTCTGATTCGTGTTGGAATAACCACTTGAAATGGTGGTTGGGTTAGCATTTTGCTGATAATTTCCCATGTTCCTACGATTGTTATTTGGATTTCCCTGAACATTATTATTTTTAGGTTTTTCAGTAACGCTATTTTCATATAATCCCTCTCTTTGAGCTACTTGCTTTAGTTTTTGTGTCGACGTAATGTCGTGTCTGGCTAACATCATGAAAAGCCTATCTGGTAATTTTTTTGTAATAACATCTTTGATTGTGTTATTCATAGCATTTGTATAAAGGGTTGTATTGCTAGGTATATTTTCTAGTGCTAACTTATTTAATATAACAAAAGATTTATTCTCGAGCTCCTCGATGAACTTACGGACGTTTCCTTGGTAATTCGTGTTGTATAAGCGTCGAAGGAGTTCTTCAAATGGTGTCTGCACTTTGTATTCTTCAATTAATGCGTTTCTCAGCTCCTGCCAAGTGTTGGCTGCTGTCCTTTGTGATATTCTCTGAGCATCTCCTGTGACTTGCAATTCGATGGCTCCGTATAAGATGCTATGTTGTCTAACATCTCGGGTTGGATACAGGTGTAGGATGTAATCTACCCTTTTAATGAAGGCGTTTAGTTGATCCGTTGATCCGTCAAAGCTTGGCACCTGTCTAAGTTGTGAAAGGGCCTGGTTGAGGTGTTGTTCTGATAATTCCATTGTCATCTTGGTGTAATACACTTTTTTTTTGAATAGTTTTGAGTTTGTAGGTTTGAACTTTATTGTTCTTTGATTTTGCACTTTTATTTTAGGTTAAAGTTTGTGATGGATTATTGGTTAAATGTTTTTTTTTTTTTTTGTGTGTGTGTCTTAAAAAGACTCAGTAATAACGTATTGCAGGGATCAAACGATATGCAAAGCCAGTCGTTATTAACTGTAGTAGCTTTATTGCCCAAAGGGTCAATATTATTAAGCTACTAGTGACCCGAAGGTTCTTGTGCGGATACGTATTCGAGAAAATTTTTATTACACTCCGACAACACTTTCGGTCGCGATTGTGCGTTAGATCTGGGAATTAATTATCCTTTAGCGATCTTTAATTTTTCCCGACGTATCCTACCGGCTGCGCCAATTAAGTTTTACACGTTAGGTTACTATAAAAAAATATATTTCAATTTATTATTTTCACTTAACGGCTACTTTTGTTGAGTACATTCAGATTTGCTTCCCGAATATGAACTGATTTATCTAACTGTTGCGGTCGCTTAGCAAACTTCGCTTTGAGAGAGTTTGAGTCAAAATTGAGTGAAGTTTGAGCTGCGTCAGCAATTATGCGTGGGATAGTACTCTGATGGGAACATTGACAGTGGCGTGATATTTAGGGTGAATTGTTTATGTCTACCAAAGGGGGACAGTTTGATCTTGACCAATGTCGATGTTATCACCAGGCTCTTTGTTTACAATATTAGAAATGTTTATAATTGTGCTTATGCTTATGTGCTAAGTTATGTTAAAGGGTGGGTGCGACTATGGATATGTCACTATATATACATATATTCATTCTGAAAGCAACAAAAATTTGTATAAATTCTAAACAATCAAGAAGAATGTCGCAGTTTTGGGAACGCTATATACGCCCCGGGCTCAGCCAGGTCGGTCGCAATCTGAACCTGATCGGCGGCAATGCCAGCGGCTCGATGCTATGGAAGCGTGTCACATTCCTGGTGGCCACGCCGGCAATTGCCCTGTGCATGATCAATGCCTATCGTTCCAAGCCCGGGGAGCAGCCGCGCCAACCGTTTGTCAAGTACGAGCATCTGCGTCGTCGCAACAAACGCTTCCCGTGGGGCGATGGGGAGCGCAGCCTGTTCCACAATCCCAATGCAAATGCATTGACCGAAGGCTACGAGGTCTAAGCCACACAGATCGGGAGCTCAAGGGATATTCTAAAGGGGATTTACGATTGTTTCGATTATGGGTAAGCAGCTCGTGCAGATTCAGGCCAAGCCAGCGAATTAATTCGTGTCCTGCTCTCAGGTTCGTTTTGTTATCATTTATCAGCTGTTTCCAGAATCGAGCAGAACCAGCAATAACCGGAAGTACTAACCTATGCCAATGTATATTACTGCATTCGCAAGATATGTAACGAAAATAAAACTGAACCGAAACGCGCACAGACACAAACACACACACGTTGGCTTTTAGGCAACTCCCCCACTCATCCAACCACCCAGCCCTCCGACTCGTCTGCCCCCCTATAGTATTTGGGGCGTGGCACGGCGACTTTCGCTTTCGGAAAGTTACACACACACACACACGAATAAAAAAAAAAATAGCATTTGATTATCGTACGCATCTAATTTGCCATGCTGCACCTGTACCTCGACTTACAATTATTTATTTTTATTTAAAATTTGTAATGCATATATGTATATTCATATACAACATTATGTTCATACAAAACTTTTACGGCCACAATGCGCAATTGACCCTGAATCTTGTGCTTGTGGTGTGCGTGTGTGTGTTTGTGCATGTGCGTGCTCGGATGTGCATGTAATGAATGGTCTTTACTTTTAACTTAACAAGGTATTTGTTCGGCTCGAATGAAAAACATTTAAAAAAAATATATCAGAAAAATCTTGCCTAGTCTAAGAATAAATCTTAATAGACGCTTAATTGAAAGTCTTCCATCCTGCGCCTTTCTATGCGATTCTCATGCATGAAAGTTATGCGCAGCGACTTTATTATTAATGCTTTTTATTTAATGCTGCTTTATCTGACAGTGATATTTAAAAGATTTGAAGATTTATCATGTGACCTTTCTTTTCCTTCGTCATCGCCTTTCTATGCGATTCTCATGAATTTAAAGTACTGTCTACGCATTTGAATGTGTATAAAACATTGATTTTCATACGCATGCTCGCTTTCATACTCTCATTCTTTCGCTCTCCCTCGCCATCTTACTCCTTTCCTCTCTTAGGTATTTCCTTATAAGCTTTTATTATATTATATACCTTTAAAGCATAGTTTGGTAGGGTATTCTGTTTGCCTCACTTCGAAGCGGAACTACATTTAGTTACTGGGCAATTCGGTTTGGTTTTTATGTTTTTGTTTTTTCTCGTACCACAAAACAGTTGACATACGAGTGCTCGTATTTAATTGCTTGACGCTTTTACTTGGCCAAAACCCAAATCGAACAAAGCCTCGCTCTGGGAAAAAGGCGAAAACAAAACGTGCGCCCATGATCTGAGGCTGTTTTGGTGATCATCATTAATCAAAATATTTTGTTTCGGCTTATGAATGGGCGCTGCGCTGTTCTTGTCAACGAGCTTGGCCCTGAGCTTGCAGAAAGTGCCAGATCAGAGCTGAAGATACAAATGTATCTGTATCTGTATCTGTAACTCTAGCTCTATATCTGTGTCTGTGTATCTGTATCTGTATATGTGTATCTGTATCTGTATCTGTATCTGTATCTGTATCTGTATATCTGTATCTGTGAATCTGTATCTGTATCTGTGTATCTATTTATGTGTATCTGTATCTGTGCCTATGTATCTTTATCGGTGTATCTATATCTGTGTGACTGTATTTGTGTAGCTATTTATCTTTATCTGTGTATCTTAATCTGTGTATCTGTATCTATATATTGTGTATCTGTGTATCTATATCTGTATCTGTATCTGGATCTGGCGTCCTTGCGCGTCGGCACAATCAATTGTTGCCGAAATATCGTGAGAGGCGGGCATATGAAATCAAAATTCGCTGTGAGTGTGCTAGTGTGTGTGCGTGTGTATTAAATGCACATACGACGTGTTGTCCCAAGCAATTCACACCGTTTGGCAGGCACTTTCGTCGATTATTTCGGCGTTTGTGGATGGCTGAGTGTTTACAAAAACTTACGACATAAGGCACGAGCTGGTTCACAACACACACTAATGACGTTCCCAGTTAATTAGATATGTGTCCGTGTGTATATGTATGTGTATCTGTGAGATATGTATCTAAATGCTATTAAGCTGAAGTGCGTTCAAGGGCCAATTGGCAAAGGGGGATTCGGGCAAATATATTTTACGCACTTGATTAAATTGCCCAAAGGGCAAACAAATTGTTGACTAACCAAATACCCTCTCTCCACCCTCTATCTCCCCTCACATATAGCTGGAACGTGCCACCAAATCGGAGCTGTGCAGCGCTTTGGCCCTGTTGGTGCTCTCGCTGAGCATCTATGCCTTCTACACACAGCTTCTATCCTATCTGAAGTCAGTGCTACTGTCGCTGCGTCTGTCCGGGCCGCCATCGCTGCCCTTTCTGGGCAACTGTCTGCTGATCAACGAGAAGGATCGTGAGTGCTCAAAACTTGAACTTAAAGATATATCCCTATCCCTATTACGTATACGCCCTGGTCTCTCTTTTGTCTTTTGCAGTTATGCGCAAACGCGCTGCGCGCGCCTTTGATCTGTACGGCTCGCTGGTGCGGATTTGGGTGCTGCTCTTTCCGTTCTTTGTGGTGCTGCAGCCGGAGGATCTGCAGGTGATACTCTCCTCTAAGAAGCACACGAACAAGGTGTTCTTCTATCGGCTCATGCACAACTTTTTGGGCAACGGGCTGATCACGAGCAGCGGAGTCAAGTGGAGCACGCATCGCAAGCTCATCCAGCCGGCGTTCCATCTGAGCCTGTTGGAGAAGTTCATAGACACGTTCGTGGATGCATCGCAGTCGCTGAACGAGCATCTGGATGCCTCGGCGTTGGACATCGAGATCAACATAGCCAAATATGTCAACAACTGTGTCATCGATGTGCTGAATGGTGAGCTTTGCCTGAGTGGGTCCACACCAAATCCTAATCCCATTTATTTGCAGAGGCTGTGCTGGGCGTGCCCATCAAGAAGAAGGGCCTCGGCCTGATGGAGGATTCGCCGTTTCGCAAGGGCAAACTGATGATGCCCGCCCGCTTCGCCCAGCCCTGGCTGCTGCTCGATGCCATCTATCAGCTGACCTCGCTGGCCAGCGACGAGCTGAATCAGAAGAAGCGTCTCAATGATTTTACGCGCCAGATGATCAAGCGCCGGCGCGAAATTATGGCTGATGCGGCCAACAATAATGTGGAGCGCAAGTGCCTGCTGGACTATATGATTGAGATCTCCGAGAGCAATCCGGACTTCAGTGAGGAGGACATTGTCAATGAGGCGTGCACCTTTATGCTAGCCGGCCAGGACTCTGTGGGCGCCGCCGTTGCCTTCACCATTTTCCTGCTCGCCCAGAACGCGGACTCGCAGGAGCAGTGCCACGAGGAGCTGGAGCGCATCTTCGACTACAGCAATCGTGCGCCCACGATGAGCGACCTTCGTGAGATGCGCTACTTGGAGATGTGCATCAAGGAGGCTTTGCGCCTGTATCCCAGCGTGCCGCTCATTGCCCGCAAGCTGGGCGAAGAGGTGCGTCTGGGCGCGTACACATTGCCGGCGGGCAGCAATATCTTTATCTGCCCGTATGCCACACATAGACTGGCGCACATCTACCCCGAGCCGGAGAAGTTCAAGCCGGAGCGCTTCAGCACCGACAACGTGGAGCAGCGGCATCCGTATGCCTTCATACCGTTCAGCGCCGGACCGCGCTACTGCATCGGCAATCGCTTTGCCATACTGGAGATCAAGACAATTGTGTCCCGCCTGCTGCGCAGCTATCAGCTCTTGCCTGTGCCCGGCAAGACCACATTCGAGGCCACATTTCGCATAACTCTACGCGCCTCGGGCGGGCTCTGGGTGCGGCTTAAGCCGCGCCAGCAACACCCAGAAGCAGTCTAGTGGAGGGCAATTAGTGTAGGAAACGAGGCCAAGGCAGCTGCGGCCCGAGACATCACTGAAAGTTGCGCAGTTTTGATAAAATTCCCAAAATGTGACGCATCATTTAGCCCAGTGAGAAGCGAAAAAAGCGAGAAGCGAGAAACATAGCCAGGTGCGCTACGCTTCTCCATTTACCCTTAGCTTTAGTCATTATCTAAGATGTCAGATATGCTGTTGAGAGTCGAAGCAAGAAGAGAAGCGATAAGTAAAATCAAAGACCAAGCTGCAAAAGAAGCAACAATTAGCTTGTCATGCTTCTCTCAACGCTTCTCGCGGCTACTTCAGCTCAGCTTTACTTGACTTCAAAAAATATCTGAATTAACACTTTGTCAGAGAAGCGAAGTGAGAAGCAATGCTTAGACTTGTCTAACTTTTTTGAAGGAAATGCTGCACTTCTTTCAATGCTTCTTGCTTTCATTGTCACAAGGGAAAATATTAAGAATAAGCTAGTGCAATTGGCTTTGCTTGTTATATCGCCACAAACCTATATACTCTTTCAACACTCTGCGAACAGAGTATAAGGGCCTTTGTCGCTTAAATAATGAGTCGGGGGTTTTGATGGATTCTTGCCTATAGCTTGACAGCGTTGGCTTCGTTATATTAACTTTAATTAGTATGGTAAATAGATATTATGTATATAAATCGATACAATAATTTAATTATTTAGCCTTTGTCTAGCCTAAGTGCAGTGCGATGTGCCTGTGCCAGTGCCAGTGCCTATAAAGTTGGGTGCATTTGGATTCGGATTTGGATTACAATTAGTTCGCATTCGCAGCCATATATACTTATACATATTTGTATGTATATATATTCGAGTGTTTCGTACAGATTTTCCTTGGGTTTGTTTTTTTTTACATACACAACACAAAACAAAATAAAAAATAATTAATGATATTTGCAATAATAAAGTGAATTAAGTAAATCAGCTTTAAGCGACATAAAAGCTAGGACGTGATATGTTTCGTTTCGTTGAATCTATTGATGAGACTGCGCGCACGTGACTCGTGCCCGTTTCCATTCCCATTCGCGTGCGCGTTCCCATGCCCATGTCCGTGTCCGTATCCATGACCGTTTCCATTCCCCTTGACCTGCGCCTGCCGCTGTGCGCTGGCCACCGTGTGCTGTTGGGCAAGACGCTCCGCTGTCTCGCGGACGCGACTGCTCAGCCGCGTTGGCGTTGCGGCGCGCTGGGGCAGCGGAGAGCTGGGCATGGATTGGGTTTGTGTTGGTCTCGCTTTACTGCCAACAGTTGACCTGTTCGCGGGCTCTCCAGCGGCTATGCGAATAGAGAAAGAGAGAATAGTGAGTATACAGAGTATAAGATCGTTGTGTTTTAGGCAAATTTGTTACGTTTACTGATGCGGCCCGTGCTCGCGACCTTGGCGATTTGATTGGGCTCTGGGGCAGGCTTTTTATGTGCGGAAGCAGCAGCAGCAGCAGCAGTAGCAGCAGCGGCGGCAGCGGCAGCGGCGGCATTTGATTGCTGGAACCTGTGCTTGAGTTGGGACACTTTCAGCTTGGACTCGCAAATCGGCTTGGTGGCATGCGGCTTTGGCTTCTCACGCGTGCAGCTGTCTTCTAGGGATTTCTTGCGCATCTTAATCGTATTGGTAAAGTCGGACAGCATTATGGGTTCACCCTTGGCAGGCAGCTCCAAAGCCGGCACGCTGCTTGCGAACGTTGCTGGATTGTCCGCGGGCTCGCTTGCCTGGCTCGCTTTGGCTATTTGCTCCAGCTTGTTCTTGGCCAGCGTTAGTAGCAGCGTCTCCTGTGTGCCCAGGCTGCCATTGGAGCACTCGCTATAGCCGGAATCACTGCGTTCGCTGCACTGCGACTTGTCGCGCAGCCTCAGCACGCCCGTCGTCTTCCGCTTGTCCACGTGCGGCATCTCGCCGCTAAAATCATCCTCCTCCTCGTTCAGGGACGCCATTTGCGTGCCGCTCACATGGGCGGCACTCAGCATGCTCAGGCCGGAAATGGAGGGACGCGGACTATTGCAGGCGCCCATGGCAATGGCCGAATTGCGACGTGACGCGGACAGCGTAGCCATGCGACCCAGGGCGCGTATAGCATTGCCCGTTTTCTAAGCAGCGGGAAGCAAGCGAAGCATTGGTTAGACACAAACAAAACAAGGTGGGAGCAGCAGTTAGTAGGCATAGCTGTGAAGACTGACCTGCCACTTGCGTCGTATGATAAACTTCTTGAGCTTGTCCGTGCAGATTTTGTTATTGCTGAGATTCTCGTCGTGGCGCTGGCACAGCCATCTGGACCCGAGGCACTGCTGGGCAGTCAGACGCGACTCCTTGCGGTGCACAAGCAGCTGTGAGATAAAGTCCTTGGCCTCTTGTGAGCTGTAAGCAGTTCGAGTTGGGAATTAGTTTAACACAAAGCTTGATCAGGGCTACGTACACGCAATCGAAGGCCTCATCATCATAGTCGTAGTCGGCACGCGTTATATTCGAAAAAGTTTCCACATCCGTGTCGCCCATAAAAGGTGACAGGCCCGAGAGGCTGCAATAACAAAAGAATTTGGAAATTTAGTTGAGTCAAATAAATAGCTATCCATTTGTGTTGTGCACTTACAGCACGTAGCATATGACGCCGACGCTCCACATGTCCGACTTAAAGTCAATTGGCTCGTAGCTTATGATCTCCGGCGGTATGAATTCGGGCGTGCCGAAGAGCACACGCACCGGCGCCTTGGTGTCCAGGCGCTGGGCCAAGCCAAAGTCTATGATCTTAATCTGATGGCTGGTGCGCGTGTGGCACATAATGTTCTCCGGCTTCAGGTCCAGATGCACCACGCTCTGGCCATGCATATAGGCGACACCCTCGCACACCTGCCGCAAAAACAGAATGCAGTCCAGCTCGGTCAGCGTAAAGTCATCCGCCACAACGCGCTCAAACAGTTCGCCGCCCGTAATACTATATAATGAAAGTACAATGAATGGATGGGTATATAGACACAATTGACGGTACTCACTATTCCATGACCATGACAATTTCGCGGGGGCTTTCGAAGGAGGCGGCCAGCTGCAGCAGCTTGGGATGCTGCAGTGAGCGCATTATCGATATCTCCTCGAGCACTTTTTGGCGGTCGCGTGTCTTGATGCATTTGATCACCTTGGCGGCCAGCAGCTGTTCGGGCTGTGCGCGCTCCTGCACCTTGTAGACGACGCCAAAACGTCCCTTGCCCAGCTCCTCGATGATCTCGAAGCGTGACTTGAAATCCCCGCCAGACTGCACTGACACAGCGCTCAGGGAATTGCCTGTTGCTTCTGCTGCTTCTGCAGCAGCATCCACTGTTGTGGCTGTACGTGTCAACTGCACCAATTCGCTGACCTGGCTGGGTGCACTGCGTCCGTGTATGTTCTCGGCGCGCACACGAAATCTGTACTGTAGCTGTGGCAGCAGATCCTTGACGGTATAGGCCAGCGTATCCACGACGCGGGTCAACTGCTGCCAGTCAGCGTTATCCTTAACGCTATCACAGTCCGTTGGCTCGCAGCTCTGGATCTCAATGCTGTCAGAGGATTTAAAATTAAATTATGAAATCATGGAATTTAATTGATATCAGAATTATGCACTCACATGAAGCCCGTGATCATGCAACCGCCATCGTAGGGCGGACCACACCAGGCTATGGCCACACGATCCGGACCCAGGGAGACACTCGGCTGTCCGCTGGGCGGCTCTGGTGGTCCCTCGACGGCCACCGAGGCGGCCGCTGCCTCCACGCCATATTCGTTCATTACTTCCGCCGTATATTTGCCGCTGTCATCGGCCGCGATGTCCGTTATATAAAGCGTCGATTGCTGCGCCGTGCTGCGAATTGTCACATTGGCGCCCTCAACAATGGGACGGCACTGCAAAGGCAAAAAGGTACAACAAGCGTATTAGTATTGCGGGCAACCTTCGATGGGCGCGCCGTCGTCGTCGTCGTCGTCGTCGTCGCCGCCTTGTTGTTATAGTCTTTGCGGTTGGCAACAATTACGTCAATACCGCAAACTGATCGTGACACAGTCACAGACTCTCCGACTAACTAGATCCGCGACTAGACCAGAGACTGGAGACATGCCCCATGCCCATACGCAGCATTCAGATAGCCAAGAGCAGCAGCTGGGTTTTGTCTATGGGGCGGGCTTATTTAGATAAAAGCATGATACGGGATCATGGTCATAACAACTGTGCTAATCTTTGAGCTGTTGACGGGTTTTTTGCCCTAATTAGGTCGCTTGTCAACTCGCGTTGCGCAACAGCTTTGCGCAAATGCCCGATTTGGTGCAAAGGCGGAACGATTTACATTGAGATCTCTATAAAATCAATAACTCGGGGATCAATCAGGCAAACGGACAGGCCAAGCCTACAAGTAGAGGGCATTCTTAATTCTGTCACGAAGCAAACAACCTCCATTCCATACTGGGTATATATATATATATATGTATATAGCCGGGACGATATAGACAAGTTCGTCTGTCTGTCTGCTGCTACTTTGACCTTACAGGGTTCAAGGGTTGAACATTATATAACCATATCATTAAGCTCTAGAGGAAACAACCTTCAAGGTGCATTAACGTTTTAGAAGATCTCTACGAGCTTCTCTTCTAATAACCATATCCAATCGGACTGCCGCATGGATGCCCTAGGTCTGTTAGGGTATATACCTTTAGCCCTTTGTTTGTGCATACATACCGCCTTGTACCAGATGACTTTGGTATTGGGGAATGGCTCATAGTGCACGCTCAGCTGGACATGGCCGCCAATGAGTGCGGTGCAATCTTCGGGGCCCTTCAAAATGCAGCTGCTGGCAGCCAGTAAACAGTTGTTGTTGTGTTCCTTGCTCTGGTTGCCGCTGTTGCTGCTGTTGCTGTTGCTGTTGCTGCTGCTGCCCGTGGGCAGCACTAGGAGGCTGGTGTAGCTGCGGGCGGCGGGCGTGCGACGCTCCGGCTGTGGATGCTTCACTTGCAGACGCAGCTCACCGCTCTGGGCCAGCTGGACGTCTCGCAGGCGCAACAAGCGAATGCCGTTCTCCGGATACGACTCCAACTGTAAATGAAGATAAAGCGTTTTAGCAGCTGTGTGTGCAAGTATGTGTGTGTGTGTGTGTGTGTGTGTGTGTGTGTGTGTGTGTGTGTGAGTGAGGAGCTTGCGAGTGCAAGTATATGTATGTGTGGGTGCGAGGAGATTGCCAATGCAAGTGTGTGTGTGAGGAGTTTGCCAGTGTTTGAAAACAGCTGGCACAAGGCAGAGCAAATACTTGAGTGCGGCTCAATGACAATGCCGAGCCAATGAAATATGCGCCTAGTTAACTTTTCTATACGATCAACACAAACATTTGCATATATATAAATATAAATAGGTGTATATATGCCTATATCTGAACAATTTAAAGCTCGGGCAGCGCAATGCGAGGCGCCAACGGCCAGTGTCAAACTGAGAATGACGCGACACCCCACCAATTAATTATTGAGAACATTTAACAAAAAAATACATATATATATATAAAATAAAGCCGAGCAATGCGAACACGCTCGGTATTTGATATCGGGCACGTTTTCGGTTTCAGTTTTAAGTTTCGCTCGTAATGTTACTTTCACGCTACGCGCGCGCATTCTTATCAGACGCGGGCTTTAAAGCCATATTTACATAGTTGTGCATTATCTACAAATGTTTCATGATATCGATATTGCGGATCGTTAGCAATAATTGCCAGCTGCCATTACCTGTGACATCTTGTCTGTGTTGGGGCTTGCAATAACAATTTGTTATATCGCAATTGTTATATCGTATTTGTTATATCGTATTTGTTATATCGTATTTGCTAAGGGCGATCTGCTGGTTGTGCGCGCCGTTTGAAAGCCATTGAACGAGTGCCTGGGCTGGGGACTGTGTCTGGGGCTGGAGCTGGGGCTGGGCTGTCTGCTTGTTTGCTCTCCGATCGAGCATCGCATCCGATTGGATTCGACGGCGACGCGTCACTAACATCGTTTGCATGCGTTGCGCATGCCGCGGCATTTTAATCTTTTTATACCCTGAGCATATTGCAAATGGGCAAGCAGGGTATATTGGTTAAGTGCCACACAACTATAATCCCATAAATTATATATATTCTGGGCAGCATTAGGAGCTCTATCTGTCCGTATATGTTATCATATATCATACGCCGAAAGATATCTCTAATAATATCAATTTTTAGACAGGGTTTTTTTGAGCATAATGCGAATATTATAAGAGCTACAAGCACTGTACTTTAATATATACACACGTTTTTATGCTATATTTAAGCCCTGAAAACTTCATTTAGATCGGACTATAAACAACGGAGTTACTTGAGACTTCCAAAAAATAATGTAAGACAATGTAGAAGACATTGATGGAAGAATGCTTGTAATACCAAAATTCTAGAGTATCTCCTAGTCGGCACTCTCGACTGTGGCACCTTTACTTGTTTGGTTGGTGTGCGTGCCTGTGTGTGTGTGTGTGTCTATAAATGCTTGCGTATTGTTATTGTTATTGTTTTCACCGCACAACGCTCGTCGTTGACAAGGTGTAAACGAAGCGCTTTTGTTTTCATACACGTTCACAAAGTGAAAAGGGTATATTGGCTTACTGCAATATGGAATAGAGACGAAATTTTGGGGTATATAAAAAAATATATATAGTCGTGTATACCCACACAATGGTCTTATAACTTTTCGACCACGCCAACTATCTATATATATATCTGGCACAGTTTTAAAGCTACAGTCATTAAAGTTTGCGGGTAAACCACTCATGACCTCTTCTGACGATCGATAAAATCTATATCTGTCGATAATTGTGGCGTGTAGCCTGAGGACGAGTAGTACGCATCCGACTGAAACGTTCCTGCTGCTCAAAATGGCCAGCGGCAAGGCAGCCTCAAGTGCTGCTTCGCTCGAAAGCTGTCCCAACTGAAGCCAGGCCAGGCGACAACACATCATGCCAACAAATTTGGGTCGCACAGAAATTGCTTCATTAGGATCCCTACTCCAAGGGGTATTTGTGAACTATCAACAAGCTTGAAGGCCTTAAGAGCTAAGTTAATTGTTAAGAGCATACAGAAGTCGGTATGTCTCACTCTGGGTTATACGTTTTGGGTCAGACGCTGATGTTGTCTGTGTTTCTTACGCACCGTCATGTTTGGTGAGTCATCCGATATGAGTTTTCCATTTAGATACCATTCGGCATCCGCTTCGCAGGGGTAAACACGCGCATAGAAGATAGCTTCCGCTCCTGACGCACACACCACCGGCAGCGGTGTCTTTAGCAGCTGTACGCTCTCGTCGTGCCGCGTTAGATCGCGCTCCAGCACGCACAGCTCGCCGCTGCTGCTGCAGTCGCACGCGCAGTCGCCGTCACCGTCGGTGTCATCCGAAGTGGACGTGTACACCTGACAGCTGTAGATGCCGGAGTCAATGTCAAAGGCGTCGTTGATGCGCAGACAGAGACAGCCATTGCCGTGATCGATGTAGCTGTATGACATGGGTATACAATATATATATGTACATAGTTATACAGAACAGAAATGCTCACTTGAACTCCTCGCTGTCGGGCAGAATTTCGCCGTTGCGCAACCACACGTAGCTGTAGGGTTCGGCGCTATTTATGGCACAACAGAGATCGATCACCTCGCCCTCAACGGATTTGGTAAGCTCGGGCAGCGGCTCAGCAATGGCAGCGGGGCGATGTTGAATTTCAGTACTTGATCCATGGAATTTGACATCGATGGAGCTAATCAGAGGATCATGATCGCCGCTTATTATGCAGGTGTAGACGCCCTCGTCATCTAATGTTACATTGTCAACAAACAGCATAGCCTCATCCTCCTGCAGCACAATGTGCACCCGATCCGACTGCACCAGCTCAACGTTGTTGTGATAGAATCTCACCGAGGGCACGGACGAGCCACGAAAGCCACTCGCCAGCGCCATGCGACCGCCAATAGCTAGAGTATACACAAGATTTGAATAAATGCAATTGTTGCTGCTGATGTCATTTGCGTACCTGTGGATGGGCCCATGATGCGCCGATAGAGATAGGCATTGCGTCGCGAGGAGGAGGCGCGCACGCTACGTGTCGAGGGCGATTTGGAGTAGCGTGAGCTGCTTATAACGTCCAGGCGAGCGGTGGCTTCTATGCGCCCAAAGTCATTCTCGAGCGTGATGCGATACAGGCCGGCATCATCAAAGCCAACCTCATCGATCTCAATGAAGCGCAAATCATCGACTTCCTTGACAGCAATTCGTGTGGTAGGCGTGACAATCAGGCCATCCTTGTCCCAGGTGGCCCAAGGCGTGGGATGACCAGCAATGGCGCATTGGAAGCGAACGCTGTCGCCCTCCTCTACGACACGATTGTAGGGAATGGCTAGGAATTTGGGCGCTGATATGCAACGTGCATCGCTGCGCCGGCGCTCCACCGAGCCCGTGTGCAGATCAATGCTGCTGTTGCGGTAGGAAAGTCTCATGGGTGAAAAGCTACGATTGGGCGTTGAGCGCGGTGTGGAACGTGGCGTGGAGTGGGCCGATAGCAAAGCACTTGGCCGTGCCAATTGGCGGCTAAGCATGTTCTCCTTCTCCTCAGGCACATCCACAATAATGCAGGCGGACGAAAGGGTGCGGCCTACTGAATTCTTGGCCACACACGTATATTCGCCCTCGTCCTCGGCATAGACTCGTGGTATGCTCAACGTGGCCTTCATGCCGTCATATGACATTATGTAGTCTCTGTCGCTGGGCAAAACGTGGCCATCCTTTTCCCATATTATATAGGGCTCCGGCATTGCCTCCACATGACACTCCAGCGATATGGCGTCTCCATCGCAACAGCGCAGATTGCGTAGGTTGCGTATGAAGCGCGGCAGCGTTTCAATATTGCTAAAATAAATAAATATGACATTTAAATAAAACATATACGGTATTTATTAAACAGACAACACTCACCCATGTCTCGTGTGAACCTTGTCCATGCGATTTTCTTTAAGTATATCTGCAAAATTAAATAATATAACATTTTGGCGCCGATTTTACCAATTTAAATGTAGCGCTACACAACAGTTGAACAACGCTGAGTGCGGTAAGTGAGCGGTAATTTTGATAATATACTGCAGCCCCGGTTGCAGCTATTTATAGCGACTCCAGCGTTACACAACAGTTGAGCAGCACTGAACGTGGTGAGCGAGCGCTGCTTTTGGTAATATGCTGCAGCCCTGGTTTTGGCTATTTATAGCAACTCATTTTAGCAGCCTGTTGTTTGTGTCGGTCAATTTCAGCGTCGTGCTTGTGTTATTTTTCTTGTTATAAAAGCAACTTTATGTAATTAATACAAATGCGTGGCTTAATCATTGTGCCCATGGACTTGGAGCCTGGCTTCCGTAAAGCAGACATACACAGCTTACCCACGCTCACCAGCGGCATGGTCTTTAACTTTTTCGCAACAGCCACAGACAACAAAATGTAAGTGCCGCCTTTTTAAACACACGCACACTCATACACACACACTTATAAACTTCATTGATGTATATGAAAAACCGCTAATATTCTTGTTTTTATAGATCCTCGGAGAGCAACGATTTGCTAATAGACTATGTGCACCTTCGCCGGCAGGGCGAGCTATGCGAATTAAAAGCTCTGGTCTTCTCCGCCGCAGACTTTGCCAATACGGAAACACATGCCAATGTGGCCATCAAGGTACTGGACCATGAAAATTCCCTTACAGATGGCCAGTGCAGCCTGTGCTCCGGAGTAGGTAAGTAGGCAACTCGCACTTATTGAAAATTGATTATAATTTACATCAATTATAGCTGTGTGTCCGCATGTCGTTGCCTTTGTATTTTGGCTGCACAACAAGAGCACAGATAAAAAGCCCACAGCTCTGTTGGAATTCTGGGGCAATGAGCTGGAGGCGCTTGTTCAACCGGAGCCCACAAGGGCAGTACGCATAAAGGATATGGTGCCCCTGCGAGAGTTACACACCGAGGTGGATGATGAGGCGTCGAGCCCCAGCGAGGGCGACGAACGTGCATTTCTGACATCTGTGCTGGAGGAGCTTGCCATTTGTGGACGTGATTCGGCGCTGTACCGTCAATGCGTGGAAACCACCGATGAATTCGAGTCCATACTGATACACCATATGCTGTTGAAAGCAGCGGAATATAACATATACGATGTGCACAGTTTTCTGCAGCACTTGGAGCTGCAGGCGCAGAGCGGTCTCTTCGAAAGTCTCAGCGAGGTGACCAAAAGGCAGTACAAGTCAAAGCTGTGGATAGAGGCGCAGTATATGCGCATACGCTGCTCGATGATGCACATGATTGCCACACGCAAAACGCAGGAGGAGGACGAACAAATCTTTAATATGCTCTTTTGCAAGGGACGCGACGAAGACATTGAGGATCGTGTGCAGCAGAAACAGCACAAACGTTTCATACTGAAACAGACCGAAAAACTGGAAAACAAGGAGTATCTGGAATGTGGTCTGTTGCTCCACGAAAACTATCCCTATTTGTGTGGTGCCCCAGATGGTATTACGGATGATCACATCGTCGAAATCAAATCACCAAAGACTGAGGAGGACTTTGAGAAATATCTCGAGGCACGCGAATCCATTGCGCCCAAGTATATGGCCCAGATACAGACACAAATGTTTCTGGCCAACGTAAAGAAGGCGCTCTACTGTGTGCTCAGTCCCACATTCGAAACGAACGGCGCTCTTCACTACGTTTGGGTGCAAGCCGATCCCGAGTTTGTCGCCAGCCTGCTGGGCATGGCCGATGAATTTTGGAAAGATGTAGTCTATCCGCGTCTCGTCAGCATTTATCCACAAGCATTGTGAACGTCAATCGGACAATAAACACACACAGCTACAACTAGTCAATAGATATAAAGCATAATGCGACTCACCTTTGGCGTAAATTTGCAGGGATATTACAGCCTTGGCCTCGCCATGGCAGTTGCTGGCTATAACTGAGTAGGTGCCGGTAAAGTCCAATTTGGCGCTGGGTATCTCCAGGCGATACTCCGGCCCCTCGCCGATGCGTCGAAAATGTGGTGCGTCCTTGTAGTACTCCGGCTGCAATAAAGCAGAAACAGAAACAACAAAACAAATCAAAAAAGATATTCTTTATAATTGACACATGGAATGCTGCAGCTGCCAGTGTAGCGGCCATAAGGATCGTCACAGATCGCTGAATGAATGAATCATGTAAGTCTCATATATATTCTTTATTCATGTTATTGTTGTTGTTATTGTTGTTGTGCTCAGCGTATGGCCATATAAGCACAAAATTTAATTTCGCGACTGTCAATAGGAAAACTGGTAACTGGAACTCGTATCTGTGTTGGGTTGCCCACCCTGACCTCCTGCTTCCTTGGTACGACGAACAGCGGCACGATTGTGGCTAATAATTTTTTTTTTTTTTTTGCTAGCTTTGCTTTTGTTGTTGTTGTTGGTGTTGTTATTGCTGTTGTTGCCTTTTTGGCTCTGGCCAACAGTCGTAATTGTTAGTATAAAAAACAAGCATGTTATTTGATATGGGTTGAACTTGAATTAGCGTTTGACAGCAGATCAGCTTTATAAGAACTAAACTGCCCATGCCATGTGTGTGTGTGTGTGTGTGTGTTTGAGAGTTTGTGTGTGTAAATTGTATAACAACTGAGATTGACTGCGCGACGTGTGACGCAGTTGTCTGGTAATTCGAGTAAGAAGCAGCTGCAGTTAAGAAAAAAAAGAAAACTGCATTGTTCTCCCCTCGCGCAAAGGTATTACAATTTTGGTCACGCATTCAAAGGTGGGCACTGCATAATATATTTGATAAGATAAATGTGTATAGATCTTTCTTTTAATGTATTAGGAATCAACTGCATTGAAAATGTTTTGTTTTTGGAGAGAATCGAAATGTATTGAAGAGAAAAGGGCTTAATTTATGTTTTCATGTAAGCACATCAAATTGGGAACTTAGTTAAAAAATCGTTTAACGATTTAAGGGTTTGGTTCGCATTTTAAATTCAATCTTCCTGAATGTTTGATGTATTGTATTGTATTGATGTATTTTCTATTGGGCTTTTATTATGTGTAATAACTTGCATGGATCTGGTTAGGATTCCTTACAGCATATCAGTTAATTACAAAAGAATTTTAAATACAAATATTTTCCTTCGGTTAGGCACTGAGACTCGCAGTCGAATACTTTTAAATTAATTTGCGTTATGATTATTTAAACAAGTTTTCTAACGTGCCAAACTTATTGAAGAAGACTAGACAGTCTTGGTTTAGGTCTGAAGTAGTCAGATATTTCAGCATTACTTTAAAATGGCATTCACACAACTTTCAATTAAAAGCATTTTCAAAGATGCGTCTTTAACTCTGCTCTGTCAAATATATTTTTATTAAAATGTACTAAATGTACTTCTTGTACCATCTAGTTTACCTTTGGCACACTTTCTGGAGTCTCTCTGGGTTAACACTTTGCTCGTTCGGGGCGGATCAATTGGTATTTGATTGATATATATTTCTAAAAAATTTATCCGCACGAGCAACTGTTGTAAATTTGAATGTCGTTAGCACTGTGACAACTGTTTGAATAGTTTTACACTTTTTTATAAACTATTTATGCAAATAGTGCGGAAATCAAGGTAGAAATTATATATTTTTGCCATTTCCTGGGCCCACAGAACTAATTCAACTGACTGTTCGGTAGTTTTCTTTTTGGCGTTGGCGCACTTGCACTTGAGCTATTATTTTTATTTTTGATATCGCAACGAGATATAAGCGCGGCAACAACAACAACGAGGACTGCGACGACTGCGACCCACATTTATTGGCGCCGCGAATGCAACTGACTCAGAAACGTGGCGGTGCGCAAGCGCTTGCAACCTGCCGCAGTCGCTGCTGACGTCACTTGGCTTAACGATCGAAAATAGAAAAAAACGAAAAATACTCACATTTAGAAAATCGCGCAGCCAGACAACGTCGGGCTTGGGATCGCCGACCACTTCGCAGAATATGATGACGTTGTCGCCCTCGTAGGCCTCGCTGGAGCGCGGTTTTACCACAAACAGCGGCTCCTTTGAGTAACTGCAGCAAAGATTAAAGATTAATAAGATAATAATGATTTGTGGGCAGAGTTTGTGCGTGCTACTCACGGCATATCACTCGTCTTGATGCTGGGTATTTCGAGTGCGCGTTGCGGCGTGGCAGCTGCTTCGATCTCCTCGATGGCCACACGACAAATTGTCTCCACCTTGCCGACCACATTGGAGGCCACGCACACATAAATGCCCGCATCGCGTGGCGTTGCCTCGGCAATAATGAGCTCCACAAAGCCCGTGGAGTCCAGAGTGGCGGATATGCGTCGACTAGGCCGCAGGCGCATGCCGTTGCGATGCCAGGTGACGCCCACAGCGGGATAGGCTTCCACCTTGGTGGACAGACGTATTTCGGTGCCCTCGCGGAACACATAGAATGGATCGAGGGGTACATAAAAGTCAGGTGAGATGTAAGCGCGTATGCCCTTGTCCACCACCAGGCAGCTGTGACAGGACACGGAGCCCAGCTCGTTTTTAGCCGTGCAGGTGTAGTTGCCGCTATCGTCGAGCGTTGTGGCCGCGATTTCCAGTGTAAAGAATTGACCCTCGGCGGTGATCAGATGCCGGCTATCACAGCTGATCAGCTGTCCATCCTTATACCAGTGTATCTCCGGTGCGGGATAGCCCACAATTTGGCAGGTGAGGCGCACCGGGTAGGTGACCTGGACGCGACGGTCCCGCAGACGCATCGTGAAAATGGGCAGCGATTCGCCAAGCTCAGCCGGATGGCGACCGTGTGCGATTTCCTTCAGCCTCGAGTCCGCCTCATAGAGCCTCGGATCGGATACGACTTGCAGGCGTGCAAAGGTGGAGACGCGTCCCTTGGAATTGGTAGCCTCGCAGGTATAACGTCCAGAATCGAGATCACAAACTGTTGCTATGGTGAGCGCACAGGTGGAACCAATCTGGCGTATCTTGACACGCTCCGAGCTGTTGCTCAGCTGTATGCCATCCTTGTACCAGGTGACTTTTGGACGTGGCGCACCACGCATGTTGCACTGCAGCGTAAACGAGGAGCCAAGCAGCGCTTTCACCTGCCCCGGCAGAATCTTGACAAACTCCGGCAGGCACTCGACGCCGCCTACCTGCAGGGCGGAGCTGGTCTGAACCGCTGGCCCCCAGCCATAGCGATTCTTGGGCGTCACCCGGAAATGGTATTCCAAATTGGGCTTCAGATTGAAGGCGTCAAAGGAATTGATAGGCGTCAGACCTAACTCGCGCCAATAGGCGCCACCCTCATGACCCAAAATCCATGCCTCCACCTTGTAGGCAATGACAGGTGCAGAGTTTGCGCTCACGGGCTTGCCCCACGACAATGATATGTGGCTGGGTCCGGAGTCAACGACGAGCGGTTCGGTTGATATGCAGCCAGGTGGATCTAGGGGAAAGTGTGAGGTGGCAAAGAGTTTTGCATAAATAATGATGTTTGGATTGAGGGGGCATGGGAAATCAAACGCATTACGCCCCGGAGAAATATATATTTTATTTTCTTGTTTTTTTTTTTTCGACTACGTAAATGTATAAGCTGGATTGTTGTGCTTTATATAATACGCTATTTGTATACGATAATAAAATAAGTAAATAAGTCAATCGTTCAGAAATACTAACAAAAGATAAGTTAAATACACGGATAATTTGTTTGTGTTTTGGGCATTCATTGAATCTCACAGGAAATTGCTTTTGAGAAGTTTCTTGATAAACGGCACAGGAGGCAAACAAGTTGGAGTCGAAGCGATCTGCAAAATATGCAAGTCCATGCGCTATATAATACTTGAGATAAAGCTGAAACTGAAACACTAAAACTTGATCGACTTGGGACACAGACAAACGGAATGGACATGAAAGAGAAACAGAAAGAAAGAGCGAATGAAACACAAACGGAATGCTGTGTACAACAATGGAACAGTGGAATGGAAACATGGAATACGGAAGCAGATTGGAAAAAGCAAATGAAAAACGAAACATCTAAGTATACTAAAATAGATTGGAATTGGAACACACATGGATTGCTGTAGACTGTGACGAAACGGCGGAATAGAACAAGGACCCACAGGAGGAAGGAAGTCGAAAGGAAGTCCGTGCGACATGGAAACGCGCGAATGGAACACAAACGGAATGCTGTACACAACAATGGAACAGTGGAATCGGATACGCAAATTGGAAATACAAAATCAAGAAATACAGGAAACATATGAGTACTAAAATACATTGTGAATGGAACACAAACGGATTGCTGTAGTCGGGTCACACTTGAGTATGGACAGATTTAATGAACTCACCTCTGAAATACGAAGTTTCACTGTAACTGTCGAGGGGTTGGCCCCATCGTGGTTGCGTTGGGGTTTCAGAGCGAGCGCGCGGGTTAACCTATAAGTTTTTGTAGTCAGAACGATATTATTGTTTATTTGAATGAACACATAGAGTCGGGAAAGTTTGACTTAGAGCATAAATATTTTGGTGCGTTTAGGGGGGCGTTTAAATTTGCGCAAACAATAAGTAAATATATTTGAAATAGGCTTTATTCTTTCTTTTTGGGCGTTTTAATCTAGAAAAAGAAAAGCGTAAAAAGAGAGAGAGAGAGAATAGCAAAGGTTAGTTAGCAAAAGCATTAGATAAATAGCCAAACATTCAGGTACAGCGACAACAAACACATAACACAATGGGCATTCGTAGGCAGTACGTACTGTAATGGTGACGAATATTCTGTCCGTTCCAAAGTCGTTGCGGGCAACAACGAAATAGGTGCCGGAGTCGGAGATCTGCGACTTTTGCACTGTGAATCTGGTATAGTCATCGGATACCTCTTTGCTAACGCGATCCGATTGGGTTATATCCTTGGTGCCCTTCATGAACACAACTGCAAGGATAAACAACATAATTAAATTGATAAGCAAACGAGGAGTTTGGAATATCTTACGCTTCGGTTTCGGATCACCCGCAATGCGGAAGGACAACGAGAACGGATCACCTACGGCGATCTTCATTTCGGTTTCGGGCCTGGACAGGAAAAGGGGCGGACGTTCGTCCTTTTCGGCGCCAACAGCGACATCAATGTTGACGTGCGACTCAATGCGTCCGTAGGCATTCGAAGCGAGACAAGTATAGGTACCCTCATGCTCCGCGCCAGCATTCATGATGGCCAGCGTGTAGACGCCACGCTCGTTCATGGTCTTCACATTGGGACCATCAACATTCCGGCGATTGCGCAGCCATTTAACCTCAATGGGCGTGTTCGACTGCATAAACTCAGCGGAGATGGCAACGGTGCCGCCATTGCAGACGGTCTGATTGCCCAGCGGGGTCAGGAAGTGCGGCTTGTTGGGATCGCGATGGAAGAAGCCGTGCGTCTTCTGCAGAGTGAAACGCTCGCGGCCCACAAAGTCCACCTGATGGGTCATCTTATGCTGGGCGCCTTCGTTGGTTGCTATGCAGGAGTATATGCCAGAGTCCTTTTCGGTGGGATTGCGTATAGTCAGCTTGCAGTAACCGTCGGCCTGGTCGATCAGTTGATATTTCTCATCATTATTAATGGCATCGTTGCCCTTCATCCATTGAATCTCTGGCCGGGGCTGGCCGCGCACGCGACAATCCAGAACCAGCTCATTCTCATTGAGAGAATACGTGTCTGTAAAAGCATATAAATCAAAGAGGGGTTAATAAAGAACCAAATGAGAGCTTGACAAACAAAAGCGGTTAGAACAGCAAGGAGACTGTATGCAGGCGTATGTTTTATTGGACGCGCAGCTTCACGTGGCGTTCATCCATAGCTCTGTGGAATACCTCGAATTGGCTGCGTGAAAGTACTTGGCATGGACGCTTCCCGGAAATGCTTGTAGACGCGCAACTGCGCATGGGTTAGACTCTCGCCGAAGTCATTGATGGCCGAGCATGTATAATTGCCGCTGTCGTCTGACACCGCGGCGTAGATCTCCAGCGATGCCTCGCCATTCTGATAGAGCGTCTGATAGCGTGTATCCCTTGGCAAAGGCTTGTGGTTCTTCAACCATTCGATGTGCGTGTTTTCGTCGCCAGAAACTGTGCAGACCAGTCGCACATTGGCGCCCTCTGAAATGGTGCGATCGTGCAGATAGCTGTGGAACATTGGCTTAGTCTGCGCTACGCTGCGCAGGAGACGATTTCCAGTGCGCTGCACTCCAGCATTGCCGTTCACATAGGCACTCGGTTGTGTGGACTCATCCGGCAGGTCCCTCGGCTGTGACATCGACTGCGACTGGGATAGCGAAACCTTCTCGTGATCGTAGGCAATGAGACGTTTCAGGTCGGCTGACCGTATGTTGGTGCTGATCGAGTCAATGTAATCTTCGTGCTCCGCGTAGCAGGCAAAGATGCCGCAGTCCGACGATATGGGATTGCGTATGATCAGCTTACGCTCGCCGCCCAGCTCATCGACAACCTTATAGCGATTGTTACAGATCGTGTGATCATCGCGCATCCAGCTGATATTGGGACGGCCGTGTACCTGACAGCTGAGCACAATCTCGTTGCGCTGTGCATCATAGGACTCTGTAAGCGAGTTAATTAGTTAACAAAATTAAATTTGCACATTGAATTATTCGACTTACTTTTAATGCCCTCCAAAAAGCTTTGCGGCAACTGGCCGCTCGTCTCGTCCAGCACCGTCAGCTGGCCAGAGCTCTCCACGGTCTGCCTGCTGTTCTTGACCACGCATCTGTAGTTGCCGCTATCTTCGGCACGGGCATCGTAGATTTCCAAGCTGATGGCACCGTTGATATTGTAGATTTTGTGGCGCGCGTCCTTTGTGATACGCTCATCGTTCCTTAGCCAGTGCACATCCTCGATGAAGCCAGTCACATAGCATATCAGCTGAGCCTTGTTGCCGCTGCTGATTGTCATGGTCTTGAGGCTCGTTTCCAAATTAAGGCGCAACTTAGCCTCGCGTGCCTTGGCTTTGGCTGCCGCTGCTGCGTTCTCACCCGTTGCGATCTGACTGGACTCTGGTCTCTTGATATCTTGTGTGAGATGATCTGTGGATTTCTTGTCGACGGCACGCTCTCTCACATAGTCTGAGGCCTGGACAAATTTGCTGATCTTCATCTGACCATTCTCGCTCTCAGCGTAGCAGGTGTACAGCCCGGTATCTTCGCTGCCAAAGGATGTGATGCTCAGCTGCTTGATGCCATCGCTGTGCTCCGCGTACTCGTACTTAGCTGTTTCGAGGGGCAGCAGGGTATTGTCCCGCTGCCAGGAGATATGCGGCTTGGGGCTGCCCGAGACCTTGCACTCGAGTACAAGTCGATTTTCTTGGGAATGATATGCATCTGGAAGGTGTTGACACGAAAAGACATACCACAAACAGAGTAAGACAAGCACGACATAAACGTGGGATAGGTTTCTGATTCTAGGAATTAGTGCTTATAACTACATGACTACTTAACACATAGGAACTAACGGCATACCTTAACATTCACTTGGACGCATTGGGCACTGGGTGCCATATTTAAGTACAACTAGTTAGCTAGCCAGCGAATGCCTACCTTTGATACCCACCGTGAAGGTGGGTGGGATTATCTCAACTTTACCCGTGCTGTAAACGAACAGGTTGCATGTGCTAACGATTTCATTTTCGGATCCTCTTACTCTCAACGTATATTCGCCAGCATCCTCTTCCGTAACGCCGACCAGATTGAGCCAGGCAATGCCATCCTGCATAGACATTTTGCTCTTGGGACCGAACGTAATTGGCTGATCGCCATGGAACCACTTGGCCGTTGGCTCCGGTCCATCGATATTAACCATCCATTTGACGTTGGCGCCCGACTTGACGGTGCGATTCGATAGGAAGTTGCGGAAATAGAGACGCTTCCTTAGATCTGGTGGCGGTGGAACCTCGCGTCTGGAGCTCGTTTGCTCCTCATCATCTTTCTTAGGCTTCCGTACTCTTTTCTCAGTTCCTTCCCCTTCAACTGCTTCACCCTCGGCGGCGGGTTCTTCTTCCTCGCCAGCTGGTCGGGGCGGTCGGCCCTCTCTAGGTGGCGAGGTGGGTCGCACTCGAACGCGTGGCTCCACAGTAACCATATGCACGATCTCCGTTTGACCTTCGCGATTCTCGGCCTGGCAAACGTATTTGCCGCTGTCGGCGACCTTGGGATGGCTAATGAACAGTTCACAGGTGCCGTCATCGTGATCCACCTGATGGTATTTATCGTTGTTCTCGATCTTCACGCTATCCTTGTACCATGTCACCGAGGGCGTCGGCAGACCGCGCACATGTACGTCCAGCTGCAGCTCGTTGATCTTGCCGTGCAGCGTTTCCCTTATGTTGCGCGTGAACGTTGGTGGCACATCGCCCGTGCCTGGATCTGCGAAGACCTCTAGCCTGCAGGAGGTCGAAGCCTCACCAGTTTCATCGCGTCCCCAGCACTTGTACTCGCCATTGTCCTCCTCGGTGGCGCTATTGATCTCCAACAGGCAGAGGCCTTCGCTGTAGCGTCCTCGAATCTTGGGTCCGTTTTGAAGTGGTTCGTCGTTCTTAAACCATTTCACCTGCGGCTCCTTTGCCTCCAGGAAGCAAGATATTTTCACCTTGGAACCTTCAGCCACGACGCGATCCCTCATCGAGGTGGTAAAGTGTATGCCAATGTTCTTCTCGCGCCGCTTGCTGGACATGCTAGCCGTATCGGAGGCATAGTCCGTGGCTGAAGATACACCTTCCTCTTCGGCGTCATCCTTCTTGCGGCCGCGACGCTTGCCCTTACCCTCCTCTCCCTCAGCTCCTTCAGCACCTGCGTTGGCGGCCGATGGAGCCGGCTTTGCAGCTGGCTTCTCTGCCTCTTTGGGCCGCAGCAGGCTCTTGTCCGCATGGAACACTCCGTGAATGTTGTCCGCAATGTGCGAGGCCTTGCCCTCGAAGAGCACATAGTGCGAACTCTCCATTTTGCCAGCACGACTCTCCGCCTTGATCACATATTTGCCCGAATCCTTGCTATCCGGCCGATCAATGATGAGCTCACAAGTGCCATCCTGATGTTCAATTATTTGATACCGGCCGCCACTCTGAACCTCAATGCTGTCCTTAAACCATTGCACCTGGGGCGTGGGTTGACCGCGCACAGCCGTCTCCAGTATAAGTTCATTCGAGGTCAGATGATAGGTCTCTGGAGAGGAGGTGGATGTAGTGGAACTATATTTAATAGTCGCTTGTTACATAAACACGCAACACACAGAAACCAAAGAACAACACAAACACCGCCAAAGGTATTGCATAATCCCGACAAGACAAACAATTGCATTGCACAATCGTCTATAGCTTTGATCTATTCATAGATCTATCTGGTCAGGCATCTGCCTAGGCGAATAGACGAATAGACGAATGGCTCTTACCTTTCAGAGAGCGTATGAAAACAGGTTGTACATCGGTGTTGACCTTCGGCTGATAGACGTGCAACATCGCCGACGTGGTGATCTTGCAGAACTCGTTCTGGGCTATTATCGTATAGGTGCCGGAGTCTTCGGGCTGGGCGCTTACGAACTCCAGAACGGCCAAGCTGTCGCGATTCATGTTGCGTATACGGGGTCCGTACTGTACATTTTGGTCATCCTTTTGCCATTTAATGGTGGGCTCGGGTCCGCCAATAACAGCTTGCAGCTTGACCTTGGAGCCTTCGGCTACGTAGCGGTTGGAGAGATTGACAGTGAAATAGAGCATTTGTTTGGGTGACGGATCGGGCATGCGACTGCGTCGTTCGTATCCGCCATCGCCACCGGCCTCGGCGTCATCATCTTTCTTGGGCAGCTTCTTCGGCTTGGACTTGCCACCACCTTCGGCGGCTGAATCCTCCTGCATGGCCGCCGATAAGACACTAGAGCGGCGCGACGTGTGCGTGGTGTCGACAACAACCGTGTGGGTGGTCGACTGACTGCCCAATTTGTTCTGGGCGGTGCAAACGTAGACGCCGTTGTCATTCACAGTTGGCTTATTAACGATCAGCTCGCAGACGCCATCCAAGTGCTCGATTTGCACGACACGATCGTCGAGCACAACGGGTATCTGATCTTTCGTCCAAGAGATGACGGGACGGGGATTGCCGCGCACCTTCGTATCGATAATTAAATCATTTTGGGAGGAGTGATACACATCTATGAAGGAGACCAAACACTTCAATCAATTGTCTGAGCACCACAACTATTTTTATACATGGTCGACCTCAATCGAGATCTGTGATCGTTGGACAACAATCAGTTTCGAATTTTGGCTGATGATCGTGTTGGCGTTGTAACAAAAAAATGAAGAAGACAAAACCAACGCAACGGATGCAGATGAGAGACAGATACGTGCTGCACATACAGATACAGATACGGATACAGATACAGTAAAAATACCTCGCATGGGCAGGGCAAAAATGGGCTCGGACTCGTCGCCATCAGCTTGCGCCGCGTACACTTTAAAGTAGCATGAGGTCTCGATTTCGCTGAGATCGTTCTTGGCCACACATTTGTATACACCTGTATCGGCCGATGTTACTTTATTGATCTGAATAATAGCCTTGCCCTCTTCGGACAGATTCTTGATATTATCGCTCATCACAATCCACGTGTCATCCTTCATCCAGCGCGTATTTGGCTCTGGTCCAATGACTGTGGCCGCAAACTTCACGGTTGTGCCCTCCAGGGCCATACGATCGCGCAGCTGGGTGGCGAACTGCAGCTTCTGTTTGGCTGGCACAAGTGGCTCCGGTGGTGCACGGGCCGCCTGGACACGCTGCTGCTCGGCCTCGACTTCGGCACGTTTCTGATCCGATTCGGCCTTGGATTTGAGTGCCGCATCCATTTGCCCCTTGGCCTGCTTCAAGCTGTCCAGTTGGATCCTGTCGCGTGCATGGAATATGCCGGGCACATGGTAGTGCAAATTCTTGGCCACCTCGACGGTTTGGTTGATGTGCGCCTCGCCGATTGAATTGATGGCTTTTAAGGTATAGGTGCCGCTATCCTTGTTGCCGGGCTTGTAGATGAGCAGCTTGCAGACGCCGTGGGCCTCCTCGAGCATGGTGAACTTATAGCTGGGCTTCACCTGGAAGGCGCCGCGCCACCAGGTAACAACCGGACGCGGTACACCATGCACGTGACCCTCAATAGTCAGCTCATCGTCGCGCAAGTGATAATATTCTAGAGAAGATATCGAGAAATCCCGTGAGTTATGCATTTGAAAGGGGGAATGCGGCTGGGACAAGTACCTTTGATATACTGTATAGAGGGAGGTTTGGGTTCATCCTTAAAAACTTCGTAAACAGTTACAATACACGATGAGGTGACCTCGTCATTTTGATTCAGTATCTGGCAAGAATACTCGCCAGAGTCCAGAATAGTGGTGCTAACTACTTCCAGCACCAAAATGTTGTTGTTATTAATGATGCGATGATTGCCATCGCGCTCCAACTGCCTGCCGTCCTTGAACCATTTGACGGATAGCTCGGGTCCGTCGACAGCGCAAGCCAGGCGCACGCTCTGGCCCGCCTCGACGGTGCGATCCGAAAGGAAATTAATAAACTTGGGCAGTCGAGCCTGTTCGCGTCGGCGTTGCCAATCGGCGTCGCGTTCCTTTTCGCTGGTGCGCTTGGCAATGCTGTATTTGCGCATCTGCTGCATGAACTCCTCGCCTTCGGTGGCGGCGATGCGTTGCCAGCGCTCCTCTTCGTGGGGATCGGGTCGGGTATATTCATCGGAAGAATCGCTGCCGCGGCGTTTAGCGGCCTTTAAATCGGGCACTGCGTCTTCTTCGTTCTCCTCCTCCTGATCCTCATCCAATCGGTCAAGATCCTCATCTTCATTGTATTCGCCGTCGGCAGCCACGGTGCTCTCGTCGCCTTCCTCAGGAATATCTTCTTCATCTTCCTCGGCTTCTGCTTCGGCTTCGGCCTCCTCTAGGGCGCGCTGCTCTGCTTCCAGCCGGTCCTGTTCCTCTTTCTCCTCCTTCAGACGCTTCTGGCGCTCCTCGAATGTCTCGCCCTTGGGCTTGGCACGATTGGCGGCCTCCTCGGCTGCCTTGGCGGCTGCTTTGGCCTGTTCCTCCATTTGCAGTACCATCTTGCTCTTCTTTGGCGGCGGCTTGGGTGCAGCTTGGGGTGGTTGGTCAAACATCTTCTTGGTAGCCTTTTGACCTCCGCCCATCTCTAGTTTCAAGGTCAATTTTGGACTCGGAGATTTTTCCTTTTTCTCCTTCTTCTTGGGGGGCGCCTTCTTCTTGCCCTTTTTAACTGGCTCATCGTCATCAAAGTCTACACTATCCTCCCGATCTTCGCCAGCAAAATCTCCGAGATCTTCGGCACCGTCTTCGCCTAAGGGACTCTGCTCCTTGTCGATGGACTTACGAGCTGTGCGCGGCTTTCTGGCCTTCTTTTCCTTCTTCTTCGGCTTAACCTCTTCGATGATTTCCTCTTCCTCTTCAACCTCTTCGTATTCCTCAACCACATAGATAACCTCAACGTTGGACACGTCCATTACGGCAGCCCGATCGATAACCGACAAATCGGACGTTATGTAACGCACGGGCTTTTGCACATCCACGGGCTCGGAGATATCCATGATCAGGGCACGATCGAAGACGGCGATGTTGCACGTGGTTTGGCTCTTGATGTCCCGGCCCAGTTCGAATGGAGTTTTCTCTTTCTCTTCGCGTTTTAGGAATGGGGTTATGCTGCGCCATGTTGAGGGCGTGGCACTGCGACGTGTCATATACAAGGTGAACGGAGTCTGGCTCCGGCCGTGTATGGGCGTGGCACTACGTCCGCGTAAGCTGCCCGGAGTGGGCGACTTAAGCTTGCGTTTCTTTTGCGTTGGCACCTGCAGCGTTTCCTGCGCTGCTGGCGCCTCCGGTTCCGCGGATGTTCGTGGCTCGATATCGCCGTCCGTCTCGCCCATTTTGTTAAATTTCGGTTTATTATCTTTTCACAGGATAACGGGGAGGGAAATGATAATTCGTTTGGGGAAAAAAACCGATAAGAATAATATCCGTACGAGTCGTATATGTATAAATGGATATTTATATATATATATATATATATATACGATATATGCAACCCGCAACGGTTCGATCGAAAGAGTTTTGATATTTTAGGACGTCAGACGTCCGTTCGATGCAAAAGAAGATTCACGACTGTCCGCAATGTGGTGAAAATATTCGAAAATACATAACTTCTCGAATGTATCCTAATTGACAATCGATTGTTATGCTAACAAAAACAATTTCGCGAATCTCGGTATTGCCCGCCGTTTTTTATATACACACATATATGTGTAAACTTATTTATATAGTTGCAACACAATTGTTGCCAAAAAAATAAATCATTCGAAATAAATCTATTTAAATACTATAGACTTTTAATTAATGCAGGCAAGTAAATTCAATTATATAAAAGTCATTCGAATTTCGATAGAGCTATTTATAGAGGCGTCTATTCAACTTAAAAATAATAGGAAAAAAATGCAACTATAAATGATCTTTAGCTTATCATAAGTCGAAAGTGTGAACCGATTAGCACAAATCTAAAATGCAGCTACTTAGCCAAGGAACTTACATACTTAGGCATTAAAATATGTAGTATATGTAGCTTATATATTTATTTCCTATTTACTAATGTCAGATTGCACTGATTCATTTGCGAATCTGACGTTAGTTTAATTTACATTTGGGGCACTGGGCTGCGCATAGGTAAAGGTAAAACAGGCACTTACCTCGTATGTTGCGTGTAAATATTGGCGGTGTGCCAAATTTGGTTGAAGGTGCTTCGTATATAGTCACAAGACAGCTCGTTTCCACCTCTCCATTTCGATTAGACGCTATGCATCGATATATGCCAGAATCATTCATTTCTGTTGATTTGATTTCAAGGCAGTTCAGACCATCGTTCAAGGTTATCTTGTGCTTGGCATCGTTCGCAATGGGACTATTTTGCTTGAACCACTGCACCCTCATCTCGTGACCAGATATGCCACATGTCAACTTCAGATCACTTCCCGTTGCCGAATTACGATTTGTCAGCATAAGATCAACTGTCGGCTTACGCTTAGCGCTGCGGGTTTCCTTTCTTTCCCTATACTCAGACTCCAATGACTTGTATGTTTTGGCCTCCATACTAATGGAGTCTTCCGCTTTTTCCGTAACCATTTTGGATTCATAATGTTTGCTCTCGCTTTTATCTTCTACAACAATCTTCTCATCTAAGCTCTGCGCTAACTTATCCACTTTCTGCTGTTTTGTATTCAGTGGCTGCTCTTCCTTTTCAGAGTCAGCTACAGATTCCTTCACTTCAAGCTTTTTACTCTCAGGAACCTTATCCACAGAAACTTTCTCCGCGACGACTTTAGATGCTTCTCCCTTCTGGGCTTTCTTTTCAGCTTTTTTCTCCTTTTTGGTATCCAGTTTCTTCTCTTCAATAAATTGTTGTTCTAGTACCTTCGCCTTTTGGGTTTCACTTTCAGATTCCCCTACTCCAAGCTTCTTACTCTCAGTAACCTTTTCTTCGGAAACCTTCTCTGAAACAACTTCAGATACTTCTCCCTTCTGGGCTTTCTTTTCAGCATCCTTCTCGGCTTGTTTCTTCTGTTTGGTATCCAGTTTCTTCTCTTCAATTAATTGTTGTTCTAGTACCTTCGCCTTTTGGGTTTCACTTTCAGATTCCTCTACCCTAAGCTTCTTACTCTCAGGAACCTTTTCTTCGGAAACCTTCTCTGAAACGACTTCAGATACTTCTCCCTTCTGGGCTTTCCTTTCAGCATCCTTCTCGGCTTGTTTCTTCTGTTTGGTATCCAGTTTCTGCTCTTCAATTAATTGTTGTTCTAGTACCTTCGCCTTTTGGTCTTCACTTTCAGATTCCTTTACTTCAAGCTTCTTACTCTCAGGAACCTTTTCTTCGGAAACCTTCTCTGCAACGACTTCAGATACTTCTCCTTTCTGGCCTTTCCTTTCAGCATCCTTCTCGGCTTGTTTCTTCTGTTTGGTATCCAGTTTCTTCTCTTCAATTAGTTGTTGCTCTAGTACCGTCGCCTTTTGGGCTTCACTTTCAGATTCCCCTACTTCAAGATTCTTACTCTCAGTAACCTTTTCTTCGGAAACCTTCTCTGAAACATCTTCAGATACTTCTCCCTTCTGGGCTTTCTTTTCAGCATCCTTCTCGGCTTGTTTCTTCTGTTTGGTATCCAGTTTTTGCTCTTCAATTAATTGTTGTTCTAGTACCTTCGCCTTTTGGTCTTCACTTTCAGATTCCTTTACTTCAAGCTTCTTACTCTCAGGAACCTTTTCTTTGGAAACCTTCTCTGCAACGACTTCAGATACTTCTCCTTTCTGGGCTCTCTTTTCAGCATCCTTCTCGGCTTGTTTCTTCTGTTTGGCATCCAGTTTCTTCTCTTCAATTAGTTGTTGTTCTAGTACCTTCGCCTTTTGGGCTTCACTTTCAGATTCCCCTACTTCAAGCTTCTTACTTTCAGCAACCTTTTCTTCGGAAACCTTCTCTGCGACGACTTCAGATACTTCTCCCTTTTGGGCTTTCTTTTCAGCATCCATCTCGGCTTGTTTCTTCTGTTTGGCATCCAGTTTCTTCTCTTCAATTAGTTGTTGTTCTAATACCTTCGCCTTTTGGGCTTCACTTTCAGATTCCCCTATTTCAAGCTTCTTACTCTCAGGAACCTTTTCTTCGGAAACTTTCTCTGTAACGATTTCAGATACTTCTCCCTTCTGGGCTTTCTTTTCAGCATCCTTCTCGGCTTGTTTCTTCTGTTTGGTATTCAGTTTCTTCTCTTCAATTAATTGTTGTTCTAATACCTTCGCCTTTTGGGCTTCACTTTCAGATTCCCCTATTTCAAGCTTCTTACTCTCAGGAACGTTTTCTTCGGAAACCTTCTCTGCAACGACTTCAGATACTTCTCCCTTCTGGGGTTTCTTTTCAGAATCTTTCTCGGCTTGTTTCTTCTGTTTGGTATTCAGTTTCTTCTCTTCAATTAATTGTTGTTCTAATACCTTCGCCTTTTGGGCTTCACTTTCAGATTTCCCTACATCAAGATTCTTACTCTCAGGAACGTTTTCTTCGGAAGCCTTCTCTGCAACGACTTCAGATACTTCTCCCTTCTGGGCTTTCTTTTCAGCATCTTTCTCGGCTTGTTTCTTCTGTTTGGTATTCAGTTTCTTCTCTTCAATTAATTGTTGTTCTAATACCTTCGCCTTTTGGGCTTCACTTTCAGATTCCCCTACATCAAGCTTCTTACTCTCAGGAACGTTTTCTTCGGAAACCTCCTCTGCAACGACTTCAGATACTTCTCCCTTCTGGGCTTTCTTTTCAGCATCTTTCGCGGCTTGTTTCTTCTGTTTGGTATTCAGTTTCTTCTCTTCAATTAATTGTTGTTCTAATACCTTCGCCTTTTGGGCTTCACTTTCAGATTCCCCTACATCAAGCTTCTTACTTTCAGCAACCTTTTCTTCGGAAACTTTCTCTGCGACGACTTTAGATACTTCTCCCTTCTGGTCTTTCTTTTCAGCATCCATCTCGGCTTGTTTCTTCTGTTTGGTATTCAGTTTCTTTTCTTCAATTAACTGCTGTTCTAATACCTTCGCCTTGTGGGCCTCACTTTCAGGTTCCCCTATTTCAAGCTTCTTACTCTCAGGAACCTTTTCTTCGGAAACCTTATCTGCAACGACTTCAGATACTTCTCCCTTCTGGGTTTTCTTTTCAGCACCCTTCTCATCCGGTTTCTTCTGTTTGGTATCCAGTTTCTTCTCTTCAATTAATTGCTGTTCTAATACCTTTGCCTTTTGGGCCTCACTTTCAGGTTCCCCTATTTCAAGCTTCTTACTCTTAGGAACATTTTCTTCGGAAACCTTCTCTGCAACGACTTCAGATACTGCGCCTTTCTGGGCTTTTCCTTCAGCTTCTTTTTTAGCATTTACTGAATCCTGTTTATTCTTTTCAGCTAATTGCTGCTCTTCTATGCGCTTTTCTTCAATCTCGTCTTTGTGTAGCTGTTGTAGCTTTTCGCAAACATTTAGTATGTGTTTTGTTATGATATGAATTTTTCCTTCAATAGTTGCAGTTTGCAGCTGTCCCTGTTTTTGCTCAATATAATCATATTCTGATAGAAGAACCTTTTTCGTATCCTCAATAATGGGTTTTAATAGAACTGTTTTATCATCCAAAAGATCATCAAGTATTACAAATATATCCATTAGGTTCTGCTGGAGATGAACCATCTTTTCAGAAGACTTTTCAATTTGCGGCTTAAGCTTGATGTTCTCTGAAATGCTTTCGAGCTTTACTAGCTTTGGCACTATCAACGATGATTTTTTACCCACTTCTGTATCGCCCATAAGTCGTATAGCTGCTTTGGTTAAAATAATATTCGTCTTAATTTCTTTTAAGTAACTATTTATTATATCCTCTGCAGCAGCTGGAGAAGCGTTTAGAAGTGATTCGATGAATGCTTCCACTATTTCCCTTTCATTTTGTTCTTCAGTTGATTTGCCATCGTATGTATGAACGATGTGTTCTCGAAGTTTTAATATGCATTTAGAAACCTTTTCAAAGTCTTCTAGATTTTCGATTATATCGTTACTTTCCGAAACAATTAATTGCAAGCCTTCGTTGGAACTTTGTGATTCAGAAGCCGTAACAATATCTAAGAGTTTGATTTGCAAATTTTGTTTAATCACTTCATGTTCATCCTCAGAAACTTTCTCTGCGACGACCTCAGATACTTCTCCCTTCTGGGCTTTCTTTTCAGCATCCATCTCGGCTTGTTTCTTCTGTTTGGCATCTAGTTTCTTCTCTTCAATTAATTGTTGTTCTAGTACCTTCGCCTTTTGGGTTCCAATGTCAGAATCCCCTACCTCAAGCTTCTTACTTTCAGGAACCTTTTCTTCGGAAACCTTCTCTGTGACGACTTCAGATACTTCTTCCTTCTGGGCTTTCTTTTCAGCATCCATCTCGGCTTGTTTCTTCTGTTTGGCATCTAGTTTCTTCTCTTCAATTAGTAGTTGCTCTAGTACCGTCGCCTTTTGAGCTTCACTTTCAGATTCCCCTACTTCAAGCTTCTTACTTTCAGGAACCTTTTCTTCGGAAACCTTCTCTGCAACGACTTCAGATACTTCTCCCTTCTGGGCTTTCTTTTCAGCATCCATCTCGGCATGTTTCTCCTGCTTGGCATCCAGTTTCTTCTCTTCAATTAGTTGTTGCTCTAGTACCGTCGCCTTTTGGGCTTCACTTTCAGATTCCCCTACTTCAAGCTTCTTACTCTCAGAAACCTCTTCTTCGGAAACCTTCTCTGTGACGACTTCAGATACTTCTCCCTTCTGGGCTTTCTTTTCAGCATCCATCTCGGCTTGTTTCTTCTGTTTGGCATCTAGTTTCTTCTCTTCAATTAGTAGTTGCTCTAGTACCGTCGCCTTTTGAGCTTCACTTTCAGATTCCCCTACTTCAAGCTTCTTACTTTCAGGAACCTTTTCTTCGGAAACCTTCTCTGCAACGACTTCAGATACTTCTCCCTTCTGGGCTTTCTTTTCAGCATTCATCTCGGCATGTTTCTCCTGCTTGGCATCCAGTTTCTTCTCTTCAATTAGTTGTTGCTCTAGTACCGTCGCCTTTTGGGCTTCACTTTCAGATTCCCCTACTTCAAGCTTCTTACTTTCAGGAACCTTTTCTTCGGAAACCTTCACTGCAACGACTTCAGATACTTCTCCTTTCGTGGCTTTCTTTTCAGCATCTTTCTCATCCGGTTTCTTCTGTTTGGTATCCAGTTTCTTCTCTTCAATTAATTGTTGTTCTAATACCTTTGCCTTTTGGGCCTCACTTTCAGATTCCCCTAGTTCAAGTTTCTTACTCTCAGGAACCTTTTCTTCGGAAACCTTCTCTGCTACGACTCCAGATACTTCTCCCTTCTGGGCTTTCTTTTCAACATCCTTCTTAACTTGTTTCTTCTGTTTGGTATTCAGTTTCTTCTCTTCAATTAATTGTTGTTCTAGTACCTTCGCCTTTTGGTCTTCACTGTCAGAATCCCCTACCTCAAGCTTCTTACTTTCAGGAACCTTTTCTTCGGAAACCTTCTCTGCGACGACTTCAGATACTTGTTCCTTCTGGGCTTTCTCTTCAGTATCCTTTTCAGTTTGTTTCTTCTGTTTGGTATCCAGTTTCTTCTCTTCAATTAGTTGTTGTTCTAGTACCCTCGCCTTTTGGGCCTCACTTTCAGATTCCCCTACTTCAAGCTTCTTACTCTTAGGAACCTTTTCTTCGGAAACCTTCTCTGCAACGACTTCAGATACTGCGCCTGTTTGGGCTTTTCCTTCAGCTTCTTTTTCAGCATTTACTGCATCCTCTTTATTCTTTTCAGCTAATTGCTCCTCTTCTATGCGCTTTTCTTTAATCTCGTCGTTGTGTAGCTGTTGTAGCTTTTCGCAAACATTTAGTATGTGTTTTGTAATGATATGAATTTTTCCTTCAATAGTTGCAGTTTGCAGCTGTCCCTGTTTTTGCTCAATATAATCATATTCTGATAGAAGAACCTTTTTCGTATCCTCAATAATGGGTTTTAATAGAACTGTTTTATCATCCAAAAGATCATCAAGTATTACAAATATATCCATTAGGTTCTGTTGCAGATGAACCATCTTTTCAGAAGACTTTTCAATTTGCGGCTTAAGCTTGATGTTCTCTGAAATGCTTTCGAGCTTTACTAGCTTTGGCACTATCAACGATGATTTTTTACCCACTTCTGTATCGCCAATAAGTTGTATAGCTGCTTTGGTTAAAATAATATTCGTCTTAATTTCTTTTAAGTAACTATTTATTATATCCTCTGCAGCAGCTAGAGAAGCGTTTAGAAGTGATTCGATGAATGCTTCCAACATTTCTTTTTCATTTTGTTTTTCAGGTGCTTTACTATCGTATGTATGAACGATGTGTTCTCGAAGTTTTAATATGCATTTAGAAACCTTTTCAAAGTCTTCTAGATTTTCGATTATATCGTTACTTTCCGAAACAATTAATTGCAAGCCTTCGTTGGAACTTTGTGATTCAGAAGCCGTAACAATATCTAAGAGTTTGATTTGCAAATTTTGTTTAATCACTTCATGTTCATCCTCAGAAACTTTCTCTGCGACGACCTCAGATACTTCTCCCTTCTGGGCTTTCTTTTCAGCCGCCATCTCGGCTTGTTTCTTCTCTTTGGTATCCAGTTTCTTCTCTTCAATTAGTTGTTGTTCTAGTACCCTCGCCTTTTGGGCCTCACTTTCAGATTCCTCTACTTCAAGCTTCTTACTCTCAGGAACCTTTTCTTCGAAAACCTTCTCTTCAACGATTTCAGATCTTTCTCCCTTCTGGGCTTTCTTTTCAGCGTCCATCTCGGCTTGTTTCTTCTGTTTGGCATCCAGTTTCTTCTCTTCAATTAATTGTTGTTCAAGTACCTTCGCCTTTTGGGCTTCACTTTCAGATTCCCCTACCTCAAGCTTCTTACTTTCAGGAACCTTTTCTTCGGAAACCTTCTCTGCAACGACTTCAGATACTTCTCCCTTCTGGTCTTTCTTTTCAGCATCCTTCTCATCCGGTTTCTCCTGTTTGGCATCCAGTTTCTTCTCTTCAATTAATTGTTGTTCTAGTACCTTCGCCTTTTGGGCTTCACTTTCAGATTCCCCTATTTCAAGCTTCTTACTCTCAGGAACCTTTTCTTCGGAAACCTTCTCTGCAACGACTTCAGATACTTCTCCCTTCTGGGCTTTCTTTTCAGCATCCATCTCGGCTTGTTTCTCCTGTTTGGCATCCAGTTTCTTCTCTTCAATTAGTTGTTGTTCTAGTACCTTCGCCTTTTGGGCTTCACTTTCAGATTCCCCTACTTCAAGCTTCTTACTTTCAGCAACCTTTTCTTCGGAAACCTTCTCTGCGACGACTTCAGATACTTCTCCCTTTTGGGCTTTCTTTTCAGCATCCATCTCGGCTTGTTTCTTCTGTTTGGCATCCAGTTTCTTCTCTTCAATTAATTGCCGTTCTAATACCTTCGCCTTTTGGGCTTCATTCTCAGATTCCTCTACTTCAAGCTTCTTACTCTCAGGAACCTTTTCTTCGGAAACCTTCTCTGCAACGACTTCAGATACTTCTCCCTTCTGGGCTTTCTTTTCAGCATCCATCTCGGCTTGTTTCTCCTGTTTGGCATCCAGTTTCTTCTCTTCAATTAGTTGTTGTTCTAGTACCTTCGCCTTTTGGGCTTCACTTTCAGATTCCCCTATTTCAAGCTTCTTACTCTCAGGAACCTTTTCTTCGGAAACCTTCTCTGCAACGACTTCAGATACTTCTCCCTTCTGGGCTTTCTTTTCAGCATCCATCTCGGCTTGTTTCTCCTGTTTGGCATCCAGTTTCTTCTCTTCAATTAGTTGTTGTTCTAGTACCTTCGCCTTTTGGGCTTCACTTTCAGATTCCCCTATTTCAAGCTTCTTACTCTCAGGAACCTTTTCTTCGGAAACCTTCTCTGCAACGACTTCAGATACTTCTCCCTTCTGGGCTTTCTTTTCAGCATCCATCTCGGCTTGTTTCTCCTGTTTGGCATCCAGTTTCTTCTCTTCAATTAATTGCCGTTCTAATACCTTCGCCTTTTGGGCTTCACTCTCAGATTCCCCTATTTCAAGCTTCTTACTCTCAGGAACCTTTTCTTCGGAAACCTTCTCTGCAATGACTTCAGATACTTCTCCCTTCTGGGCTTTCTTTTCAGCATCTATCTCGGCTTGTTTCTCCTGTTTGGCATCCAGTTTCTTCTCTTCAATTAGTTGTTGTTCTAGTACCTTCGCCTTTTGGGCTTCACTTTCAGATTCCCCTATTTCACGCTTCTTACTCTCAGGAACCTTTTCTTCGGAAACCTTCTCTGCGACGACTTCAGATACTTCTCCCTTCTGGGCTTTCTTTTCAGCATCCATCTCGGCTTGTTTCTCCTGTTTGGCATCCAGTTTCTTCTCTTCAATTAGTTGTTGTTCTAGTACCTTCGCCTTTTGGGCTTCACTTTCAGATTCCCCTACTTCAAGCTTCTTACTTTCAGCAACCTTTTCTTCGGAAACCTTCTCTGCGACGACTTCAGATACTTCTCCCTTTTGGGCTCTCTTTTCAGCATCCTTCTCGGCTTGTTTCTTCTGTTTGGCATCCAGTTTCTTCTCTTCAATTAGTTGTTGTTCTAGTACCTTCGCCTTTTGGGCTTCACTTTCAGATTCCCCTACTTCAAGCTTCTTACTTTCAGCAACCTTTTCTTCGGAAACCTTCTTTGCGACGACTTCAGATACTTCTCCCTTCTGGGCTTTCTTTTCAGCATCCTTCTCATCCGGTTTCTTCTGTTTGGTATCCAGTTTCTTCTCTTCAATTAATTGTTGTTCTAATACTTTCGCCTTTTGGGCTTCACTTTCAGATTCCCCTACTTCAAGCTTCTTACTCTCGGGAACCTTTTCTTCGAAAACGACTTCAGATACTTCTCCCTTCTGGGCTTTCTCTTCAGCTTCTTTTTCAGCCTTTACTGCGTCCAGCATTTTCTGTTCAGTTAAATGCTGCTCTTCAATGCGCTTTTCTTCAATCAATTCTTTGTTGCGATGTTGTAATTTTTCGCAAACATTTAATATTTCTTTTGTAATGTTATGAATTTTTTCTTCAACTGTTGCAGTTTTGAGTAGGTCCTGTGCTTTCTCAATATAGTCATAATCTGCTAGAACGACAGTTTTAATTTCTTCAATGACAAGCTTTAACATAGCTGTATTATCTTCCAAAAGATCGTCAAGTATTACAAATATATCCATCAGATTTTGTTGCAGAAAGATCATCATTTCAGAAGCCTTTTCAATATGAAGCTGTGATTCAATATTTTTGGAGATATTCTGCAGATTAACAAGTTTTGGTATTAGCAGTGAAGGCTTAGCAAACATATCAGATTCGTCGATAAGTCTAACAGCTGCTTTTGTTAAAATAACATTTGTTTCAATTTCCTTAATGTAACGCTTTATTATACCCTCGGCTGTAGACGGAGAGGCCTCTAAAACTGATTCGATAAATGCTTCCACTATTTCCCTTTCATTTTGTTCTTCAGTTGATTTGCCATCGTATGTATGAACGATGTGTTCTCGAAGTTTAAATATGCATTTAGAGACCTTTTCAAAGTCTTCGAGATTTTCGATTATATCGTTACTTTCCGCAACAATCAATTGCAAGCCTTCGTTGGAGATTTGCGATTCAGAAGGCCTAACAATATCTAGGAGTTTGATTTGCAAATGTTGTTTAATCACTTCCTGTTCACCCTCAACGACTTCAGATACTTGTCCCTTCTGGGCTTTCTTTTCAGCACCCTTCTCATCCGGTTTCTTCTGTTTGGTATCCAGTTTCTTCTCTTCAATTAATTGCTGTTCTAATACCTTCGCCTCTTGGGCCTCACTTTCAGGTTCCCCTATTTCAAGTTTCTTACTTTCAGGAACCTTTTCTTCGGAAACCTTCTTTGCGACGACTTCAGATACTTCTCCCTTCTGGTCTTTCTTTTCAGCATCCTTCTCATCCGGTTTCTTCTGTTTGGTTTCCAATTTCTTCTCTTCAATTAATTGTTGTTCTAGTACCTTCGCCTTTTGGGCTTCACTTTCAGATTCCCCTACTTCAAGCTTCTTACTCTCATTAACCTTTTCTTCGGAAACCTTGTCTGCAACGACTTCAGATACTTCTCCCTTCTGGGCTTTCTTTTCAGCGTCCATCTCGGCTTGTTTCTTCTGTTTGGTATCCAGTTTCTTCTCTTCAATTAATTGCTGTTCTAATACCTTTGCCTTTTGGGCCTCACTTTCAGGTTCCCCTATTTCAAGCTTCTTACTCTTAGGAACCTTTTCTTCGGAAACCTTCTCTGCAACGACTTCAGATACTGCGCCTTTCTGGGCTTTTCCTTCAGCTTCTTTTTCAGCATTTACTGAATCCTGTTTATTCTTTTCAGCTAATTGCTGCTCTTCTATGCGCTTTTCTTCAATCTCGTCTTTGTGTAGCTGTTGTAGCTTTTCGCAAACATTTAGTATGTGTTTTGTTATGATATGAATTTTTCCTTCAATAGTTGCAGTTTGCAGCTGTCCCTGTTTTTGCTCAATATAATCATATTCTGATAGAAGAACCTTTTTCGTATCCTCAATAATGGGTTTTAATAGAACTGTTTTTTCATCCAAAAGATCATCAAGTATTACAAATATATCCATTAGGTTCTGTTGCAGATGAACCATCTTTTCAGAAGACTTTTCAATTTGCGGCTTAAGCTTGATGTTCTCTGAAATGCTTTCGAGCTTTACTAGCTTTGGCACTATCAACGATGATTTTTTACCCACTTCTGTATCGCCAATAAGTCGTATAGCTGCTTTGGTTAAAATAATATTTGTCTTAATTTCTTTTAAGTAACTATTTATTATATCCTCTGCAGCAGTTGGAGAAGCGTTTAGGAGTGATTCAATGAATGCTTCCATCATTTCTCTTTCATATTTTTCTTCAGGTGATTTGTCATCGTATGTATGAACAATGTGTTCTCGAAGTTTAAATATACCCTTAACAATTTTTTCAGAGTCCGTCAAGTTATCCATAATATCTTTGCTATTGTTTATAATAGCGTCTATTTCAGGGATTTCTGGTTTAGGTTTTAGGACACTCAACAAATCTAGGAATTTGACATTCAATGTTTGTTGCAGGTCTTCGGGTGTGACAATTAGAGCTTTCGGTTCTGCTTTCTTTAAAATATCTGACGACTCAATGTCTTTTGCGTCGATTTCGTCTTTCGGTTTCTTAGTTTGAGTTTGTTTTGAATCCTCCAGTTTTCTTTTAGCCTTCATTTCTGTTTTGTCCATTTGATCCAATGTGTCCTGAATTTCTTGGCCTAGCGCCTCTGCTACCTTCTCCTCCGCCTGTTGTGCTGCAAGTGATGCACTTAGCTGAATTAGTTTCTCCTGAAGATTGTTTATTTGAAGCTGAACTGTCGCAATGAGTGCCAGCTGTTCAGGTGTAATTTGTGTAAGCTGCGGCTGAGATAGTATATCAGTCTCGATTTGGATGAGTGTGGCTTCTAATTGGCCGATTTCATCAGTGTTCTCATCGAGCAGCTTAACGCTCAGCGGATTATCGTTCTGCAAGCCTTGTTCGATTTCAGTAAGGAACGCCTTGCCCGAGGTCACGTTTTCAATTATGGCACTGATATCGATGGCCAAGGGAGGCGGGGTAGGAGCTAGAGACAAACTCTTTAGTTCCGCGGATATGACATCGATTTCTTGTAGCAATTCAATTATGCGTATTGTACTTTCATTATTCTCAATAAAATCAAAGACTGCAACCAGACTGCTTTGGGCTCTGAGTAGTCCACCCAGCAGATCGTTGTCGACCACTTCGCTGACCTCGTTGAGAGCTCTGAACGTGGCCATAAGATTGGTTTGAAGATTGACCATTAAAGTCGATGACTTGTCGATGTCAACATTGGGTGAATCGGCCACAGCTTTTATCGACTGCAGTAACCTTTCAAAGTTGCCTTGTAGATTTTCCATCGACTGTTGCTGCTGAGCTTCAGGCTGTTGGCAGCTGGCCATGAAGTTCTTGAAGGTATTTTCGATTTTGGAGTACATCTCCTGAGCGAGTTGCGACTCCAGCACAGGCAAAGATAGCAAAATATCTTCGAAAGCGCTTTCCACATTGTCCAAGGAGTCAACCAGACCCGATTCGTAGGTGTGTACCAAGCACTCCTTCAACTTGAACATGGTGCGTGCAATTTTTGCCTGAGCCAAAACTGTTTCCTGTTGATCAGTATCCGAGGCGAGGGCCTCTTGTATGTTCTTCAAATCCGAATTCAGCTGCTGGATTATAACGCCCACCTGGCGCAGCTCCTCGTGGCTATCCCTCTGGGTGACTTCTAAGGCAGCCTCCAGCTGCTTTATGCCACTTACTACGCCTTGTTGCACATCGAAGATCTCCACTTTGGGTTCTGACAGGATGACAGCCGCCTCCTTGATGGCATCCTCGACAGTCTGCTGCTGTCCACTGGTCTTTAAATCTGATATATCCTGTGTAGACATATCCAAGGCCTGTTCCAGCGCTTGAGTATCAATCTGCTCACAGTATTGCCTTAAATCACGTAGAGGTGTGGCTAATGTCTTTAGTTTGGACAATTCTTGATCCTTTAGACTTTCGGCGCCACTATGCGCAATGCACTCCTCCACCTCAAGCACACAGCGCTCCAAGCTGCACAGGGCTGCGGCAAAAGTGCCGGGATCCGTCCCTTCGGAGAAGGATTGTGCAGCCTCGATAGTGTTTGTTTCCTGCACCAGAGCAATGTTGCTCTTTAGCTCCTGCATTTTGATGATGGCCGCTTGAAGCTGCTCACCTGCCTCGCCACGCAAGGAGGCCACATCCAGATCCTCACAATGCGAAAGTACTGTGGCAATCCCATGGTTCAGATCTGAGAGCAGGACGCCAGCTGGTTTTATAAGGGTTTCTTGCTCGACGGCTATTTTCTGTCCCTCCTCCTCTTTAGCATAAGCCCCTTGCTCCCCGGACAACGATTCAGCTGACGACTTGAGCACAGAAATGTCATCCAATGTAGATAAATCTTCAACAGATAACCTAAGCGGTTGTAGATTTTCGAGTGCATGTACGAAACTCGAAAGTGGACTAGATATGGCAAGGGCATTCCAAGTAAGTTTCTCGTCCAAAGCTTCTCTCTGCTGGGCTACGATATCATTGAAACTATTCAGTACATCGGCGAAATTACTTTCAGTTGCAGCTGGATTATCAAGGGTCTTGGCCAGATCAGCAAAGCTTTTGCCCATCTCAAAGAGAATGCGAGTTGTATGCGCTTCATTGGAATTGAGTGTGGTCTCCGTCTCGCTAAATGCGGCCAATCCTTTGGCTATTTGTAAGATTCGCAAGAGCGAGATTTGAGCTTCATTCGCTGAGTGTTTGATCTTGGGCGCTGTTCTGGAACTCTCGTTGATTCGGTTTAGAGCCAGCTGAAGGGTTTCAATATTGCTGATGGACTCCTCGAGCGAGACCTTGGTCTCCAAAACCTTACGCAATGCGCTAAAGGATTTGTCTTGCTGAGCAGCCTGCTGTTCGTCCTGTTGGATCTCCTGCTGCAAAATCTTAAACTCGTGTTCCTCAATATCAATAATAGCATTACGTATTATATTGCGTATATTTTCAAGGGACTGCAGTGCATCCTTATCCGGTTCGCGTTCTCGCGTCGCCAACAACAGTCCTTGTCCCTTCTGCGTGTTCTCCTGCAAAAGGCTAAGTGGCTCGATCAGATCAGCCAAAGAACCGGACGTGGACTTCACCTCGGTCTGGCGTAGGCAATAGTTCAACTCATCAATTGGACGTTTCAGCTTGTCAAGCAGCTCCACATGATGCCGTGCTACATCCTTGTCCAAAATGGTGCCAATCAGAGCCGACAGCTCGTCCTTTAGATTTTGTAGACGAATCTTAACATTCTCACTCAGACGTTCCGAAATCCTTTCAATATTCGTTTCGAAATGCAAAACAGCTTGGGCAATGGACTGCAAAAGCTTCTGGGTATCTGCCAGATCCAAAGTGGCCTCCTCGCTGGCCGCCTGGCCACTCTCCAGATCCTGTCCCAACTGTGCCAGGCCATTCTGAATCTCTTGTAGCGGCGGCACCATTGACTCGACTGTGCTGACTGTAAACATGCCACCCTCAACGCTGTCTGACTTCTCATTTAGAATCAGCTCCAATCCCTTATTGAGCTCGAAGAGCGGCGGGGTCACAATATCCAGTATGGCCATGTTAATCTTTTGTTCGATTGATTCCGATCCGGCAAGGGACTCTGTCTTATCTTCAATGGATTGAAGTGTGCTCTGCAATTCCTTTATTGGCTGCACTATGCTATCCAACACCTTCTTGTGCACCTTCTTGTAGATTTGCTCTTCATTCTCCTCCATGGACAGCTCCATTTCGACGCGTTCCAGAGCTTCTTGTATTTTTGCAACGGGCTGACAGATCTGCTTTAAGGCGCTCGCTTCGCTGGGTAGGTTGGCTTCCGTTATGGATGCAAAGGACACGCTTTCAGGAACGTCCTGCATCTTCTCGACGGCCTCCGTAAAATGCTTGGCTGCCTCCAGTTCCTGGGCTTCCTGCAGCAGTGCCTGTGATCGGATGGTGCCTTGTGTTATCTCGAGGCCCTGGTGTAAATCATCGGCAGTCAAGTTGATTTGGTTGCGCAGACTCTCCGATTCGAATTTCTCGCTGACTATCTTCAATTCCTCCAGCGCCCGCTTCATATGCTCCGCCACGCTGTCAATAATGCACACACTGGTCCTTTGGATCAGCGTAGCGCCCGTCTCATCTATCTCCACGCACTTCTCGATTACCTGCAGGCCCATATGTAGTCTGCGTATATCATCATCCATGGTTTGGATAAGTGCATCGATTTGGGTCTCGCCAGAGTAGACGCGCAGCTTTGATTCGATTTGCTTGATGGGCTCTATAATATTCCTTATTATTGCAATGCTTTGGTCGGCCGCAGCTGGTGTCATCATCATGGTGGACTGATCCAATACCTCCGTCTCGACGACTGTCAAATGGTTTTCGATGATCCTAAGCAATTTGGCCAGAGGCACCAATGCAATCAGATTCTTGTTGATCTCCGCCTCATCGGTCACAGCCTTCATGTGTGAGGCTGGCGTCATCAATAAGCCATCACCCACAGCGCCAGAAATGTCCTGGAGCCTGGCATCGTCTTCGGTGGTCTTTGATGAATCGCTATCTGTGGGTTTTTTTGATTTTTTACGCTTCGGGGGTGCTGCTGCTTCGCCCTCTGAAGTTGCGGCCGCCTTTTGCGATGTCGACATTTGTGCACTGGCAAAAGTTTGCTGATCAGATGTCTCCTCCTCGCCCTGGCTGCCCGAGCCGGAAGCCTTAGACAAGCTAAAGAACTCATCAGTCTCTGTGGGTCGCGATTTCTTGCGCTTACGTATTGGCGCCGTCAGGGAGAGTTCCTCTTCCATTTTCTCAAACGATTGTTGGGCATATTTCTCCGTTTCCTTGTCAAAGACACCCTCCCTGCCGGAGGAGCCGTGCACTGTGATCTCAGTTATAGATATATCATCCATACCCGCCTCGGTGCGCATATCCTCATCATGTGTAAAGTACTCGGGTGATATGTCTATAACAACCGCCTCCATTAGCAGCTTGCCGGACTGCGATGTCTCCTTGACGAAACGCAGCGGCGGCAACTCCACGATATTATGTTCGGTTACATGCTCTGAAATCTGATCCGCATACATCTCAACAATCTTCAGGGCTTCTTCCTCCGTCAGATCGGGCGTCTCATATAGCGAAACTGAGACTTCTTTGCCATCGAATGAGAAGGAGACATCGCCTTTATCATCTATGGTTATGTCGCCCACGGGCGTCTCGTATAGCTGGGAGGTGCGCTCCTCCTGAATGGTGGACAGCGAATAGTTCCTTTGCAGCTCGTTCGCCTGCGGCTGTTCAGGTTTCTGTGTTCGCTGTGCATCCTCAAAGCCCAGCAGCGAAGCCGAGCTGGCGACCACGCCCATGCAGTTCCTGGCCTCGCATGTATAGGTGCCCAGACAGCAGGTGCCATCCTGGCCAGATATAATGCGATGTATGTCGCCTGGCTTCAGTTCAACGCCATCCTTATACCACTTGAGCACCGGCTGTGGCACGCCGATGACCTTGCATTCCAGATTGACGGCGCCCTCCTCGGTAAGCACTGCGCGCAGGCACTCCAGAAACCGAGGCTTCTTGTAATGCCTGGGGATTTGTAGCTTTAAGAAGCACGAGGTAATGCTGGTGCCAAAATCATTGACGGCCACACACTTCCACTCGGCCTGATCGATAAACTCTGCGGACTTGATGTCCAGCAGCCACTCCTCGTTCTCGCCCCGATAGTGATTATATCGCTCGTTCGGATCGATGGGCAGCTCATCCCGGAACCAGCTCAGGATCGGATCTGGTGTGGCCTTGACCACGACCTTAAATTGAAATGGTTCGTTGATTTTGGCATCTGTGCTCTTGAGACCGGTCAGAAATTTGGGCGCCTGATTCTGATGCGTGAATACCAGACGCTCCTCGTCCGTCAGCTGATTCTGTATGTCCTCTACGGTGAGCACAGCCGTGCTGCTCGTCTCGCCCATGCAGTTCCGCGCAATGCAGCAATAGGTGCCCAGGGAATTGGTGCCCGTCAGCTGATAAACATCGCCGGGCTTCAGTTCGTGCCCATCCTTGAACCACTTGAGCACGGGCGTCGGAAAGCCAACGACTTTGCACTCGAACGAAACAAGACCCTCCTCGGTTAGCACAGCGCGCAGGCTCTCCATGAATCTGGGCTTGCGATAATTTCGGGGAACTGCAAATAAAAGTTGTTAGTTATCGTTGCCTTCTACTTTCTTGAAATACTTGACGCACTGTCCATGTTGACCACACAAGCTGAGATGCCCACGCAGCCCTCGAAGCTGGTGACGACGCACTTCCAATCGCCTGCGTCGCAGGATTCGGAGGGCTTGATTTCAATCATATAGACGCCCAGGCCATCCTCAATTAGTTTGTAACGTTCGTCTGTGTCCACGCGCCCATCCTTATTGTACCAGGTGACGCTCTTGGGCCAAGGCGGCACCACAACTGCAATGCAAAGTTAAATAAACCAATCAAAAATCACGTATACGTCATGTTGCTCTGGGAGAGAAAGAGAGAGAGAGCAGGCGAGAGCGAGGGAGATCGTGGCTGGCATTTCTCTCTTTTGGCAATTATTGGTTTTGTTTTGCTCGACTCATTTGGCGCATGTTGTTGACCCACCTCAACAACACAGTCCAAGCATTCCCAGCACATTCATTGAGTTCAAGTTTCTAGAGCACGAGCGCACAATGTCTAAAAACAAAACAGACGCCGCCAGAAACCTACCTACATATATCTATAAATATATAGACAAGTATATATGATATATATCTAGCGTGCACTAGCCTGTGTGTGCGTGAGAAAAAATAAACAAAAAATTTTTTGCTTTGTTTTGTCGGGCACATTGCCAAGGGGGAGCCGAAAACGCCAACGCGCTGAGAGCCACTCACCTTGACAGCCGAGTATGATGGTATCGCCGATGTGGACACTCTGGTTCCGCAGCTCGTTCGTGAAGATCGGCGGCGGCGCATTGCTGCTAACGCTGAGAACGAGCAACAAATAAGGCATACAATTGAGCAAAAACGGACCTTCCGCTACTCACTTGTCGGCCGGCTTCAGGGAACCCTCACGACTGCCACGTCCCACCACATGCACCTTGGAGCTAGAGTAAGTGACGCCCATGCAGTTCTTGGCCTCGCATGTGTATGTGCCCAGCGATGTGGGATCGTCGGCATTGGCAGTCAGGGCAAATATATCGCCAGCCTTGATCTCCTTGGAGTCCTTGAACCAGCGCAAGTGGGGCGTGGGCACGCCCACCACCTTGCATTCCAGCGAGACAGTGCCCTGTTCTGTGAGCACTGCTCGCAGCTCCTCTACAAACTCGGGCGTCTTATATGCCTTGGGCACAAGGACATTCAGTGTGGCCAGACAGGAATTGCGTCCGCCCATATTCTCGGCCATTAGCATCCACTGGCCGCCGTCCTCAAGTATAACTGGACTCACTTCCAAATAGTGAAATGTGCCCTCGTTAGTCTCCTTGATGCGATCATTCTCGCAAATCCTGCGGTCGTTTCGATACCAGGTTAGCTAATGATTGGAAACGGGGAAAAACGCGAGTATGCAATTAATTTGGATTAAGATTAAATATATATCTATCTAGCTATCGTTGATAGATTTCCTTCCTTTTTAAAAGATTTTGATTTGGGAAATATATATTTTTTCATAATTTTCTATTAAGCTTCACTAACTTTAGTGCAAAACCGAAAGACTCGATTTAACATACGAGAACGTAAAGACGGTATTTATTGTAAGAACTTGTATTGTTTTTATGGGATTGCCTTGAAGTAGTTATATATCAAAACCAACTCGTTGCGTCTAGATTCAATTCGTACATCTGGTTTTTCAAAATCTAATATTTAAATTAAATCTTTAAATTTCCATTGCCCGTTGTACTGAAAATATTGTAAACCGTTAATATTTTCATACACAAGATGCGGGCTAAATTTTATGTCTATTCAAAATTGGCATCTAACAAATATAGTTAGACAAAATGCAAAGGTTTCGTACTTTAATGGGGATCTTTCTTCGAAATTCTTCACAAGGTTAAATAGCATATTATAAGTATTAATTAATCAGGAAGTTATAATTTTCTTTGGGTAACAACCGGATAGAGAATACACCCCAGAAAAATACATCGATTGATATGCCCCTTTTCTTATAAACTCAGAATCTATATCCCAAACAGAACTATCTAATCATATATGTCTGGATTATTATTAAGCCAAGGGTTAATTATTTTCCATAAACTATACCTTAAGGTCTGTTGAGCTGCGTATTTCTGTTAGGAGGCGAGTTCGTGTTCCCACTTTGACAGACAGATCGACGAGGCGACGCAGAAATACAGGTGGATCCTCGCCCGTCGATCTGTCCTCGACAATGAGCTCGACATGCTTGCGCACGACTTCGTTGCTTTTCGTACGGGCAAACAGGGTATAGTGTCCAGCATCCTCGCGCTGCACATGCTCCACGGCCAGCTGGACGGCATTGCTGGTCTGTGTGATGCGAAAGCGATCGGAGTTCTCGATGGGTACATCGCCACGGGTCCTGTGAAACGTTGATGGTTTATGTTATATATAAGGAGGGTTGTTCGGGGGACCAGTAAATAAAAGTCTTATTGATCACCGGGTTTTACCTTTTCCTGTAGACGGACGAGGCAGAGGCTGTGGAGAGCGTGCCGTGAATTTGTTTGTGCTCGTTGCAGCAGCAACGACAGCATTTCGAGCATCCGTTGCCCATGGTGTTCGATAAATTCTAATGTTTATTCTAAATATTTATATTCTATTTACACATATACACACACACACGCGCAAACACACCGACGCTGTGCAATTAAAGAAAACGCATAGAAATTAAGATATAAATGTAGGCGCACGGAAAATGTCAGCCCCATGTGTCGAAAATTGGTAGCAAGGCTAATTTTTGTTTTTCTTCCGATCGACTTTCAACTCTGATTGTAAAAATGTACTTAAAGTGATTCACCGTTTGCGCAAATCCACTTCTACGGGTGGAAATAGGGCAATAAGGGGGTAAGACTTATATTTTTTAACGAGCGTGTGAAAAGGAATGCTTTAAATTGAAATTTAAAAGCTTAGGCATGGCAAATGCTCTTATTCCCAAATTAGACTGCGCTGCGCGTGAAATAATTCGATTTTAAAATACTGCCCTACTACGCGATTCTCATTAATTCCAGTGAGTCGTCATAGGCATGGATACGACCTATTAATCTATATAAGTCTCCTTCCGTTTGTTTATATTAACATTCGCACTATCAACGTTATCCAAATTATGGTTATAGGGTATGAATTTATTATAAGAGGCACGTGCTTTAATTTGCCAAGCACAAAAAACAATAATTTTTGTTGGCATTATTATGATTATTAACAAATAAACAAAACAACAAGTAGCAGAAGAAACACAAGAAAAAAAAAAAAAAAACTAAACCAATCTAAAAAGAAAAATGACGAAAATATTTCAATCGAAAACAAGAATGTTTATAAATAAATGCACATTTTGGCTTTGTACGAACCGACTCGACTATATTAATTGTATTTTGTATTTACACACACAAGCCAAAGAAATTTGTGAGCACTAGACAAAAAGACAAGAGAAAAAAAAGAAAAAAACAAGAAAAGAAAGGAAAAATGTTTTCTTCTTGTATTTTGTTTTTTTTTTTTTGCAATTTATTTTGGGACGCGTTTCTCACGGATGCCACGCATTTCATTTTCGAATTGCTAATAATTTGTTGTTCTCTGTGTACCAGAGAATTCTTTAATTAAGTTAAAACCAAAAACGAAATCTTAAATGTTTCGCTTGTTTCTTGTGCCATTTGGCAAATTGTTGTTTGTTTCGCTTGATCTTGTTGTTTGGCGCGGTTATTTGCAAAAATTTCTTTCAATACCCCAAACTGATTATGTAATCTCATTCTCTCATTTTCCAAACAAGTTGAAAAGCCAATTTTCAACACATTTTGGGCATAAAAATTGAAACATCACGACGCCACAGAGCTTTACAACATTTTCTAAATATTTTCCCGTGCCGGACCGTGCAAGTCGATTTGTTAATGCATCTAAATTTAGACGATCGCCACCATTTCGAGGGGCCCACACACACACACACGCACATACACACGCACGCACATCACATTTGGTGGAGCCTTTTGTTGTGCATGCATCATTTTGTTACGCACAACAACAGAAAAATACACTGCCTTCTGGGTAGACTCATGAATTTGATTGATTTTCAAATTTATTAAGTATACGCAGCGTATGTCCATATGATTTTGAAGGCACGCACACACGTCGTACACACATACTTATACACAAATATACGTAGCTAGTTTGCGTCTTATAGAAAATGCTGCTGGGCAACGGATATGTTAATGCGCCGATCGTCAAAGTGGAACTGCCGCAACGGCTGCTCTGCAGCCTTTGCCATTGCCATTGCCCAAGAGCCGAATTGGTCAGAGAACGTTGCGACAACAAAGAAGAGGAAGAAGGAGAAGACGACGACGCAGAAGAAGAAGCAGAAGTAGAGAGCGCAGCCCGCCCGCAGCGTTTGGCTTTTCAGCTCTGGGCGCAGTCGCCGTTAACCCGGGCATCTAGTATCTCAGTTCTTGTTGAGCAAGCGTGAAGGAGAAATTTGATGTAAATGCGCAACATTTTGGCATTATGCACACAACCGGTGAATCACACACACTGCACACACACACGCACACACACACATGCTCGCACACATTTATAATAATTTATTGGCTATGACTTACCATTCAAATTTGAAGGGCAGCAATTCCGATTCATCCTCCTCATCGCAATCGATTTTCACAAAGAAGGTCGCACGTTCATTGGGTACGCAGCGTATCAGGGAGCTGGAGTTATCACTAAACGTAATACGTGGTGATCGGTCAGGCATTGTGTTCTGGCCAGGAGGTTCTAAAATAATATGAGCAAAATATTAGATTGTTGAACAATAGGCGCTATATTTACTAAAGATAATTCATAGAGGCTAACAAGCTTCTAGCTCTAATGTAAGAACAATATTTTTAGATTTGGGTACTTTATAAATTTCAGGATCTATATACTGTGCTCCTTATTTAAAAACTCTCATTGTCAGTTTATTTGATATTCCAACGGACATATTTAGTTTGAGTGCTCTCTTTCCTTCTAACTTACGGATAAATTGAAAAAACTATAATATCAAATCCTCGTAACTATTTTTTTAAGGTTGATTTTATATACTCCTCACTCTTTCTATCTACATGCTTCTAATACAATTATATATTAGTTCTTCAATTCGAATAGGACAACCGAAACGAGTTCTTAACTATGTGTCTTACGTAACGCCTTGAGTTACTGTATATCTTATAAACTTTCCAACACTGTGAGTTCTGTTTTCGTAACGAACGACTCCACAACTAAGTACGCAAATGTACATATTTGTTTTTTGCAAATCTCAATGCGCAGATCTTTGCCGGCAACGAGCGGCCATTTGCCGCCTGTCTACAAAAGATGTGCACTAAAAATAGTTTGAATATTATTCATACAAAAACTATACTAAAATATTCGCATGTACAAATATTAATGTACGTGTATGCATATGTATGTGTGCAAATGTCTTTTGAAAAAGAAAAAAAAAAAACAATTTCAAACAAACTACCGCAACTAATTTACTAATAATTATGCTTAAATTCAAAAACCCAATGCCTGGCAACGGTTTATTTAGCGCAGAATTATGAAAAGTTTTGCATAGTCCGTTTTTAGTTCAGTTCACTTTAGTTCACTTTCATTCCGTTAAGTTCCACATTACGTAACCGCACTGAGGCCAATGCTTGACGGAGACGAAGCCCGTGCGTTTATAAAAATATACACACTTGGAATCTATTGTCTGTGCAAAGAAGATTAAAAGCCGTCTGCTTTCCCTTGTCCCGTTACCCGTACCCCGCAACCCTGACCCGGCACCCCTCGTCCTCGTCGTCTGCGGCTGCTTACCTACTACGACGGCGGCTGCGTCGGTTGCTGTTCCCGGTGTTCCTTCCATGTTTTAGCTCTAGCTAGACAGACTAGCTATATAATTAGCCAAAAACAGGGCCACTTTAACATGGGTAGCACACGCACACACACACACACGCGCTCACTCACTTGCACACACGCACACAGACGCGTTCGCGTTGTCTGCGTAACAGGACTTTTTCACACGCGCAACCAAATCTTTTTACTTAGGATTGGAAATTTTTTTTCTTGCTTGAATACTGAAAAACCGCTATTGAATTTTTGTTCTACTTCTTTTTTTCTTTTATATATATATACACATATATTTAGAACGACGTGCACATGAACATGGAGGCAGCGATGTTGTCAAAGATATTTAAGCTTTTCTCTTGGCTGAAAAATATGAAATTTATCGTAATTATTTTGAACACAAAGGTTGGCTAAATATTTATTTATATTATGTGTGTACATGTATAAAATTTAGCTTTTTGCACTTTCGAATTTGAATTTCAACTGCAGCCGAAATATGCTACTTTCAATGGGCACATACAGAATCGAACACACACACACACACATACACTCACACAATTGACACATTTGGTGAACAAAAATTGTTTCTATATATAAATAATATATACAAGACGACGTTGAGGGCGCGCACACCACGTCCAGCAGACACCTCCTGGATCTCCGATCGTTTTTCTCAGACTAAACGTACGGCACAGCATCTGCAAAAGTCCATGCCGACTTTTTCTGGCTGTCGGGAGAATGTCGAGCGCCTTTCTCTTGAGAGCCAGCAGTTTCTCCGATGTTTCTTGCTCACATTTCTTTTTTTTATAGATTTTCGTAAGAGCACGACCCTTGGAGATGAGCGCAAGATCTTTGCCACCTGAAAAGTAAAAAGTTTGCGCATGTTTTCGGTTTGCTCATTGAACGTTTATTTTTCTCTATATAAAATAAATAGAATGCTCTCATCAGGTTTACAAAGTAAAAATCTCTTGCTCAGTTAAATAATTAACTATTTGTAAGTATATTACATGTTGCACCTGAACAGGATAAAGGCGACGTACATACATATGTCGAATTATGTTAGGCTTAAGTAAATTCACGCTGACACACACAAAACACACACACAGCACAGCATGCATATCGATAGCTTATTGAATTTGAAAATTGCACTGCAACAGTCAACAAGTGGCAGCGGGACTTGTACATTCATATTGTTCGTTTAAGCTACAGTAAGTAACATCGTTTTGGAAGGATCCAGCTCAGACCGAATAGAAATGGGTGCTGAACTTGTGGCGGCAGGACGGCTCCGTGAAAGGCGAGAACCAGGCCAGCGAGAAGCGCCCGAATACAGATTGTATGCTCTTAAGACGCGACTTTTTGGCCCATCGCGCCTCTTCCTTCTTCAGTTGCTCGATGCCCTGTAATGTAGGTAAGCGCAGACAAATAATTAACAAATATTCGGAATAATTGCTTAAAATGTCAGCAAACGCACCGTTTGATCATTCAATATGGCATTTAGCTGGGATAACAGCATTATAATCGTGAATATGCCGAACATTAGACCTTCGAACGTGAGAAAGAGCAACAGAAATATGGTTGTCGGCGGTGAGTACGTTGAGCAGGTGCGCCAATCGCCTCTCACGCACTCGGCAAACTGCGTCATAACCAGAAAGAGCGTGTGCACCGAAATGGATGCTATGTAGAACTGCAAAGAGCAAATTAGACACCATGGTCAATTACAATCACATGGCCCGGCTCTATCGGATTGTGTACGCACCGTAAAGAGTACAAAATACTTTTGATTGTTCTCGCCAACGCAATTGTTAACCCAGGGACAGTGATGATCCATTTTTCGTATGCAGCGCTGGCAAACGGAGCAATGGTGAGCACGATCCGGTTTAATACTACAGCATTTGGGGCACTTGTAGAACATTTGACCCTCACGATAACCCATTTGCTCGATCATCTCTTTGGTGGCATTCCCACGAGGCACAGCACCCTACCGGAAAGTTAACAAAGGCAATTACTTATATGCATTAATCGGCTACATCATCACGACCTACCGGATCCGAGAGCATGGTGCGCAGGTGTGAGACGAATGCCAGGAATGCAAGTGCTTGGAATATAAACATATTAATGCTACTGAACAGGCTGTAATTTCTATAGCTGGGCAACAGTATCAGGCCGCACACCACAAACTCCGCAAACAGTATAAGCAGCCAGGTCATTATAACGCAAACGATGCCGCAAATATCCTGTTAAAAATGTACACCTAATGTAATTTGATAATTAAAATGCAAAGTCCAAGCACTTACCTTAACACACCAGGCCCTGTTGCCGAGGCAGCGATTGTGCTGATCGACGCCGCCGGTGGACAGTGAGGAATATGAATAGTGCATTCCGGCGGCTCTTGGGACACACAGACTGTTCTACGCGTTGTCAGCCCACACGCACAAATGTTCAGCAATGACGCATCGAAGTCTAATTTCTAGATAACGCACCATAGACTACGGCACAGAAAGTTTGTTAACAAACTCGGTAAAAAAAAAAAACAGCCCAAACAGCTGTTGCATCCCAAACAGTCGATAATTTTCAAGTGTTGGCTAACGTCTAAATAGAACAGAAAACACACAGGATGCCAGACAGTGAAATACCCTTAGTACGGGTTTTAAAAAATAAAATATTTAATAGCAGTCTGCTCCTAATGATTTAGGTACACTTATAGCATCAACTGTTTCATAAAATCGTCAATTTTCAACTTAACAAATTACATATATACAAAATATCAGATATACAGTGCAACAAGTACGTTCACAAATTCATATATAAATACAGTATTAGGTCATCCGCTTTATGCGGGCGTCAGCTTAGCTGTGGGCTCAAGCAAAGCCCATAGGCCAGCCATAGATGAAATCGCACCCAGCACACCTATGGTCCTCGGTGTCAGGCTTGTGTAGCCCAAAGCCGTCAGAGGTATAAAGAAATCGCATACATTCTTCACTGTGTCCACAACGATATCCTTGTGACCCAACACCAGGCCGTACGAATGCAGAGCCAATTTCTTAAAGTCTGCCGGAGTATTAATACGTGCCGGAATCTTGCAGCGTGTTATGCCGCTGCTGCAGCTGGCCTTGTGCAGATCCAGGACGCGCATTATTTCGTACAAGTCGCGACACAAATTCATGATGATTGAAAACAGCCAATACTTGTTGGCGATCCTTGACCATTTCTTTGGATCCACCGCTGTGAGTCCAGTGCGTGCGAGCCACAATAGATGATCAGCGAGCAAAAACAAGGCCTGGGAAAGCTTGCTCATTGTCAGCGTAACACGAATCGTGAAATCTGGATAGTGTATGGCTCGTAGGCTCGCATAGAATACATCCAAGCCCTTGCCGAAGCGCAGCACTACATAAATAATCCATTGAGACGTTTTTGTTAACGCATAAATGGCATAACTTACATTTTCGGAATGTGCTCAAGATATACTCGATGGTCTTAAAATTGTCCACCAATGCCGGATGGCCATTGGAGCTCTCCAGGGAATCCCACATTGCACGCGACGCATATTGAATGAGTCGTGCAATTTTGTCTCTTCCGGCTGCTTGATTATTTAACTGCACCCACTTTTCCATGTTACCGTGCTTTAATCAAAAGAAGTTCCAAGTAAAATAAAGTCCAAGGTGCAATCGGAGAAGGAATTTGCATTGGCGTTGCCACACACATAAAATGTGCAGCGGCATAACTGGTCACTCTCTTGTTTACATTTACACAAGACTCGATTTTTGATTATTGATATCGATTACCGTAAGATAAGTGCATGCCACGTCTTTTACCTGGACATAATTTTTAACAATAAATAGTATAATAGTTAAATTAAACATGGCTGTAAGTAAACCATTAAGATGGGCTTTATATTATAAACTTGATCCTGTTCGAATTGCAGCCACAACAGAAGGGCAAGCAGGGCACAAAGGGCGCAAAACAAATCGTCGAGGAGAACAAGACAACATTGGCGTTTTATAGAAACATGTCAATTGGATGCTCTGCACTCGCCGTATTGCTTAGTTTTCTGGTCTTTGAGATCACAAAGTTAACTGTGGTATGTCAAACACGAATTATTCCGCTAGATGCAATGATTGCTGATCAGTCCAAACTATTTTAGTTCATGCTGGCCGTATCGCTACTTATCTTAGGCGCCGCTTACCAATTTATGGTATTCATGTCCCGGGCAAAGTACTCTGACAGCGGTGCACTCTTGGACTCTGGAAATGACTTGAACATGGAGGGCGGTATTGCGGAGTAGGTATACCCTGTAAGCTGCTCCGTTCACCAATTAACAATCTGTTGTGGTAAATTTCAGAAATGTCAAGGATCTGATAATACTTACCTCTGGCACGCTATTATTGGCCCTAGTTTCCAACTACTTTTGGCTGCTGCTGCTACTGGCCCCAGTGCGTGCTGCCTGGATGCTGTGGGGCACAGTTATACAGCCTTGGCTCTCGCAGCGCAACGCCGCAGAGGAGCCCGAAGTGGACGAAAAGAAGCAGCGTAAATTGGATCGCAAAATGCGTCGCATGAGATGAAAACAAGCGATTCCTTTGCGTTCGATGGTTTAGGTTGCAGTCAGATTTCTCTGGTCTTAAGTTACAAATCCAATTTATACTCTCGCGAGGCTGCTTGATAAGTTACATTTATGTTTAAAAAGAGATTTTACGCTTAGAAAAAACTTGGTCGTTAGTAGAGACCAAGACATAAAAAATGTGTGCGGGTTTTCCAAATTTGTTGTTTTCCAGATTAAAAGGCGAGACAAATGTCTCAAGTCAAAAGAAAATGCAATCGTTTTTAGTTTTGTGAAATTTTGTGCGCTTTTAATTAACGTGCCCGAGTGAACAATTTTTATGTCATATAGCAAAAACTCTGCACAAGACGTCCAATATTGGATATATACTCTGTTAACTCCTCTCAATCCGATCATACTTTGGTTAACTGGAAAGCGAAAGCTGCGCTAATGTTTAAGCCCTTGTGAAGGAAATCACAATTTCGTTTTAACCGAAACATTTCTAAATGTTCACTAGACCCTGTGCTTTGTAAATAAATATTTATATATGTGTGTATATTCGTTAGTTATAAATAAATGTGCATTTGAGTGCAGGAACACAGTGCAGTTCTAATTAGTGCACTTTCCACTTCTTGGTAACAGCGAGCATGGTACTTTAATAAAATTAAACTAAATAAAAATGTTGAGAAATAAATAAAATCAACAAATTAAGCATTTTGCAACAGTTTATTCATTGTTGACTAAACAATTTGCATCCAAACTAAGAAGTATAAAAACATATCAAATTATAATGATAAATGTCGTTTGGAGCTCAAGATTTCACTAATTCTTTGTTATATATATTTTTTTTTTCAGTTTCCAAAAACCCGGCTATAGCCTAGAGGAGCGTCAACAATATACGATCGTAACTTAATAACTTTATGCTGGTAAATAGTATGAATGTAAATGCGGCTTAGTTATGAAACTGTAAACATATGTAATGTATTTAACTAAGAGATAGATAGATAGAGAGAGAAAGAGAGAGAGGGGGGAGCAAACTGGGGTAAGCTGGACCATATCGGTATATATAGTAGAATTGAAACTCAACTACACAGCTAATGGAGTGTTCTGTGTTTGTGAACCATGCGGCCATCCATGCTCGCCACTAGCAGTTGGTTAACATCTGTGCTTAACTACAACAACATCCAACAATTTGTAATATATTAATGGACAAAAGCTCTTAGTTGTATTGCTCGGGTATGACATAGGAGATGTCGTCCCATGGATGACGATAAAGTCCCTGCTTGAGTCGCTTCTGATCCATATAGTGCCCAATGAAGCCTATGCTGCGGCCCAGCACAAACAGCGAATTAATGGCACCCACATTGATGTATTCCTGTGCCTCCTCGCTGCAAATGCCACACACAATTAGATAAATCAAAGTACCCGTCGACTGTTTAAGTGGAGCACTCACCTGGTGAAGGAGCCACTGTTGCGCAGCATATCCACAAATGCGGTCGCAATCACACCATCCACATTCAGAATTAGATTTGGTTTTTTGGTGGTTGTGATTTTCTCCACTTCTAGCGCATACTTAAGCAGCGGACACTGCGGGAAGTTTTCCATGACGAACTCTTTGATGATTTTGACACGCACATCGGGATTGTTAATGGACTTAACGCGATGTCCGATGCCCAAAATAAGTTTACCCTCCTTGCGCATTTTGTTCACAAATTCCATGGGATGCAAATTGGTGTCGTATGCCTCTGAGAATTGCCTGGCCGAGCCATCGAGCGCTCCGCCAAAGCGATCACCCTATTGGTAAAACAGGTTACATGAAGCTCCTCTTGGCAAAAACGTGAGCATGTACACTTACAATTGTCAGCAAACCACTGACGACGGAGGAGACCAGATCCTTGCCAGCGCGTGCACAGACAATGGTATTGTGTGCGCCGGAGACGGCGGGTCCATGATCAGCCGTGACCATGAGGCACATCTCGAAGAACTTGCACACATAGGGAGGTAGACAACGCTGGAACCACAGCAGCGAAATGACGCCACCAATGCCGACGTCCTTGTTGAGCACTTCACTGATAGGCATGCCCGCATAGATCAGCTCCTGGCCGCGCTCATCACATATTGAGGTCATAAACGATGCCGGTTTGCGAATCAGACCCAGCTCGCGGGCCCATGAGTAGTCCATGGGCACCGTCGGTGGCGGGACCTCTTCGCGCGGCACAATGCGTCCGGTCTTGACCAGCTCGCCGTACACATGATGAATGAGCTCGCCCAGCGTGTCAAACGAATCCGGAACGTATGCGCCAGCGTCCCGCAGCGCCTTGTTCTTGGCCGTAGCCGTTTCGCGATCCGAATTCGCACAGGAACCGGCATGGCCGAACTGTACCTCCGAGGTAAACATGCTAGCGCAGGTGCCAATGCACCAGGCTACCAAAGGCTTTGTGATGCGTCCATCCTTGACTGCGGCGCACACATCATACTCCTCGGTGCCGCCCACCTCGCCCAGCAACACAATGAGCTTCGTTTCCGGATCTGACTGATAACGCAGAATGTGATCCATGAACGTGGAGCCGGGATATCTGTCCCCACCAATGGCAATGCCTTCAATGACGCCATCGGTTGCCTTTGATATGATATTATTGAGCTCGTTGGACATGCCACCCGAACGGGAGACATACGCCACACTGCCGGGACGATAAAGCTTTGAGTGCAATATATTATCCAGCATGCCGCCCGTATTGCCAATCTTGAAGCAGCCGGGCTTTACGCCGCCCACTGTGGCGGGTCCAATGATGGCGACACCCTTCTTGTTGGCCTCAATGATCAGTTTCCGTGTCATATTCTCTGGTATGCCCTCGGCAATGATGGCCACTGTGCGTATCTGTGGAAATTCAAGCACCTCCAGCGTCGAATCATAAGCCGAACGAAGCGAGGCAAAGTTGACCATAACATCGACCTCCTTGTGCTTGTGTATGGCATCGGACATCTTCTTGTAAACGGGTATCAGTATCTCCTTGTGGCCCCAATAGTACTTTTGCTTGTGATCGCCCGTAAAGGGATACACCATGGCCACCACCGATGGCTCATCGCGCCTGCAGCAAAGGTAGAGAAGGGAATTAGATAAATAGATAATTGGATTTGGTTAATTGAAACTTGCCTGCATATGAAATCGAAATCGAGCATCGATTGCACCGCTCGCTGCTGCATGCCCCAGACGATCGCTTTGGTTGTGTTTGAGAAGAACTTGCGATTGAAATTCAAATTCGAACCGTTGCTCTTGCTCTGCTGCTGATGATTATTGGTGGCGAGGCCATCGCTCTCATCTGCCGAGATAGGTGGTAGTTTAATCGATTGTGCTGTTGTCGAGCGCAAGGCTTTTGTGGTTTAGTTTCAAATTGCAATCCCCAAATGAGTGGCAAGTCGATCGTTACCGATATCGTTACATTGATATTGATATTATTATGATGATGAGCGAGAGCGAGCAAATATAGTCGAAAGAGTATAGAATTTGACATACATATATACATATAGACAACATTCAATACAAGATTAAGTTACGAGGACGACGAGGTGGTGCGAGGAAATGCAAATACGATGTGAAGTTTGGTTTGGTTTGAGGATTAAATTTTCGGTTCACATATCGAGGACGAGGTGCGATTTTGGCCAAACGAACGTTTCATAAAATTGGTTTTTGTTTTTTTGTTTTTTTTTTTTTTATGATTTTTTGTGGGTGTGGTTGTTGATTTGTTGTTGGTTGGAGCGGAGGGCGATCAATGCAAATACATACAAAAGAAATACAGAGAAAACAGAATAATAAATGCAAGTCCATAGCAAGAATAAATACATAAAGAGACACATTATAATAATAGCTATAACAAAAGTTTGGGTAGTTTGGATTATTGGATGTTGGTTTCGGGTGGGTCAGGATGTTAGCACATTCCGTGATTGTGGGTTTCCACCTACCAGAGCCCAGGCCTTCTGCCTCACTGGCTGCCTTCAGATCGGCCTGCGCCTGCTGACCGCCAGGCAGCAGAAAATTTGCCGTGGAGAACTCCACGCTGGCCACCTGTGGAATGGGTCGCTTGCCCAGCGCCATGCCACAAATGGCAGTCATGTGCGTCTCGGGGCCAAACACATGCAGCGGTATGCCCAAGGTGCCGCCAAA